TGTGAAAAACAAAATAAAAAAATGGTTAATTCATTATTGCATTTGATAACTTTTTACTTTATTGAGAGTCATTGTTTCTATCATATAGAGAAATAAAAATATTGATTTAAACGGAAATATCAATTAACGATTTTAAATATTTTAATTTATAATGAAGAAAACCCCAATAATATTAATAAAAAAAAACAGACTAATCAACATTAATATTAATTGGAAAGCATTTTTAACTTAAACCTACAGATCTTTTAAATGAACCTCCTCTTTTATTTTCTCTGCAATTTAAAAATATTATGGGGTATTTAGGATGTTATCAAAATGAAGAAAAGTCAAATTTTTAATTAAAAAAAATTTAAATAAGGATTGTGATGATCTAACTGTTTGGGATTCACGCAATTCGCGGAATTCTCAACAGAAACTACAGGAATTTGCCATGACGTGATCTTGGCTTTGTGACTATCAATTTTTTATGAATTTAAATTTACAAAAATAAACAATTTAGATCGTATTTTTTCAAATTTAATTAAAATAACCACTAACTCTATGTAAAAGACTGTATTTTCTGGCGTGAAATCGACCTCACAAAAGGTTGGTATGCCTGAAAAAAGTGTTTCAGATATGTGAGAAACTATGGTATCTGTGTAAAAATGAAATTTTAAAAATTAACGAAATCCTTAAAACTGGTCATTGTTTGTTGTTGAGATGATACTTTTACAAAAATTTTTTATAAATAAATGATGCAAATTTTTTTTCAAACAAAACCTTGATTAAAAATATTTCCAGTTTGGAGAGCCTGGTTCCAAACTGGGTGTAGCCATGTTGATTCGTGTGTTTCTTCACTTGAGTGTTTTAATAGTTTTTCATTCATTCATCAATATATTTTTTCAGATAAAATTTGTGTTAAATTCAACTTATTAATTATGATTCAATTACTATTTTTTCATCTATTAATATATTTTTTATATGAAATTTTTGTTGAATTTGGTTATATTAAATAAAAAATTAATCATAAATATTCTCAATCAATCTACTTGAGAAAAAATATCCTTCCATCATTAGTGACAGCATAACTCCAAGGTTGGGGTAGATTATTTTCCAGCAGAGATTCCATCTTTCACTTTTTAATTTCTGTCTGGGTATGGATTACATTACATACATTACATTCATAGCTATATATATAAACATATATATATATACATATTATATATATATATTATATATATATATTATATATAGATATACATATACAATGTTAAGCTGAAAATAAATTTTAAATTAATAAACTCAAATTATGAGATAAAAAAGATATGACAATTTTTCAGGAATTGGGTGATTTTTACATTTTACCTTTTTTGAGAGTTTTGTTTTAAATTTTTAGTGAAAAATTCCTTGCTTAATTGTATAATTATAAATAATTAAATAATTTATAATTGATTTACAATTTCAAATGACAATTCTTAATAATTAATTAATTAATTAAAGTTTAATTAGACCAAATGCAATAATTTTTCATATCTGGACAGCGATCTGATAAGTAAATGAAACGATCATTTAATAAAATTCAAAGTTATACATTTTATAATATAAACATCGAGCGAACTAATCAATTTGCCACAGGTGATTTGCACCTTAGATTCTAAAAGTTAACTTTTTCATTATGTTGCACTGTATAATTTAGTTTACATAACAACATAACATTACGAGGATTACAGTGGTTCAGGAGATATCTCTGTGTGAGAACCACTGGATCGATTTTGACTAATAATATGAATTTAAAATCCCAATCTTCCAAGTCTAACTTTGAGCTCTTGCATTGTAGGAGCTGTTACAGTTTTTTTCGTCCAGCTTATTCCAATGTTCAATAGCTCAATAACTCTCGAACTGAAAAATCTTCTTTTTGTTTTTTTCCACCCTTTTTTTGAAAAGCTTGAACTTGTGTCCTCTTGTGTTTCTATTTTCTGTAAATTGAAATAATAGAGATGAATCCATCTTATTATCTACCCGTTATGACTTTGTACGACATATAAAATTTCCTCTCTTCCTACGCTTGTCCAAAGTTCTCAGTCTACATCTCTTTAATCTTTCCTTATATGAAAATCTTTCACAATTGTCTATATATATATATATATATATATATATATATATATATATATATATCTAATATTGAATACTATGAATGCTTATTCTACACACATGATAATATCAAATATATTGAGCCGTATAATATGCTATAAGTAGTATATGGTATACACATAGATTTTAAATGTATTAAATAAACACTCTTTGCTACCTGCTTTGGTTTTAGACCGGCTCACCGTACTGAAACGTCCGTACTAGAATTCATAGCATAAGAATGCATAGTCACCCTAGTGAAAATGGTAATTTTACTATTCTTCTTGCTCTTGTTTTTTCTTCTGCTTTTGATACTTGTTATATATAGAAACTTATATTATCAAATTGTCTCTATTTGCAATGTCCCTATCGAAAATTTATCAACAAAATCAAAATTAAAATACCAGAATTTCATATTTTAAAATAATAAAATTTATGCATCTAATTAAAAAGCCCACTTTTGTGACACAAAAAGTATAATCTAAAAATAATGCTAAAATAATTTAGGTCTAAAAAGATGAGTTATTGATTTAAATTAGCACATTCCACGTATTTATTTCGAGTTATTTTTACCGTACAGTAAATTTTTCAGAATAATGCTGACATATAGTAGCCGAACGTTTATTTATAAAAAAAAGCAATTTGTAATCGAAAATACAAAATGTACGTGACAAGAAATATCTAGCAAAAATTTTGTATAAAATACATTTCGTGATCGTTCAGAAAGATGAAAGTTGAAATCGCCAATGAAAAATCATGGAGCGAAAGGAGAGAACAAAGAAATATTCATCAGAAGTAATGCATATGTCCAGCCTTTCATCTGTCTCCATTTACTTATTTAACGTCTTCATCTTCGTTATCTTGTTCGTCATGTTCAGCTTTTTCTAATGATAATTTTTTTATTATTGGTTGTAATTAATTAGTCAGTCAATAATTTTTTTTATCTCAGCTGTTTCTACATAATGCTATTTGCATATACTTGCTTTGCTTCATTTGATCAGCTAATATACATTTTTAAGACGCACAAAAGTTAGAAAATATCTCTTACTTCCAATAAATCATGAACAATTAATAATTAAGATTGAAGCCATCTGTCATTCAGTCCGTAAATTTCATATGTAGGCACTTATTAAATATCATTAATGTATAACGTGATGTAACATTTCACGCCTTCCCGAGCTGACCAAACAACACTTGGAGATATTAAATCACCTGGGAGCTTAATGGTCATCACATTATGTCACTACATCTATTTTTCTTCTCTTTACTTTATCAAATCATCGTTCTCGACAATTTATTAAAATACCATAGTTAGGATGGATAGTTTATGAAAAAGGTGGGCAAACTACGGCCCCATGCGGCCCGCGAAGCTATTTTACGCGGCCCGCGAGGCCTTGTTTGCCTAAAAAACACATTATAAACAAAAAAGGAGCCACTATGTTCAGGCATTATGAACAAAAAAGGAGCTACAAACCTTAAAAAAATCCTCCCACGGGTCGAAAAAATTTGCTATATAAGTACATATACGGCCCTTTAAAGGTAAAATAGTTCTCAATGCGGCCCTCACTGCAAAAAATTGGCCCACACCTGGTTTATGACAAATGCACTAATTTGCGTAGGTATTTATGTTTATAAAAGTTTGGAATATAATACAAAACCATTAAGCCAGCTAACTTTTTATTGTTGCTGTTGTTTTTGTCAGTATTTTGTAAATGGCATCCCATTCCGTCACAATTAATTTATTTAAAATTACTGATGCTAAAAAGGCTGAAAATATTAAACTATTAATTTTTAATAAAATAAAGTTAAAAAAAGTTCAAGACCATAATATGAAAGCGATAGATAGATAGTAATAAGTAAGTAAGTAGATTAACATAATTTAGATTAACATAATATTAGTTCATATGTAAAAAAAATTAATTTCTTGTGACTGATCCGTTGACTCCGCCCACAACATAACTTGGACACGCCTATCAAACAAGTGAAAACTTACCTGCTGATAATTGACGGAAGGAAAATCAGAGACATGCATACATCATCACTTGTGTCGCCGTATTCGTGTTTATGTCAGTCAGTCATACCAAATATGTCTACATAATCTAAAAATAAGCATTTGAATGCGAATGTATATTTCACCCTACTCATAATGATGTATATATATATAATATATGTATATATATATAAATATATATATATATATATATATATATATATATATATATATATATATATATGTATATATGTATTCAACGTATATAAAGGGCATAAAATTAAACTTGAAAACATTTTGTATTAAACACTGGCAATGTTATTGTAGTTCTGCTAATCAAGATAAGACAAAATCATCATTATTTGTAAGAGAAGCGATGTGGCAGTCGGATAAGAAGATGAATTCCACCTTTGCTGAAAAAGTTTCAGATTACAGCAAAAATAACCAGAACTGTTATAGTCACAACGTGACCTCATTTAATTCAACATCGTTCAACACCGATTCATTTCGCACGGCACCACCACAAAATTATATTTACCAGAAATATGACCACAACAACAATTCGCCACACGATGGAAAGCATTATTATCAATCTCTCTACTCGTGTTACAACGATTTCGCACGACGATATGATAGACTGCACCCCTCCACACCTGCCACACCGCACTTCTACGGCAACTACATGTCGTCAGCGCATTCGGCGCCAACATTTCTTCAAAATCAATTCAAATATTCCCTAAACGCATTTAATCACACATCATTTAATAATTCTAACAGAACACAAAACACTTCCTCGGCTGCCCTCCAACACAACTTGAAAGTATCTGAGTCAAATTACAATTTCATTCAAAGTTTTGACAGAGACAACACTACTCCATCGGATGAAGTCAACCAAAAACGTTTCCAGATTGGTACGAAGGTGCAACTAAAAAGCGGAACACTGAAAAATATTGAACAACTAACGACTCGAGATTTCGTAGATGATTCAAATTTTAAGGATCTAGATTTAAATTTACGGAAGATGTTCGTTATGCATATGAAAGAGAACCACGAGATGAATTCAGTTATGCTGGGATTTGCCATCGTTGAAGAAAATGTTCAGGTTTGGTTCGTTTCAAGTGAAGATTTTCAAAAAATATGTAGAATGTTAAATATCTTTTATTGCGTACCCAAACAAAATCTCAGTTGAGGGTCGATAGATGAGCTTTTCATATCCGAGAGAGATGAAATGTTTATTATGAAAACTTAAAGACGTACATTCCACAAATTTGATCCTTTTTAAATGAATTCTTTGAATAATATTTTGTAGTAAGTTAGACCTGAAGCTTGCCACTCTTGTTTTATTTGTATATTATATATATATTCAGCCAATTTCATTAAAGTATTTTATAGACAAATGAACTGCTACAAAAATACTCTTGCTAATTTTTGTATGAAAAATAATCATACATTTCATAAGATATATACAAATATACACTATGCATTATCTAAAGATCAAATAGATAGATGTTATTTATAAAGTAAATACATAAGAGAAAAACTAATCACAAAGTAGATGACAGTGGAGGCGAGAGTGGAGCATCCCTTCTTCCTGCTGAACAGAGGCTGGGCTAGTTACTCGCCGGACGAGACATGGAACAAGTTCGGCATGACATGCGAAAGGTTACAGGTAGGCAACTGCTGTCTCGGTCTTGTTCAGCGTTTCGAAAATTTGCCAACCTCAGAAGTTTGATTGAACGTTATGTGACGGAATCTGTACATATATAATTCGCATTAAAAACTAAATAGTTAAAAAGTTTGTCGACGACGATTTAGAAGATGGTACAAAGACGTGATTGGTTCTCTTACAAAAAAAATTTTTATAATTGAATAGAAAATTGTCGTTTGTTTGTCTGTTCACAAGCAGCGTTATGTTTCAAGGAATGTTTGACGGGAAGTAATTACATTTGCGCTGATGTGCGCTTCAGATGAGAGGTGTTGTGTTGCAGATCTCAAAAATTGATCACAAACTTTTTCGGTTACAGATTTTCCAACGTTTGTTGTTTGTCTTTGTTTTTGAGTTCATTTTTTTAACGTTTAATTTTATCATAGTTTATACATTTTCAAACAACACAGCTAATATGAATTTAATTCCAGATATAAAATTAATTAATGTCTTGGCTATCAATAGATTTGAAACAATTTAAATTCAATTCAAATGAAAGAAAGATTAGATATTTTTCAATTCTTCGACAAAGATTAACTTACTTTCATGCTGGCTGCCGAGGCATCTCTAATACATGGAAGCCATCCATACATCGCATTAGCGTGAACAGCGGATTATCATTGCAAAGAACATTTGATCAGTACTTTTAAAACATTTTATTTGAAGTAAAAGTTATAACGTCGAAACGTTGATTAAAACGATTTTAGAGATCTACCTATTTTTGACATTTTTGTATTCGCATGTTTTAAAAAATAAAAAAAAAATCATATTTATATCGTAAGACAGCAAAAACGAAGTAATTTTTTTCGGCTAAAGTCGACCGCATCTCTCAATACAACCTATATCAACATGATATATCAATATGAAACTAAACTTGCAGTTTAAGAAAAAGTAATGAATACTTTGAAAATGTGTTTATAATGCGTTATGGTCTTTAGGTTTATCCAAAAATTCTTCAAACGCTCATCACTTACATACTTACAAACAAACATACACATATTTACGTACACACACATGCGCGCACACACATACAAATACATGTACACAGAATACGTTTAACATGACGCTTGATAACACATGTTTGGAGACAGAGTTGGCACTGATGAATGGCGAGGTGGGGGAGGAGGAGGAAATGGAATGTTTCGACGGTTTTCAAGTTTTCTGCAAATCATTCAGAATTAAATCAACATTTTAAAATAATATTTAAATTGATTTTAAATACGTTTTCTCTTTGAATAATTACTATTAAATGAGCGTTAGCTAAAAATAACATATATGTATCAATTCTTACACAACGTTCGTAATAACACATGTACCATATACAACAAAGTTATATACTCACACACACACACACACACACACACACACACATACATACACACACAAACGCGCGCACACACACCGACTTTAAATATAAGTGAACACATACCGACTTAGTTGGAGGATTTTTTTCCCGACGAATACAAGCAGGCAGATTGATGAGGACGATGCAAGGGCTGCCAGCAGTAGCACTCCTCAGATTAAATTATATTGAAAATTTAAAATGAATTAAAAATTTAAAGAAATTATAGTTAAAAATAATTAAATCAAAAATTATATACTTATTTCAGAATCAAAGTTATAGTCAGAAGGTTGTCTTACAAATCGTCACAAATTTCTTTCGCATAAGTATAAGAAAATTTAAAAAAAAATCAAACTGTTTTTTATGTAATAATTTTAAGATGGAATTTGTATGCACAACTAAACAACAAAAACTTTAAAATGATGATTGTCAGTAGAGTTGGAGAAAATGATCAGTGACGAAATCTCAATTGAGTTAACTTCTTGTGATAAAAATAACTGCAAAACTAACCAACAGACGCGATGAACGTTTGCATCTGGTCGTCAGATAAGTTGGAGACTGATGGTTCAAAAAGTTTAGTTTCGATTAAAACTGATTTAAATTGTTCATTCAACTGCAAATGATTCACGAAATAATAGGCTACTAATTAGGATAAAGACAAAATATCCGATCTGCTTTATAGCAAAATTATTAAAGTATTCAATGAATATATTCAAGTTTTTTAGCAATAAATAAAATCAAATAGCAATAAAATAAACAAATTAGAAACCATCAAAGCAGCAAAATAACCAATCAATTAGCCAACCAACCTAGATCAAAGGAACGAGCATATGAGCAGTTCCATCTCGGACCCATCCATTCATGACCCACGCAGGTCAGCTTCCAACTGATCGAAGTGTAGTTGCACCCGAACAAGATGGTCTTCTCGTTTCTCACCATCCACCCCCCTTCCGGCACCCATTCATCTGGACAGCCCACAACTACACGATGTTGTTCATTTTTAATGAATGTAGAAATACCTAAAAATGTGTATTTTTCTTAAATGGTTGAAATCGATTATTACTGACAGTGGCGAATAGTTTCCAGAGCCCGCCGGGGCCATGAAGTAAGTTCTTACTAGTGAGAATTGCATCGATGAATGCCAATCAACTTTGTATCAAACGTTAACATAGTTAAAACTGTTAAGCATTGCGAACTCAGGCAGTAAACATCAAGAAAGGTTTTACATTCATCAGACCTCAATAGTGCATATGTAGGTGAAAAACTTAAAAAACCTTGTACTTGCAGCAGGTACGGAGATCTTCTGGCAGATTTTGCATGTCTCACGTGAGTTTCCAGTAAGATTATTTTAAGAAAATTCATCGAACTTTCATATATGGAATACTTTTTCCCCAAATTCTGATCCCCACATACGTAAACACCGTCATCTGCGCCATCACCTTCGCTTATCAGGCCATATTTTGCATGGCAGAAAAACTGGCCAAAACCTCTCAAGTCAACAGATGATAGGGAACTTGAATGTCCATGGCTGGACGTTGTGCTGTTCATTTTGAAAAAATTAATTATCGATACTTCAAAATGTTGTCCTGGCGAGGCTGTTAGAAACCAAGTTGTGAGCGGTGACGAAGACGGTGGTGAGGAGTTGTTTTGATTTGAGTGACTTATGCATGAAGAAAATTTAGATGACATGAGGAATGATGGACTGGCGATATAAACACTGGACGGTGATGTTGTTGTTGCTGCTGCCGTTGTTTCTGCTGCGTCTGTTGTCGTTGACAGTGCTGATGTTGTAGGTTCAAAAGAAAATTTGTAGTTTTTGTCGCAGTCATTTGTTTGTGGCAATAAAACTGAAAATGAGACGTGAAGATTATAAATCATTTTAATCACTTTTAAGAATGTTGAAAAATGGAAAGAAGTGTTACATCTATAATTACCTTTAACGCATTTGAAATCAATTTCCAAGTAGGAATTAAGATCAAAGTGACAATGCGGAACGTTTGGAAAGGTGTCATCGAGAACTCTCAGGTGGCAGTTCCTCCGACCGGAGCAAAATGCATCCATCTGTCCGGTCACGTCATTATTACAACCGAGGTATCCGAAATCCCGGTGTACACATCTATTTTAGTAGCGATCAATTTGAATAACGATTCAAAAAATTCATCCATCTTTTAGATGCATTAATTTAAATAGCAATTCAAAAAATTTATCCATTCATTGGGTGCATTAATTTATCTAAATAGAAAATCAATTCAAAAAGTACTTCAAACAGTCGGCATGTTTGAAATGATAAAAAAAAACCTGCTAATCCTCATCCTTCCGTATAACGCATTCAGAATGACGATCATTTCATCCAGTTCACATTTGACGGTGAAGTATTCAGTGTGGCATATGGCAGCAGAGAGGTAAGCCTCCTCGCTCGTGCCGTAGTAAGAGATGTGATCATTGGCTGCGGTCAGTTATGCGTCGTGTCACGTTAAAAATGTTTGTTAGCATTTCGAATGTGTTTGAGTAGATTTTTGAAAAATGTAAAAGTTTGTTGACGTTTTTTGGAATAATATTTATTGGTAATTTTCATTCTTTCATTATATTGATAACTAGAAAATGAAAAATTGCCGACTTAATTTACATGACTTTAGTGCTCTTATTTGTTCTACGCTATATTTATTTCAAAGCAATGTATGAAAATTGAAATGTGCTAATTTCAAAATTTTTAATATAGTCTAATATACATGAACTTTGAATTGTTCGCTACCAAGATTGACATTTTCATTGTTCTTATAGATCAGGACGTTCGTGAGACCGTTGTACAAATCAGACCATCAACTCATTCGTGATCACTAAAATTTCCTTCTCATCTACAAACTTCCGGGAAAGCAGAAACAAGCAAGCCAACTAAGTATGATCTTTACAACAAACAAAATATCGTCAAATAATATGTAGCTGAAGAAAAAATGCAACAGCCAGTCGCGAGACAAGAACGCATCTGACCAAGAAGGCACATATGATGCTTCGACCAGATGAATCGGGGCGATCGAGCGCGAGGAAAAGAAACCGAAGGTGCATTTCAAGTCAATTAAAACGCATCATTCGCAAGGAAATCAGGCGAGCGGATTATACTGCCTCTATCTTGCATGTATGAATTATATAAACAATCGAATAAATAAACAATATAATCTGCGCACTGTTTGTGTATGAATTGTATGTGCGTACGTAAATCTATATAAATATGTATGTATCTGATGTATTGTATATGGCACGAATCTCTAGTACCATATATGATTGTTCGTATATATATATATGTATGTATGTATGTGATCGTTCATTCAAACACATTTTATTTATCTCTTCTTATTTCTCACTGCATAGATCCAATGTTTATAACTCAATCGCATTCAACGCAGAAATACTAAAAATCCCTCTTTTAGGTTTTAACAAAATTCTTTTATTTGAAGTTGAATGCAAATTTGTTAGCAGTTGTAAAAGCTGAGATGTTATACAAAAATTTTAAAGTGTTAAACTTGGAATATTTTCAAATAAAAAATCGGTCTCATGAAACAAAAACATTCACGAACAATTCACAACGTTTTGCCTCATTAAAAAACATATCTCTACGTAATTCTCTAAAAAGAAACACATCTATACATAATTTTCAACAAAAAATTAGAACTTACTCTGCAAGTAAATCACCCCAAATGACAGAATGAAACAGTGGAGGAAGATAATCTTTGGAGCATGAAAAATCATGGCGGGCATATCGGGAACTTTCCTCTTCATACCGTCATCATTCAAATAGGAGAGATTACATCGACTGAATGATCTTCATTGTTGCTTTTTTTATGATCATTGCATTTTCCACCATTACTTTCGTTACGTTGAAGTCAAATCGAAATCGTTTTAATTATTGATTCAATTCTATAGATTTTAAAAATTCAATTAAATCTCTCAATGTTATTTTTTTTAGCTTCGCAAAAGTTTGGATTCATAAAAACTGATTTATCATTTAAATATTATATATAAATATTTTTTATGGAACAATGAGTCTACGCTATTGAATACTGTCCATGCATCTTATAAAGCCCCGACGCTTACTTGCGGTTCCATCCCAATTTAATAGGTCCATCCATGTACGAACTGGCATCTATATATGAGTTCGGACGTGCTTAAAGGATAAATAAATATGTATAATGCCTATATAGTTTATATACACTGCATTTGTATATTGTAATATTTGTTTGTATCATATATGCATTGCATATTATATCTACATACATATACAAACATGTGTATGACAGTGTGTGTATGCGTGTATGTGTGTGTACGTGTGTGTGTGTTGTATAGTGCTTACTGATCGATGTAATATATACGTATAATGTTTTCTACATCTTTATAACAGAATAAAATTGCCAGAAAAAGTTGAAAGGCAAGATCTGTTAACAGAATGAACGATAGATTAGTTGGATTCAATGTTATATTATTTGCTCTTATTCGTATAGATGACTTCAGGGCTGTAAATTTTTCAATTCATTTTAAAGTATTTTTTGATATTTTGTCAAGAAACCAACCATTCAATGTAAAATTAAATTAATTCTTTTTTGTATTTTCTCTTTCTCTCTCTCTCTCTCACTATTGTCGAATTCGTTCGATGATACGAAACGAACAAATCTTCAAATAGAAAACAACATTTATTGAAAAACAAAAAACTGCAATAATAATAACAATAACAACAACAACAATAACAATAATAATAATAGCAATAATAATAATAAGATTAAGAGCAACATCATTGATAATGAGGACAGTTAAAGCACACTGAGACAAATTGATAACGAATAAAAAAAAAATTTAGATAAAAATTTGAAGCTACCAAATTCATTCAATATATAAATATTTATACATACACATAAATAAACATATATGTTAATTTATAAATATAATGACGTACTTAAATCATACTACTACTGCAGAATCAATAGTCACGTACGGAATATAATGGGTGATAGCATACTGGATATCATTAACTCCGTCATAAAAGCGTAAACAAAATACAAAACTTTTTCATTTGTCATATACATTTTTTAATCATAATTAGATGTTTTATAAAGGTGAACACGAACAAAATATACTTCTTATAAATGTTACACAACATAAAGCTACCCATCATATGCTGATATTATTCAATAACATAAATTACTTAGATTAAGAAATGGAAAAAAATTTACGGCTTAAATATGAATATGGCGGTGGGGAATAGAATTTTAAAACAAAAAATAGATTGTCCATGGTTAGGAATGCCTGTTCAGTGCAAGATTAAAAGTGGAATATAGTTTTAAGATAATTATCGTACTACGTTTTGAAGTTTTGCATTTTGCTATAATCATCGTCGTTAATGGCAGTCAGAACACCTCCTCTCATGCTAAGGAGACAGTCATTTGAAACGTGAAAATAAAATATTTTTGTTGACTAGAAACATAAAATTTCAGTTGGGTAATTTCATCAAAAAATTTTTACATTGAAAAGAAACAAATAAAATTAATCATTAAAAAGTTAATTACGCACTTAACATAGTACAATCATTAGATGATACGTTACCTTACGTGCAACAAATTTCGCTTGCCCCGACTCACAACGTAGAAAACCATAACTTCATCTACAAATTACATAACGTGAAAATTCAAAATTAATAAAAACATGAAAGTCGAAAAGACTAAAAAAAGAAATGACAAAATAGTAAAAAATGAAACATGAAACAAAAAATTTTATAGTTCAAATTTATTGAAAGAAAAGGATGAAGAATAAAAGGCATAGACCTCTAAGCTAGTTTAAAGCGTAGCTGCTAAACATTGTAACACCAATTATTTCTACTTAAAACTTACTATTTAACGATATTTCTAACATATATTAACAAAAATTAATAATATTTCATAAAATTTTGATTAAAATTAAAATACAACTACTAATAATTTGTTCAAGTTTAACAATTGTTCTCTTAACTCTTAAGACATTTTGATTATAACCTAAAAATCATTTTTAATATTTCGAACATTTCAGACTAGTGCATTCATTTTCCCATTCATAAAAACAGCTAGGTCATTATAATAAAAATAAATTATGCTATAACCTAATCACCATGAAAAAAGACAAGAATAATAATTATTATCATTAGTACTAAGACAATGTACTTAGTCAAAAAAATGTCCGGATATGTAAAGAAAAGAAACTTGGTCTCTTTATACACAACAATTACGTACAATTACGTACACTAACACCACCATATCCATAAAACACACACCACACAAAAACAAACCAACACACACACACACAACACATACTCACAAATATCCACACACACACACACGCACACATACACACACACACACACACTCACATACATACACATATTCAGGCACACAAACAAACACACACGCACGCACAAACTAATGAATAAATTAATAGTATATATAAAAACGCGATTGCATCCTAAAAAAGCTTACTTACAACAAGCGGTAATGCTGTTAGTCACGATGACGACGATGATATATCAGACGATGATTAACAATATGATGATTAACATTGTAATTATGATGAAGGTGATTAAAATTAAAATAAAATGAAATAATTATTATTAAAAATTAAAAAGAAAAATGAATTATACAACTATATATATATATATATATATATATATATATATAACAACTAAATATAATATAAATATCTATTGGATAATCGACGCAATGAAAATCAATAATATAAATTAGATGAATTGTATAGGAAAGTGTGGATGTTTCAAATGAATTCCTATATATGCAATGAAAGGTATATATTTGTTTTTTATTTCATATTTGTTTTTTATTTCAGAAACATCACTAAAATACATCAAAACTATTATTAATTATAAGCTGAAATAACTTTCTGTATAATTTCTTTTACGTTTAATTTGACTAATTTTTTGATATCTATATTGCATTATGTACAATTGATAAAAGCTAGCTAAATTTACATAATTTACGAAAAAAATTTTTTTACACATATCTGCATATAAATTAATGTACAATGATATTTGGAAGGAATGACATTAACATTTTCACAAGACAGAGGTAATTTCGAAATCTGCGTTCTAAATTTTAAATTAATTAATCTACATGCAATTAATTTATTTAATTCATAATTTTTATATTAAATAATTTAATTAATTAAAAGTATTAATAACAAAATTAATAAATAAATATATCGTATAGTCATCAAATCACATTTAATTATACTGGCACCAAAAGGAATTTTAGCGGAAAACGGTACCATACCTTATGAGCAAACAGTGCAATATATACATACGCTACGCGGCAAATGATTTAACGAAGAACAACCAATCGATTTTTCAAACAAACAAACAAAATAAATAAATATATATATATATAAATGAATGAATAAATAATAAATAAATAAACCCAATTGAATTGAATGTAAATATATACAGACCGACAGATAGGCGTATTTAAACGGGCTACTTCATGTTAATAGAATTTTTAAAATTTATCAAATCAACATCCAGGGTGTTGGTATTTTTAACAGAGTCAACAAATGACCCATCGTCGTTGAACTTTGTCGGGTCAACGTCCTCATACGCCCCCAGACTATCTGAACCGTCGTCGTCCTCTGAACCGCTCTTATTCGATCCCTCTAGAGAACCTTGCTTGCTCTTTCTAAAAGTGGAATTCTCACTGGAAAATTATTTCGACGTTCATAATTAATAATAATAATAATTATTATTATTATTATTATTATTTATGATTATTATAATAATTCAGATTTATTGATATTAAACTAAAAAAGTTGGCTATTAAATAATAATAACTACTTGTTCAACGATTTCTATTGAGGTCTAACAGTCAAATGAATTTGTAGTGAAATTTAATTAGATATATTTTAATAACATAAATGCCAAATTTTTAAAAGTAAAATAATTTTTATGTGATAATAATTAAAGAGATTAGTATAGCGCTAAAGCATTCGACTATATTCTAAATGACGTCAACAATACGTCATCGTCTATATTCCCTTGTTTATAACCATGCGTGGTAGCGTATAAAATAACAAATCATTTTTAATAATAAAAAATAAACTTCTAAAAAATAATAATATCATTGTTACTAACGACAATGAAAATAATAACACCAATAACAACAACAACAATAATAATAATATTATATTATTTTTATTATATTATTATTACTATTATTAACAGCAACTGCAACAACAACAACAATAATAATAATGATCATCGCGGTAATGATATAAAAGGGCGAAACATGTAAACTCTATAATTGGATGATAATCAAAAATAATTAATCAAACAAACAGACAAAAGCCATCAAAATGAACATTATAAGTTATAGCAAATAAGGATGATGATGACGACGATGATGACGACGATGATGAGGGATAATGTATTAGTTTTTGAAAGTGATGATGATGAGTGATGTCGGATTGATGATGGCGATGAAGACTTACGATCGAATGTACTCATCGAATGTGGCTTCTTCGTCATACTTTACACCGTGCAACTTCTCTTTCTCATAGACTTTGTTGTACGCACAAACGGAATAATTTAATGGTTGGTTGGTTGATTGGTTAGTCAGTTGATTGGTTGGTTGGTTGATTGATTAGTTGATTGGCTGGTTAGTTGATTATATATTTATTCACAAGCAATTCAAATGAATAACTTATTTTATTCAAGTTATAAGCATGCATGCAAGCTTTTTTAAGCACACACACAAACACGCACACACACACACAATTAATCATATACTTATCTGCACCAAAAATTATTTGATAGCTATTTATTTATTAATTAGGATATCTACATATGATAGGGCGTTGTTACTTCAACTTAATGTTAGTAAATAAGGTGGGGGAAGGTAACAAATAAGGAATAGCACAAAAGTTATTAGAACAATTAAATCTAATGATAATAATAATATTAATAATAATAATTAATCTCTTTATAACTTAGATATCTACAATATAAATGCTATTTTAAATGCCTAGCAAAAAGGATATTTAAATCGGCAAGAAGAAATTTTTAAACAATCTTACTAAATGACGAAAATAAAAACACTAAAAAAATTTTTCAAAGTCAAACCTTTGTAATTTCCACCTCGATTCCTCTTGTAGAGCAGGCATGAGACGATGATGAGGACGATGATGAGGATGACGAGGAATATGACGAGAAGAGGTATGAACCAACTTAGGTAGGATGACTTGCTCGCCAATGTTTCTGTTCGCGACGTTTCATATAAGTAATTCATTGGGAGAAAATTTTGAAAAAATCTATATTGTTTGATAATATTGCTAAATATTTGCGTTAACTTTAATCATTTAGCTATAATGTTAAATTTTTAAAAGAAGAAAATCACAGGTAGATTGAATTTTTATCTCAACCTTTTTGAAAAATAATTTTATCAAAATCTGTTGTAGAAGAAACGACAAAAACCTAACTTTTAAGATCGTTAAATACGAATTGAATTTAAGATCGTTAAACACGAATTGAATTTTGAAGTTGGGTAAGAAAAGAAAACAAAAAAATATACAAGGAAAGAGAGAGAGAGAGAGAGAGAGAGAGAGAGAGAGAGAGAGAGAGAGAGAGAGAGAGAGAGATATCCTAAAACAAAAATGTAGAAGCGTGAAAATAATTTAAAAAAAGAAACCAGGATGGATGCCAATGACATGTTCCTCCACCGCGGACTTCATAGCATCGCCATCGTGGTTCAGCGCAACCACACGGAATTCGTACTTAACTCCAAACTCCAGATCCGTCACATTGTACCAATTGTGCTCCGGTTCCTCTTTCGTGTTCTGCCACAAGGAATCACCTAGTTTGGACATAGACGACAAAAAATTAAACTTAAATTATCACCAATAAAAAATCGATATATTATTAATTTAAAAATGTTGTTTTGTTAAATAATAATTTTAAAATATTGTTTAATTAAATAAACTAAGATAATGAAAAATTTTTATTGTTGGCAGTTGGTAGAGGAGAAGATAAAATATAGCCAAACCTTCTTTTCTGTACTCGACCATGAACTCCTTGCCAGGATTTTTCTGCTCTTTGATGGAAGGTGACCAGCTGACGTTTGCATAGTCGGAGCCCGATTTGATATCTAAGATCATCGGCTCATCGGGAACTATTCATCAAGTTAACATACAAATTCTATCACATTTCATGAATTACTACAAACAAGCTCTGTACATACGTATGACTGAGTACTACTTCGAAAAGTTAATTGGAAACTTGTTTTTTTCAGAAGTATAAATTGAAAGATTCAATCAGAAAAGAAATAAATAGTAATATTTTTAAAAATATTTCTAAAATGATTTCCTTATAAATAATTTGCTAAACTTAAAGATCATAAGGCACAAAATGTTTATTGGATAATAATTTCAAACGGCTTACCGGACGGAGTGGTGGTAGATTCGACCAAAGTATTGGCCTCTGAACTTTGACCCGCCCCATTTAACGTCCACACAGAAAACACATACTCAGTGTAGCTCTTCAGGTTGTACAGTTTCTTGTAGGTTTGACTGGGATCAGTTATGACGGTCTTCAGTGAGGTGGCGCGATCTGTTTAGAAAAATTATAATAAAGTCGTTTACAAAAAACGTTTATGTTATAGCAAAAGTAATAAGTAACGGTAATAATTTTATATAGCAAAATAATTGTGAAAGTAAAAAATCAAAATGACACTACCAATATTTTCCTTGTATTCGATTATGTAGCCCTTCGCTTCTCCATTGATCTCCGCAGGGGCCATCCAGGACAGCTTGATGTGGTGTGAGGCCCTTTCCACGACCTTTAACATTGTCACCTTATCGGGCACTGTGTTCATTGTCATTTGCATGTCTATCTCTAACGTTTGCTGAAAATATTATCTAACTTTCTAGATGATCGATTTGTGTTTTCGCATTCATTCATTAAAAAATTTGATTCGGTAAAACGCCAAAACTAGTACCTATTTTAACAGATCACCTACCGCCATATCCATTCAGTTGATAAATTTTATTTTAAAATAAATTTATAAACTAAACAGATTTGGTGATGCAAACACTAGATGTGGAACTTACATCCCTGTGGAGTTTCAAAGTAGACAAGGTCGCTGTATTCAGACGCTTTAGCCCCATTCAAAGTTACGACAGCAGCCACAATTTTTGAGTATGGCCACAACGTGTCGACTATCATTTCGCGCTCCTCGTTAACTTCTATTTGGTGATCGTCATCGTTTCTTTGAGAATCAACCTGTCATAAAAATTCATCAAACAACATAACGTCAAAACAGAGAAATGATGTTTTGAAAATTTTGTGGGAAAAATTGCCTCATCAGGTATTGTACTAACCAAACAAGGCAGCCATTTCACGATAATATCGTCTTTTTGTCTCTTTATATCAGGAGCTTGTTGTCTCCAGAATACTATCTGCAACATTAAAATAATCATTTCATCATTTGCCCCATTCACGACTCATTAAAATTAAAAACTGAACAAAATCTCTCCTGACATAGATGAATGAAGAAAACAAGCCAAATTGATATCGCGGCTTTCATATTTATGGAAATTTCCTTTACCGAATTATACATTTTTAATCTCAGGAAATTGAGTACTACATAAATCTAGCAGCAAACTGCCAGCTTATTTCATTATACCAGCGCTACATTTCAAAAAATTAATCGAAATATAGTGCGTGTCCAGTAATACATAGTGATAACTATTCGGTCCATTCAAGATACCATATATCAAAAACGTTGGGATTTCTATTAGCCCATTTTCATCTCAGAAGATTGAGTACTACATGAACCTAGTAAAAAAAAAACTACCAGCTTAATTCCCTATATCAACGCCACGTTCCCTAGTTCTCCTCATCCCCTCTAAATCCACCACCAGAGATATCATAAATATAAGATTGTGTAAACTCGTGTTTCACGGAAGAATGCATTAAAATAAGATCCGAAGAGCAAAGACTTTAAATTTTATGTTGAAATAGCGCAAAAAACCAAGTCCCACTTACCCTGTATCCCACAAAAAATCCTTTGAGATGTTCCGGATCACTTTCCTCTATTTGGTTCCATCTGAATCGTACGCTCGTACTTTTCAGCGTTTCATTTATTATGGATAATTTTTTAGGGATGGCGGTAGGAACTGTTTGGCAAAAATTTTTAAAAATTATTTAGAAACAGAAATAACACTAGCACAGTTTTTAACTTTGTTATAAACCGTTATCAAAGTAACAAAAAAATGAATGAAGCAACCGCTCCAAACCATCTTGACTCGAGAAGCCGATAACTGGTTTAGGAGTGTCGATGGCAGGTCCAATCTTGTTGACTGCCTCAACGGTAATGTTGTATCTGTGGTATATCGGCTGGTCTTGGATGACCAGCTCATTCTGTCTCCAATCATCAACACGCGTCTGAACCGGCTTGAAAAGAGTTTCCATCTCGTCACTGGTGTATTCGTTGTCGTCGCTGTACAGCCGAGTGTAGACCACCAGGTAATGAAATTTCTCGCCATAGTGTTCAGCCTTTATCATTGGCTGTTGGAGAATATGTCATAATCAAGTGAATAAATGTGAGAAAATTCTTTGTAACTGAAGATTCGTAGATTCATGCAACTAGCAGCGCCAGCCCATTGAATAGTATATTAGTAGTTTATTAAAAGACCAGCTTTACATAGAAAACTATCAAAAATTGACCTTTATTTTCGTATCATTAGATTTTTAAACCAAAAAAAAATTTATTTATTAAGTCAGTTATTACGTAATACATCCAGCCAGCAAAAATTTAACACGATTGACAAAAAAAATCACCCACCTCCCACTCAATAACGAGAGTCCCGGGCTCCTGTGATCGAGTGCAGACCTTATTTGGATGGCGTGGAGGAGGAGCTTGTGGTGTGGAGCATGTATCCGTTGAGAACTCACTGGGACTGCTCCTCATTCCCAGTTCGTTGATTGCAACAACGTGGAATGAGTAGTTGGTGTATGGAGTTAGCAGCACAGCGCATCTATCGGTGCTACTTTTAACTTCACAGGCTTTCACAAACTTATTCTCGTATGCTTTAAAAATTGAATGAACAAATTAAAATTATTCATAACCATGCAAAAAATTAATTGTGTAAAAAATACAAGTGCATACCTAGCTCGTAAGATGTATTGTAATATACAATATAAGATGACAATGGGACATTATTTAACGCTCCTTGCGACCAAGATATCTCCGAAGTTCCGAATGAACACCCAGCAACCCTCACTGAAACGGGAGGTCCTGGTTTATCTGCATACACATGGGAAACATTTTTTACGGGTATGTACACAAATATCGGTATAGAATTTCATGATATATAAATTACGCGCATGTCTGTAAGTGTCATAATATTAGCTGTCTGTCTGTATGAAATGATTTTCAAGACAATTAAATTTTAACGAAATCTACCCAACCTTTAACGATTAAAGTGGCCAACTTATTAACTTCATCAATCCCATTACCAGCTACACACGTGTACGAACCACTATCGCCAACTTGTACATTAGGTAGAACAAGGAGCTCATTATTATTCTCCAGCCTATACCTGCTGTTTGATGCTTCTATCGGATTATCATTGAAGAGCCATTTGATCTCCAACTTGTCCAACATAGAACTGTCTGTTGTGGCTGAACAGCTGAAGGTAACATCTGAAGATGCATTAACCTCTTGGGAGATTGGCAAGGTCGTTATGCGTGTTCTGTCTTTATTTTTAAACGAAGTATTTTTAGAGTGTATTTGTTGTAGAAACAGATGTGCCAATTAACAACTACTTATAATCAACAATTATATGTTATCAACAACTACTTTTGACTAACAATTACCTATAACATTCAGATATGAGGATGAGACAGTTGTCCCAAACTTGTTCTGAAGGTAGCAAGAGTACACATCCTGGTCTTTTTTCGAGACTTTCTAAAGATATGAATGATTTATTTTTCAATTTTTTAATAATGTATATTTCTGTTTAATGGTGACGATTTATATTTTTGCACGTGATTTTGATGTCATCTCATGTTAAATTTTAATTAAAAAATGAGTGAAACACGCACTTTAATCTCCAGACTTCCATTGTGATGAAATGTATACACGTCGTTATCGACATCCTGCGATAGAATGAACAGCTGGGGACTCTTCTGCCACATGAGATGAGGTTTCGGAGCCCCAGACACCTTGCAGTGGAGCATGGCCGACTGGTCCTCAGCCACTGTCATATTTGAGGGCTCTATGATGAAACCCGGTGGCTCGGCTGTTCAGTTGGCGGTTTTTTTTAAATTTCATCAAAAGTTGTTTAAAAGTCTTTCATTTTAAAGATAGAGGCTAATTTTAAAAAAGTATGAGTTGAGCAAAATATGAATTCATAAATTATGTTAATAGCTGTTTCTTTTATAATATCGTATGAAGATAGGCAGGTTTCGAAATTGGTATGAAGCTTCAAATCGCAACCTAACAATAAGATTTAATTTATTAAGAATTCGATACATATAAACATCTACTTAATGAATAATTATTATCAAAAAATCTTTTTATTAGGAAAATTTAAAAATTTAGTAATTTTATAACATAGGTAAAAATTTAAAAAAATCTTGATATGAAATGTCGCGAAGCCTTACCTAATATCTTCAACTTCATGTTGGCCAGAATTTCACCATATTCATTCTTTGACGTGCACTGGATGACGTGGAAATCCGATTTGGTTAAATTTCGGAACTCCAACCTACCGCTCCTGCTTATGTCGATCCTCTGATCTTTTCGATCCTCTATACAGTGAATATATTTTTCAAGAATTATATTATTTTTAACGATTCAACTCCCGTAGCTATTAATGGCTTTTCATCTCTCATAAAAAAAATTTCATAACTATAAATAAAAAACTATTTTACAAACGAAGCTCAACAACAACAAAAAATTATCAATCACCATGTAAATATTCTCCATCAATGAACCAGTGTACTTCAGGTTTCGGTCTTCCTTGAGCTATGCATTCAAAGACTGCAGTTTCATCTTCAGACGTCTGCACATCAGAAGGTTGTATACGCCATTCAGGCGCGCCTACATTGTTGCCATTTGTTTGTTTGTATGTGTTTGTTTGTTTGTGTTTGTTTGTTTGTTTGTGGGTATGTGTTCGTATGCATGTGTTTTTTAAAAATTTAATTAAATTTAAATGGGCAACAGTACAGTACAGAACCAGGAATGAAATGTTTAGCAGCTTTCTACTGTTATATGTTAGTCAGTCAGTCAGTCAGTCAGTAAGTCAGTCAGTAAGTCAGTAAGTCAGTAAGTCAGTCAGTCAGTCAGTCAGTCAGTCAGTCAGTCAGTCAGTCAGTCAGTCAGTCAGTCAGTCAGTCAGTCAGTCAGTCAGTCAGTCAGTCAGTCAGTCAGTCAGTCAGTCAGTCAGTCAGTCAGTCAGTCAGTCAGTCAGTCAGTCAGTCAGTCAGTCAGTCAGTCAGTCAGTCAGTCAGTCAGTCAGTCAGTCAGTCAGTCAGTCAGTCAGTCAGTCAGTCAGTCAGTCAGTCAGTCAGTCAGTCAGTCAGTCAGTCAGTCAGTCAGTCAGCCAGCCAGCCAGCCAGCCAGCCAGCCAGCCAACCAACCAGCCAATCAACCAACCACTCAATTAACCAACCAACTAACCATAGACTGATAACTTGATGGCGTGTGCGACTTTAAATTTTTTCGAGGTAGCTTCACACACGTAGTGGCCTTCATCGTTGTAGGTGACATTTTGAATGAAAAGTTCTTGACCCTTGCCCAGAAATTTTTTTTCATGGGTCTCATTTTTATACCACGTGATTTCTGGGGTGGGACTTGTTATTTTGAAAAAAAAATATTACTATCATTGATGATATATAAATTCATTATGTTTCATAAATTATTTTTTAATGTACAACACTACATGCTGCTACTACTACCAATAAATAATAAAATAATATTAATAATAAAAACGTTAATAGTATTAGTAGTAGAAGCAGTAACAGTAGTTGCAGTAGTAGTGGTAGTAGTAGTGGTAGTAGTAGTAGTTGTTGTTGTATTAGTAGTAGTAGTAGTAGTTGTAGTAGTAGTTGTTGTTGTAGTAGTAGTAGTAGTAGAAGTAATAGTAGTAGTAAACGTTTTTGATAAAATTGGCCATTACAATCATAAGACATGAAAAAAGGTATAATAGAACATCCAGTATAATGGAAAGAGAACTTACAATCCTGAAAAGATGCACTTGAGTGTCTTGCTCCTGCCCTGGACAGCCTCATCATTTGAGGTCATCGGATAGAGAAGGGCAGGTGGGATCAAAGTGGGAGGGCCTACGTCATATGGGAATGATTGTTTTATCCGTAATTGTAAATCAGAAAATCATTTTTTTTTTGAAAATTATTTTCAAGTAGAATCGAAATTCAACGATTAGATCATAATGACTACTGAATGTGTGCGTTCATGCTAGCCGATCGACATCTTAACTCAGGAGTGATGTTTCTCGTAATGTAATCATGTGATGACATGACTCAGATGTTGTCTGCTCAAAAAAAACACAGACTGGCACATGTCTCGCGCTTACTTGCGCTTACTTACTTACTTATTTATTGTATACAGTAGAGTTGTATGGTGTGATGTTTTACCTATGTAGCGTATGTATCTATCTGATTCGAAACTATGTAAACAAACGAGCAACACAGCGTTGGTAGAAGCTGCCAAATGAAGAATTGGATATGTATTGAAAGTACGAAAGTTCCTAACTGTATTGTGTATAAATTGAAAGGAGCTAATATTTAACAGTACCAACGCCTTCAACGATTTGATTGATTTAAATTTGATTTAAATTAAAAACACATTAATTTTGATAAAAACTGTAAAAAAAATTTTTTAATTTTGTTGAAATTTTTGGAATACTCAAATTTAAATTTACAGACAACAGAGCGACCAGATTGGCGCCATTTCAAATGCACATACGCAATGGCAGACAATTGAAAAGAACAAGAGCAGAACACCCATAAACAATTCAGACAAACCCAATCGCAGTTATCAAATCAATATCATTTTGACGACGTTACAATTATGCGAAAGCGCAAACTTGTTCAAAAAGATAATGATGGGTGTTTGATAAAGATACAGAATTTGTTAGAAGGGCTCTTTACAAAACGGTATACAATTTTGTTAAAAAAATTATCTTTTAGTAGGAGGAAATAGAATGACTTTGGCAAAAAATGAAATTATTTTTCAAGAGTTATACAATTTTTAGGACTGGTTAGTCAGTGAATGTAAAAATTTTCGAAAATGTAATTAAAATATATCTTCCTAATTTTAGCTTTTATATCAGTGAAAAATATCTGAAATTTCTAATTAAATTGGTTATATTGAGTCTTTCATTGAAAGTTAAAACCACAAATTATTTCTGGCGCCACTTTCTCTCAGCAAACAGATCACGTTCACGTTCAATAAAAATGACTCTTAACTAATTTATCAGAAACATAATTTGAAAAATGATCAGCACGTCTGTGATATATTTTGAATAGTTAGATTATTGAATAGATATTGCAGCATTTAATCCAAACTAATTTGACTTAACATATTGATCAAAGTTGGTCCTCTACAGAAGATATCCATGCCTCATTGTGGTTTCATTGGTTTACAAGTTTCTTACTAAATTATTAAAAGAAATAGGACATTTATATATTACTGAGTGGGTGGGTTTAAATATTTAACATTCAACTGAATTTTCAAGTAGTTCGACAAAATGTACTGAAATTGAAGATAACTTATACGTGTGTAGACGCCGGCGATAAATGAGTGCACTTGTTTGTTTGCGTTGGATTTAACTTTCAAAATTGCGTTCTTATTAGATGACATTTAATCTATTGACAAAATAATTATTTATTTTAACAATGAAAATAGGTGTTATTCATAGACATTTTTTATTATTTCGATATTGTTATTATTAATATCTTGATTGTTGTCGTTGGCTGTGTTTATTATTATTGTTATTATTTTAGTTAGTATCATCATCAATACCGTTGCCGTCTTTTTCTATCCATAATTAAACTTTCCAAAAAGCACCCATCAGAGAAGCGGCATTTTTGTAAAACAGCGAGCGCATTCCATTTTATATTAAGAAGTTTTCACTTGATTAAATTTGCGTTTCAAAGCGTTTCAAAGTAGGTCACCGCGCAACTGTTTAGCTCAGATCACATAAACGATGGTCTCAACTGACTCTCGCATGAATATTCATAGGAGAATGTTAATAAATTATATTAAAAAATTACATGGTGAAGGAACATTATTTGGTGAAGAACATTACGTGGTGAAGAACATTCTTTGGTAAAAGAACATAATTTGGTAGAAGAACATAATTTGGTGGAAGAACATAATTTGGTGGAAGAACATAATTTGGTGGAAGAACATAATTTGGTAAAAGAACATAATTTGGTAGAAGAACATAATTTGGTGGAAGAACATAATTTGGTAGAAGAACATAATTTGGTAGAACATAATTTGGTGGAAGAACATAATTTGGTGGATGAACATAATTTGGTAGAAGAACATAATTTGGTAAAAGATTTTATGATAAAGCAAATGAATGCATCGATGTACCTGGTCTGACTCTTGGTATGATCCTCTGATCATCTCCCTGGACGAGAGTCCTCAATATAGAATTCTGCGCAATGCACACGTACAAGAATTCACCTTTGTTATCTTCCTCTCGTACGTTTCCAAAATACAAGTTGCCTGCGTGTGTTGTGGTGACGACAGTTTTATTTTACATATTCTAAAATGTTATGTTAATTAATTACTGTTGCTAATATGGACGTTAACATTTAATAATGTTGGTAACAGAGCTCATTCTCATGGTTTTTATAGTTTCAAAGTAAGAAAATCAACCGAATAAAAAAAAATAAAATTAAGAATAAACAAATTTATTTTTGCAAATTCTGGTATTCATTATTATATTGGTGGGCGGTGAAGAATCTGTGTAAATACAGACAGTTTTCTACGTAAACATAGATAATGATTGATTCTGCTAAAGCTGCTATGGAAATATTCAACATCTGAAATAAATGTGTGGTGTGTGTGCGTGTAGTGTGTGTGAAATAAATGTGTGATGTGTGTGCGTGTAGTGTGTGGTGTATGTGTGTAAATTATTATCTCTGCTAGTTTAACCCTTGAAAAAATAATCTCAATTTTCCGCCGCCACTCATGACAAATTTATTAATGCAAGTGGAGTTTAATTACCAGCAGGGTCTAAAGAAATTCTTTCCGAGTTAATGATGGGGTTGTGTTTGGATTGATTCTTGTAGACGCCCCAGTAGACACTCGCAGGTGGGTGACTTTTTGGCGGATTGCACTTCAAAACCAAAGAATCACCCACCTGGGGTCTATGCACGTTCGGCTTCAGAAAGGTAGGAAAGGAATCCAGATCTGAAAATATGAACAATCAAAATGTTTCAATGCATATGTTAGTTTAGTTATAAGGAAAAAATCATCCATGTATACAGACATTTTCAGAAAATTTTAATTGAAAATTTTTTAAGGACAACTAATTACCGAGAAATTGAAACAAATTATCATAGAACAACTTGCTTGTGCAAGTTTATCATATCGTATGATAAATTATTTACACGATTTAACTCTACAATTCATCTAATTAATTCAGTAGATTAATGAACGTAAAATAAAAATAACTAAACTCACAAGCTTTCTTCAGCGTAATATTTTGCGTTATTGCTGTCCCATAATCATTTTTAGCCAAGCACTGATACACACCTATTCCAAAATTAAACAATCCAATCAAAATTCTTGAGCTATAAATCATAATTGACTAATTGACTAATCAGCAGACTCTTGTTAGCAGCACTGCCAATGAAACACTAGATAAATATCGTTAAACGTCCAATTATAATAGCAATAGGGGATATAAAATATTTTTTTTCAATCTTATTTCACTACTTGGAGCACATATAATAACGCAGGTGAGTCACGCATAACACGCAATGCGTATGACAGACGATGATCTCTTTTGTATTCGAATCTGGTCACATCAACTTAGGACCAGGCGTCTCTAACCATTATAATCACCCCACAGCTATCATGTCTTCTGTATTTACATTGCATCTGGTAGGTAAGCTTCTATGAAAAATTTATAAGCAATTTCGACGGGATTTTCTGTGTTTTAATGTGATCATTTTGCGTTAAAAATACGTAAATTCTGGTAAAATTGTTGCAATTTTTTATAAAAATTTCTCATGGTAAAGTTTAGCAATGATACTTTTTCAATATTCATTGACGTCAACAAATTTCAATTCAAATACAATTTTTTTTTTACAAAATATCTTAGCGCAAAAAGATTTAATTAAACTTATTAGATTAAACGCAGATAACAAAAAAAGCGCAAATAAAAATAACAAATGAACTTTTAGAAAAAATAATTTTTTTAAATTCGCATCACCTGCATGGTATTTTTCAGGTTTATTAATGACAATTGTTCCTTCGCCGACCATCTGTTTGATATCCAATCCCAATTCAGTGAGGAGGACTCCATCCTTTCTCCACCGATATCTATCACAAAGTCCATTTAGTTTAGTTGGATTAAATTGTATTTTTATCTTTATATAGTTTACCATTGTTGCTATTTTTTAAATAGTACGTCGACCTCAGTGTTATCTACATTTAATCTTATTAATCTCCAAGGCCAGACACCCGTTCATTCAAACGAACAGCTGGTCACGGTGATGTAAAATATGATAAAAAAAAATATCGAAGCCGCCATGCCTTTTTTCAGAAGAATTTATACGCTAATATGAAATTATAGTAATCTAATTGAAATGTTTATCTTAAGGATAAAAGTTGTTCGTTAAATAATGGCATTTATTTAAACCTAAATGTTTATAAATGGATATATTTAAAGTTGAAAAATGTAATGAATGAAGTTATGGGTTAATCAATATGATGGTGGATAAGGAATTAAACTCAAGTTAAGTATGAATTTTTAAAGTCTATCGGTCGCTAGGAAAAGTTTGAACTTGATGCAGAAAATGATTATTTGTTTGCTTGAGAAGCTTCAAAAAAATGTTATGAAACAAAATATAAAAATAATAAAAGCATAAACTAAGCCAATCCTAGAAAAAGTGAATTTAAAAGCAAGCAAATACAACAATCCTGAAATAAAAAAAAGCTAACAGGCAATATTATATTAAAATAGATGAAAATAAATTTAAACATTCATTTTGAGTAAAAAATTACTTCAAAAAATGAAACTATAGAACCAAATAATGTGATTGGCAGTGAAAAAAGTTCAAGCTTATAATGAAGAACATGCATGAAAATTCATCATTTGTTAAAGTTAATCTTTATTAAGATTTCAAAAAACGATAATCACAAGATACAAGCAAAAGAGAAATAAGAGGAAACTAAAATGAAAAACATGACAGTCGCCAGGCACAACTAGCACGAAATCGACCAGGCATTTTAAAATTTTATTCAAGGATTGGGATTTTAAGAAAATAGATCCAATTTATAGCATTTTATTTGAAGCATCTACGGGGCAATTGTTTTAAAAACATGTAAACCAAAACTTTGGGCATAAATTCGTTACAACGTTTAAACACACAATATAACTAGAGTAAGCAACACAGATCTTAGCAATTTACTAATATTTTTCTATTTTACTTAACAAAACATGTTGAAGCTTTTAACAATTCATACTGATGTTGTTTTTGTAGAACACTGTCAACAACAATACGAAAGTGTAGCATTACGCATAAAAGTATTTAAACAAAAGCTGCAAAAGTTATTCATTCACTCATTCATCAGATGAAAGATTGATTGATTATTCTCACTGTTTGAAAACATTCAAATATAAATTTTGATATCTAATGCTATCTATAATTATACACACATGGTCGAGTTGAAAATTAAAACCTGCAGACAAATTATGTAAATTTGAGTTTCGATAGATTAAAAGTACGTAAGCGCTTAACAACGTGACATTGAGAACACACATGCAAATAATAATGATTACTGCTCGTCTGTTGTTATATGTATGCTGGTATTTTTACATGAATGCATGCGCATCATGTGTGTATGAGATGTGTGGCACATCGGTTCTTACATAGGTTCTGGGTGGCCTGATGCTTTACAAGGAAGTTTAACCTCATGACCGTTTATGAATAACATTTCTGCTTGCTCAGGGACCTCGGTGAACGTGGGCGCCTCTTCAAATTTAAACATTTCAACATTTTAAAATTCTACAACATCTCCATTTATATTAATTATTTTATCAAAATTATGAAAAATATTAACACATAAAACATTTATCGTTGTATTTATTGATAAATTAAAAAAAGGTGACGGTACCAATTTAAAAAAATTGAAATAAAATTTTATTTCTGTTTGAATCAACTTTTTTTATTTAAAATTTGTACTACGATCTAATCTTCCGGAAATTATTTTTAAAATGCTCTAAATTGGACTTTTTGTAATGAACTCTAAAGGAGATGAATGAATTTAAAATTAAAAAATAACACTAATAAGGCTATAGAGCTCTGTTTGCCCGTTTAAAAAATAAAAACTGATTTACAAAGAAAAACAAAAATTATAGAAAAAAACATGGATGAAACCAAATACAATTGTAGAAACTTTGTTAAGTTCGGGTTGTGTAATTTTAATAAGTTATAAATCCCCTGATTCTTATTCATAGTATTTGTTTATGTTAGCGGCTAATTATTTACATGCACACACCAATTATCAGTGTTTAATCTTCATTCCATAAATATTTTATTTCGATTTAAGAGTTTGCTGGTTGAATTAGCAGGATACTAAGCGTATCATTGTCTTCTCAACGTATAAAAATTATAATTATCGTAGACTAACCAAATGTATACTTTGAAACTACAATATTGTAATGTTAACCAACTAATTAATTAATTAGTTAATTAATTAATTAAATCAAATTCCCCATTAGCCTTTGTTGAAATTATGACAATTAAAATAAAAAAAAAACTCCTACAATCCTTTAAAACTTGGCAAGAATGTACAAAAAGGAGAAAGCAAAAGAAAGAGCAAACAGCAATAATAAGAGGTGGGAAAATGGACCGTTAAAATTCTATAGATGCAAATCACACACACACACACACGCATACACATACGCGCACACACACATACACATACGCACACACACAACATTCATAACTCTTAACACATTTTCCAGATGTCATAGGTGCAGCAAACAAAGAACTGACTCTTAGCGCCGATTAATTCATTTATTTACCTTTTGCTTCTATTATTGTTGTTTTTTTATTAAAAAATAATTTTGTTTGAATAAAAACTTGTTTTTTTGTTTGTGTGCGTGAGTGTTTGTAAGTGTGTGTGTGTGTTTGTTTGTGTGTTTTTTGTGCGTGTTTGTGTGTGTTTGTGTGTGCATGCCATAGACAATAAAATCAATTGAAGAAAAAACTAACAAAACAAATAAGTGAACAGTTAATAAAAACTGAAAAACACTTTACTATTAGAAATAGCCCATCAAGAAAGACACGTTAACAATTTGTTGGAAGACTTCCTATAATTTTGATAAATTATTAACAGAATGGTAAAAAATATCATACCATGGCTTATTGCTAATAAATGCATTCGATGATCATAACAACTAAACTTCAGAGATGTTTGCAAGTGTCACATATATTTACATGTAATTACAATAAGGAACTGCATAATAATAATAATAATTATTATTATCATAATAATAATAATAATAATTATCATAATAATTGTGGAGTTGTATACGGTAAAGGGTGATTACTGATTTCTAATTTGCATAATTACCTGATGTTATTCATGCAATAAACAGGTTCGATGTTGTTAATATACGTATTGGCAAAGACGTTTCTGATTCTAGCGTTGATATGATATGATATACGATATATGATAGGGTATGATATGATATGGTATGATATGATAGGATAGGATACGATATGATATTATATGATATGATATTATAGGATGTGATTGTACAATATGATAGGATATGATAAGACATGATGGTGTGATATAATATGATTGAAGTGATATAATATGGCGATAGGATATGATACACTAAGTTATGATATGATACGATACTATATGCATAGTAATATTATAACGCTCGTAATGGTTATGTCAAGGACCCAATGAAAATTATTATTTTCATACACCACAGCACCATAAAATCATTCTAGATATTATCCATCTCATTCGCATCAGTGTTATTATTTTTGTTATTTTAACATCAGTAGCAACGTTATCTTTATTATTTTTATTATTATTTTTATTATAATTTTTATTATTATTTGTATTGTTATTATTCATTCTTTCGAGTGCATATCGAGATTCAAAAACAAATCCGTTGCAACAGTACGTCGGATAAATTCCAATGTTAGGAAAGAATTCGATAAATTAACAACATAGTGTAAAAAAATTCCCTATCAAACATTTTCATGACTCTTTAGGAAATACACGCGGTACCATACAAATATTTCTAGTACATTCCTTAAACAACAAAAATCTGTAAAGAAAAATGAATTGAAATTTTATAAAAACAATAAAATAAATAAATAAAGACAAAAGGTACAAAATAAAGAAAAACCAAAAAAAATGAATTCAACAAAAACACAAAAAAACATGCGTAGTTAGACTTGAAATTGAAAATATTACAAAAAAAACACGGATGTCCTAAGCGGCACGTGAACTGAAAGAACTTCGAAGAAAAAATAATTATCCGCAATAAGTGACTCAACCAAACAAAGGAGGTGATAGAAAGTGAAACGCAGACTTTCATGAGTTAGGTGTTGAATTAGGTGATAATGGTGTTGAATTGGTGCTCCGAGCAAAGGATTAGTACTAACGACGGCAGAGGTTTTCCATCGGCCACGCATCTAATCCTCACTTCTTCATCACTCCGGAATGAAACTTCACTGACCGGCAGATGGATAAATGATGGCGGATCTGTTCGTCAGACGTCATCACCATGTATGGATGGATAAATGGTGATGCATTTTTGTTGGGTGCGTGCGTCGAGAAAATTTTTAGAACAAATCAAATTGAAAAATGAAATACCAGCGTGCTAAAAATAACTACTAAATGACGAGCGAACAATTGAATCACACACCTTCTGAAAATCTAAAGGAACTAATAGCGACATTTTTATCGATTGTTTCAAATTCGATCAAACTTATAGAAATATGGAATGTGAAAATGATCTGCTAAATGAGACTGCATGTCAAAGATAGAAGAGTAATTTTACATCGTTTAATTAAGAGAATGTGTGTTGAAATATTGACAAAAATGGCAATGTAAACAAGCGAAACTAAAGTTCATGTCTATGGCTATTTACGAGTAATCAATATTGTAAACACCAGCTTGCTTGTTTGTTGTTAATTTGTTAAGTTATTAATTCAATGTTGTCTAAACTAAATTAAGTTACGTGACTTTTAAAAAAGCTTATTAACTACTCCTCTAGAAAAAATTAACTTTTTTTAGTTGGAAAATTTTAAAAAATTTGACGGAATATTCAAAAAAGTATTAAATCAAATGAACATCATTCACCTATTAAACAGACCAGACCTACTCGGTGAATTAATTACATGGAAATAGCTAGAGCGGGCAAACAGCAATGAACAATATTGACGATGTGTGTTGTTATTGGATTAGAATTAGAAAAATATCATGTTAAGAATTTGCTCTAAAAACAGGAGGGCTTAAAACCGCTAATAATATCATTATCGTTTGACAGCGTTTAAAATGATCCAGAGTGTTAATAGTAACTGATGAGGTTTTACAACGTTGTAGGGCAGATAATTTTTAAACTTGCATCTGATATTTATTATATACGACAGTTTTTTTATATTTAATAGTTCAGATAAATTTTATAGGTGTTGAGTTAAAAAGTGAATATAATATAAAATTTGTTTTATGCATAGACAACATTGTGCCTATATCAATATAATATAAATATATAATATCATTTACATGGGATATGATATATGACGTGATTAAGTAAAGTATATCTTGATACTATAAACTATATATCTATATAAAAATATAAATACAAATATAACCTGATCGTATTAATTTCGTTAGCGTTTTACATGTTAATACTTTTTCTAGATGTCGTATTATTTTTTTCTAAGTAAAATAAAAAAAGTAAAAAAATGTAATGAAAAAATAAATTAAAATTAACCTCTGTCTGTACTTGTGACTGTTGTATGAAAACATTGAAAGGATAGCCAGACAATGGCGACAATGGTTCGGACATCCATATTGATTTTTATTAATTAAGTAACTATTTTTACTTAGCAAGTTAATTGATAAATTAATTAATTTTATTATCTATTGGCCGTCATTAACAGTGAAATATTTTCAATCTGTCCACAATTTTAGCCCACGATGTAGTAAAGTAAATGAATAATTGACGTATGTAATGTTAATGTAGTCCTTTTAAAGTAATTACTTCATATACGTCATTACTATGTTTATAATTACCATAAACATAAAGACATAAATATAAATAGAAATATTATGATAAGCAATGCGATAATGGCAAATACTTATATTTAAACATTTGCATTGTTAGATGTTTAATCACACATTCATGCTTCTTGTCTGTCGTTCGTTTGCCTATGCATGTATGTAATGCAATGTATAACATGTATGATATGTAATGCATCTACGATACAATACAAGAGTGATGTATGAATTGTATACAAATGTATACACATGTATTCATATATTTATATATATATTTATATATATAATTTATATGCTATGTACATAAATAGTTATGAATCAGGATTTCCCGATTGCACGTGCTAATAATATGTAAACAAATAACATCCATACAAAATATATCGCATAATAATGTATATATATATATCACACAGCGCAACAAAGTGTATATATATATATATATATATATAAACAACTGTTTAAACATGTAAAATTTATATACATACGTATATATATATATATATATATATATATATATATATATATATATATATATATATATATATATATTGTGTGTATGTAGATCTGTATGTAGTTTGTATGACTTCCTGAGCACATCAACGTCGTGCAACGCATGCATACAACGCTGCACGCCTGCGTGCATACAGTTGTACACGTAAAATACGTGGAAATGAAATGGAACAGGACAGGACACATATATAAATGTTATATATAAATGTATGTGTGTGTGTACGTACGTATATATGTATGTATGTGTGTGTGTGTATGTATATGTATGTATGTGTGTATGTATGTATGTGTTTGTTTGTATGTATGTATGTATACATGTATGCATGCGCGTATTATGGTGGTCTCCATCTACGTTCGTGTTGTGCGTTCGTGACCACTTATAGAAACATTTACATTTTTTAAAAGTCCCTACAATTGAATACATAATTATCGAGGAGCGTGTTGAAGATGTTAAATGAGACATCAAAGTTTTACGAGGTGCAGTTGTATTCATATCAATTAAAAATTGTAATAGTCATCTTGTAAGAAAATCATTCTATAAATATACACCATCACGTTTAAATATTACGTTGACATGAAAGTGTTTCTAATAATACCTCCTAGGTTACATAGTTGAGCAAGATCGTCAGCGAAAACGGAGTCGGTGGGTGGCCGTCCGTTAGTGGTGTAGGGACTGTTGGAAATGTGCTCCCTTTGAAATGGCTCCCAGAGAGACTGCTCCTCGCTACGCCAATGCCGTTTAGTAAAAAGTGCTACGCAGAGTTCTTGTTAGCCGTAGAAAAAACCTGAGTAAATCTATTAAGAAAACAATCCGTGAGGCCTTTTAACATTTCGACAATTCTTCCTAGTGATATATACTCACACGCTGAATTCTTTTTAAGAATATTCGGCTTTTGGCTTATTTTAATTCCATCAAACAAAACAACGTAACCCGATATTGCTCCTCTAGATTCTATTTTATAAAAGTTTTTTGAGGAAAATTTTAATCGTTAAGAAGATCAGTAGATCGTAGCAGGTGTTTGGTATCGGAAAGTAGATGAATGTAGAGATAGAAATGCTCCTTCCTATATTTATTTACTTATCTTTAATTTTTTAATAACGATTAATGTGATAATTGTCTTTTTATTTAGGTACTTGACTTTTTACATACATGATCGACAATATTCTATTGAATTAATATGTGTGAAAAAATAAAAATCTGTCAAAGAAATTTCGATAATGAAAGATGATGCGCCGTTCTTTACGTCAGTAGGCGGGATTCTTTCAAAATAAAAAAAAATGGAAAAAAACGAAACATGTGCATCTTATAAGTGCTTGGATAGAACAACAGAATGAATGAATAAATAAATAAATGAACAAAATGAATGAACGAACGAAATGAACGAACGAATAAATTAATATATGGATAGATGAATGTATGGATAGAATGAACGGGTGAATACAGATGGATGGTTCAGTGAATGAATGAATGAATTGATGGAATGAGCAAAAAATACTTATGGTTTTATTATCACCCTTCCATATTTATTGATGAAACATTTTTCAGTGCGTGTTATTCATAACCTTGGCATGTTACCAATTTCATAATCTCAGTTGAGAAGAATTTGTTGTATCAAGTTGCATTTATAACCTTTGTAGATAGATATGAATATGCAGAAACACGTGTACTATATGGAAAGATAGATTAACGTAAGATACATGCGAGCAAGATGGATATAATACATACCGTATATAAATACCATATATTTATTGTATACAAATATATAGTCATTGTGTAGAGTTGCATTGTAACGAAAGATTATCGATATTTTTCCATACTTGTTCCAGGAAAAAACGTGCAACACCGAAATTTGAGTGCGAATAAAAATAAAAAACGAGTAGGCTAACGGTTAGCCTAACCTAAGTAATAATTTACAGCGCCTACTACGATGAATAGTGAATGAAATGAAAAATTGTTTCTTTAAATTATATACAACCTGTTATAATTATTATACTTCGCTCAAAATTAAAACAGGGCTGTTATACTAACGTTTAATTAAATTAAAAATCTTCTAATTTGTTTTTGTAATTAACACGAAATCTATGCGTACGTATCGTTCAGAACATGTGGACTATTTTATTTTTAGTCTGTAAATCAAACTCTGTCAGACGCAGAAAAAGTAACAACATGCAAGGCACGAAACGATAGAAATAAAATTATGAATGTAGAACCTATTATATGCATTTAGTGGGAGTAAAATAAAATAATGCGAAGAAGATATTGGTGAAGACATGTAGAAAAAATGAAACTGTAGAATAAGTATAAATTGTAATATGAATGGTAATGATAAAATGGAAGTATAAAATAAATACATATATGGTAATGAAGACCAAACAGTCATGAGTTTACATGTGTAATTCGTCGTCTCTTATTTTAAATATACCGTTATTTTCTTTTTGTTTTCTTTCTTTATATTTTTTGTTAGTTGTCCATTTTTTGCTGCCAGGTTGACTCTGATGCAGAGAAAATGTTAGACCTGCCTTACCAGAACCCAATGACAAAACCTAAAATGAAACGGATTTACTCATCCAAACGACAACTTTTTGACAGCGTATGGCTGTTTTTTGTCGAGTATTGTTATAAAATGTTATAAACTGTTATAAAATAGCGCAACGGAAGTTCAACAATATTATTTGATCAATTGTAAATAACTCTAGCGAAACGAGGGCCACTACTCGAGAAGTACTAATAATAAAATGCGAGAATGGCATTCTGAAATCGAGTTCACATATGTGAATAACAATAAAGGAATAATAACATTGCATTACTTGCGAGAATAGAATAGTTGTTAAAATGAAAACTATTGTAATTATTTACGGCGTTAGATGCGTTCCTCCGTGAAATTGAAATTTTGTAAAAATAAACGATCTAAGTATTTAATTTTTTAACTAGTTAATCGATTGACATCATGTATATATCCATGATTGACATTCATCACCTGTTCACCAACTCAGAGCAAATTAAAAATCTTTCCTTACACTGCCAATTATTTTTGTTATATTTTTGAAAATGAAATACATTTAGTAAATTTATTTTCAAAATCAAACAGGCATTTATAAATTAAACAATCCCATTAAAGATACGTACTTTGTCACCGCAACAAAGACAATGATAAATGACAAATATCAATATAAAGGGATAAAAAGAAATAATGATTGGGGCCTGAAAATTTTAACTGTTAATGTTTTAAAATGCACACAAGATGACAAATCAAAAAGTCTAAGTGTTGATGAACTTATCTCTCCATTGCTTTTTAGGTGCCGTGTAAATCCATTTTTCAATCGAGTTAGTATTGTTAGCATTATCGGAAAGGGCAGCACCAGAAACTATATTTTCTTCTTTGTTTATGGTGACAGCGGTAATTGCATCATTTTTATCAATTGTTTCAAATGAAGATTTGCTTTCAACTAAATTGGAAGAGGATGTTGGTTGATTGAAATTGCATGAGATGTTAACTTTTAAAAAAGCTTCGTTCGTGGATAACATTTTCCTTTTAGATTGTTGCTGATAAATAAATTCATCAATATCATCGTGATGTCGACAAACTGTTTGACAACGAGATGGGCTGCAAAGCCTAGCTCTGTGACATCGTTTCAAATTTGAACGTGGACAATTCACGACACAATCGATTTTGAGCTTTCTATTTTTAAATTCAGTTGATTTGGTTCTGAACAAATACGAGCAAGTTGCTTTCGTCAAATGTTCTGCTGAAAGACACTTTTTAATATTAATTTCATTTTCTTTTTTGAAAGGTCTGAAACATTTTACAATGCTTGATTGTTTTTTACAAGTTAATAAATCCGTTTTTTCATTCAAAATGTCATTTTTATTTGTGTTCGGTGTAGATCGTTTCGCAATCACCAAATCGGTAACAATTTCTAGAGGTATGTTTCTTCTTTTTTTTGATCTTTTACTATTTTGGTTCATTATTTCTAAAATGGACTTAGGAATGTGATAATGGTGTTTTGGACTCTTGTCCATAAATGTCTGGAAACAATCTAAATTATATCTGTCAATCAATGCACTGACATAAGGTTCGCTGAAAACCGGTTTTGTGATGGGAATAACAGTTCGAGGACGAATTTTCGAAACGAAATGGACAAGTTCAGTATAAGAAGAATGACCAGAATACGGTATCATATGAATGAAAGGCCTGTTTTTAAATAGCTGGTAATCAGCCGATATCATGAAAGCCGCTGTAGGAATAATGACAATATAAGACTCATTAATGTGTTTAATTGCGTTATCCAACTCATTTAAAGTTATAACTTCTATGTTTGGAGTGTTCGACGTTTGACTATAGATGGAAGTTTTGTTATTTTCATACAAAATACTCTGCAATTTCAATCTATCTTCATTTACTTTAATGGAACAATTGAAATAATTTGAAAGAAAATACAGTAAATCTTCTTTTCCAAGCGCGTTCATCCCCAAAATTATTTTTGATCGGTAGTTGTTCTTTATTAAATTTATTATCTGGGCGACGCAATCAGATTTCGAAGGAAACAAGCACTTTGGATTGCAGTAATTGTTGTCGAGGTAGAGAACGTCAACAGGTGTCGAGAGCAAGGACTTCATGCAGGCACCAAACATCTCGTCGCGATACCTGAAGTCTCCAGTGTATAAAATTCTGCCGAAATAACCTTCAAATAAAAACATGACCGAGCCTGGGTAGTGGTTGGCGTCGAAACAAGTAACGACCATTTTCTCATCCTCGTTTAGGTTAATTATATTGGGAACGTTGATCTCTAGTTCATGTATAATATCGGCTTTGACCTAATTTTATAAGTGGTAAAATAAAACAATTAAATAGTTAGACATTTTAATAACTTATATAAATATTAATATCAAAAAACATAGGAGTAAATGAATTTAGTCAAAAGAAGTAGTTCTGTTCAAATACGCAGTTTGAACGAAAAATTATATATTATCAGAGGACGCCACTAACTTTACAAAGTTTGCAAACGACATATCAACAACGAAGTTATTAAATTAAAGTAATCAACGAATAATTATTCACCGATAATCTGTAGATGAGCAATTTCTTGGTGATTGAACTACAATAGATCGATTTAGACCAAGTATGAGTTAAACCAGAAGACGAATCCATGTGGGCATGAGATGCGAAAAACAATTTTATCCTTGGTGACTGACGCACCTTCCAAAAGTCAACGGCAATCGGAGTATACGGAATAGCGCAGCCATTCATTTCGACAACTTTGCAATACGATATTATACATACATAACAAATTTCTTTTATGTTAGAAACGATAATTTATCAATCCAGTAATTAAGTTACACACTCCAATCAGTTTTGGTTTATTGTTACAATGTAAATTACAACTTAGAATTTGCAGAAAATTTAAATAATATGTGCTTACAGTCAATAAAACTCCGTCTGTTGTATTAATTGTCGTATACTCGAAATGTAAACAGGTTCAAGCAGAAATTAACCGGTTTATAAGTTTCCGAACAAGCTTTTGCTTAAACGAAACAGGCATTACAATACCGCTTGAGCAAACGTTAAAAATTCATAGCTATGTATGGCATCCAGTGAATACTATATTGGATATATAATGCATTTATTGTTACTAATAACAACATAATTGCATCAAAAAGATTGAAAAAGTTCTATATCACAAATGCAACATTTGAACGGAATCCTGGTTCTATATCACAAATGCAACATTTGAACGGAATCCTGTTAATTCGTTGAAATGCACGTTTGGTAAGTTACGATGTAGTAAATCAACCTTGAATTCATTGGTAACCAATGAACATATAAAAATATTCATTGAGGGTTTATCCATTTTAGCCCTTAAAAAAAACATTATAACAATGTCATTTTAATGTCACATTAAACTGAATGGTGAGTTAATGTGATGAATGACACCTGGTAGAATATTAAAGTTCATTCATAAACAAATCAACGGATACCTTTTAACAAATGGTTTCAGGATAGGTCTGATCGAGGCCCACGACGTTAAGGTGAATACATGTAAAACTAGCAAAGATGGCATCTGTAATATATAGACGATGAATTTTCGTTAACATAGTTTTCCCAACCAACAACGATCAGCGTTCAAGTCCTTGCACGAGTTTACATTCGATATTAAAATTCGAAAAAGTTCTAAAATTTTCATTAATCTCATTTTGAAATTAATTTAAAATGTTTTACTATGGTTAACATATTATCACATATTATATCTATGAGAGTCAAAGATTAGAGGAATAATGAGTTACTCTGAAAACAAAGTTGGATTAACTATTCTTAAAAGTGCACTAACAATAACGATATCGTTTAGAAGATTCTTATGCTCCAATTTAGTACCATCTGAGATAATGACTAGTCTTTCTAAGGACGTGCATAATTTAAGGCTAGCAAAAAATATCTCATTCAGATTGAGTTGCGACTGTTCAATTCTGTTAGTATTGATTGTTTTATAAAAAATTATTTCGTTTATTTTCTACTTTTAATAATGAATATGATATATTATAAACTACATTTGCATAAACATATTAAATCATAGTATCCAAATCAAAAAGCAACCTCAAATCTTTTAAATTGTTCATTTTTTGTAAAGCATGACTGAAGCTATTAGTCGAGAGAGCCGGACCTAGATCAGCAACGTTCAATATTTTCAAATCGGTGCAATTCTCAGCAATTTGTGGCCATACTGATCCGCTCAGTTCTGAAGAAATTATTATCAGCATAAAAGAGATTGGGAACATAAAGAGTTATTTAAAAACAAAATCGTACTGTAAGCTCCAACTAAGGTCAGAGATATTAGATGCCTTAATTCAGAAACAAATCTGATCTCATCATCGTACACATGATGACATCTGCAATATTCAGACACAAGTTTTCAATAATTGTTTGAAGCAATATAGTATTTTTACGTTCCTATTACTATTAAATGCATTTTGTGGTAACAGAAGGAACATTTAAAATTGAATTGATAATATGAGAACAGTCATTTACCTTCTTATGAACTTTGTCCCTTCTGGATATGTTATTAATGATTTAAATTCAACTCCAATCAGTTCCAAATGCGTAATGTTGCCATGGTTACGAACGATTATGTTATGTAATGTGTCGGATCCAACAGAATGTATCCTGGACACTCTTGATGCATTGCGGCCCTACAAGAATTAACGCATTTTAAACTGAAGACTAAAACATTTTTGCCCCAACATACCGAGATGCGTGCAATCTTGGCCGCAGGTTGTCCATCAGAAATATTTCTTTGAGAAAACAAGCAAATTGGTAAGCATAAAGACTTTAAATCTGACCAATTAAACATTTATATATCATTATCATCGTGCACTTCTTCATTTCAAATGAAAGAAAAGATTCATTTTTAAAGTTTACAAGTTTTTTTATGATCAATTTAAAATAAATGCTCAATCAAATGAGCAGTTTCAACAAAGAATACATTTAGTCAAACATATGTAGTGGAATAAATTTCTATTGTTCACTGTTCAACAAAAATAGTAATTTATTATGAAGTTATCTAACTTGATTTTAATTGAGACAAAAATTCTTTTATTTCTTGCTGTAACATACTGTTCGCTGATGAACCATCCTCATGATAAATCAAATCACATCCTCCATTTACGTGTGAAAACAAATTTATATGCTCCAATTTCTCACAATTTGATTTTGGCAATAAAACACAATACTTAAAAATGATATGTTTTTATCAACGGTTATGAGAAAATATTTCGTAAAACAGTTTTTAAATACTTTGCTCGTATCCTGACTACTTCTGACAACTGTATCATATAAATTGAAAGATTCTAAATTTAAGCATTGATCAAAAACATCAGCACTGGTAACCAACATTATGCCTGCAAGTGACAGCTTCTTTAGAGATCTAGGCAACTGGCACTTTAATGGAAAAATGTCGAGAGTCCATGTATCAAAACATTCAAGCTCTGTCAAATTTGAAGTGTTTAGTAATACTTCCCAGTTTGGATAACGAGAAACATTGGAATATACAACCAATTTCTCCCAAATATTAAATGCATCCAAACAAAAAATGTCAAAAAAAGAGCAGGAAGCATCCTCTTTAACAGTTAAAGATTTAAGCTTGGTCATAGATTTAAAGTAAGTAGCAGCTATATTATTATACAGAGGTGTTATGGCACGAATGTCTAAATCTTCTAAATTTAAACAGTGCCGAAGTAACACACAAATATAAACATCGTTTGAAAGAAGAGTGTAGTTTATGAACATCCGTTTCAGTTTACGTAAGCTAGATTTTATATTGCGAGTTAAGGATTCTGGTTCTATTAATTGTTTATAAGTAAATGATAGATCTTGTAAACTTCTAAGATTGTCCAATGTTTTCAATAGCAAAGTATTGGAAAAATTACATCCAATTACATCTAACTTTATTAAATTAATACAGTGTGTTGGTATAGTTCTTAAAATGTCATCTTTCATCCAGTAACATCCATTCAAATGTAATTTTTCTAAAAATGAGCCATGATGTTGCAAAAAATTCTTGAAACATTTAGAAGTTCTTTCATCTTTCCATCCAAGCCTGAAGCATCTTCAAGGCATTAACAAAAATATAAACTTTGAATAAAACCAAATTGAAACACTGATTCATTTAATTAATTTAATATATAATTAAATATTTGTTCAATAACATTAATAACAAACCCCAAAGAATAAGTAGAATAAACCTTTGCCAGTGAAGCATGACACTGAATCATGCAAAAGATGTCAGCAACTTTTAGGTATTGAAATATATTGAACCAAACTAAATCCGGCAAGTCTTCCACAGTAACAGAACCACAAACATTTTGCAGTCCTGCACACATTCTTTGAATTGCTGCTTGTTGTTAGGCTTCTTTAGGTTTAGAGCTAAAATATAATAAACAAAACATGAAATAATTTGATTATTAAATTTAATTAAAATGAATGAATAATCATTACTACAATAACTATACTTATACTATCATAAGAACTTTTTATTAAAAAGCATTTTATTTAGGGGGGGTTAGGCTAGTATAATTTAAAACTTAAAGTTTAATTAATTTTAATAATAAATTATTAATTAAATATAATGTAATTATTAAAAAAAATTTTGTGGAAACTCACTTGTAGTGTTTGAGTGTTACTAACTAAAATCTGGTATCAATAAATTATTTAATATTTAATTAATTATTAATTAATTATCACATTAACATTTTATATGCCAAGTGGCCATTCTGTTCGTTTTTTAACCAGTAGATTTATAAAAATTAAATTATTTAGTTAGAATTAGAAACCAAGCTAAGTAAGAAGCAAAAAGTCAAATTTGAATAATAAATAATTTCGTGTCCTTTTTTTCTTTTTTTTTAACGTAGTTAGACTCAGAGTTAGTAGACAGAGTCACCTAGTAATGTAAGTTACTGCTTGCTTGTTAGTTAGTTAGTTACGTTACTGAGGCATCTTCTTTCTCAAACACGGGTTGATCCAATTTCAAATGCATGGGTACCCCCTGTTCCTACTAAACTCCTGACAACTACAGCGTATTAAATACACGTGAGAGATTTGTTTGTTTGTGTGTGTGTGTGTGTGCGTGCGAGTGTGCGTGCGTGAGTATATGTTGTGTGTGTGCGTGTATGTCATGTGTGACATACACTTCGAATAAGATTTATTAAATTATATAATATTCGTATTTTGATTAAAATAATTTGTATTAAAATACAAATGGCTGGTAAGCATGTTAATGTGCTACTTAAATTACTATATAATACAAATACACGTTACAACTACAATCCCATGATTTGGACTTAATAGTTATTTAACAAAGCTAAACCTAACAGTGTAACCGATGGATATGTGTTTCAAACCATTTAATGTTGCATCCATGGTTGTATCCGCTTTCGTGTGAGATTTCATGAAGTGCAATACAATAAATAAAATATATAAAAGGTGTAATAAGAAAACGTATGCAAAATGATCTTAAAATTGATAACATCCATTAAATGAACATTTTTGATTTGGATTTATCATTTTATATGCACTGGTTTTATTTAACCATATCATTTATCATGATTCTAAAATAACTGGATGTTCCAGATTTTATATATTACCGGAAATGTATTATACTGGGTATTCTGGACGTATATACAAATTTTGATGTTCCCTTTAATTAGATAGTTAAAGGTTAACATTAGATTACACACTCAAGAATCGAAATATACTACTTGATCTGAACACTTACCTGATAATGTTTGCTTCGTCATATTGTGTTGTATCCAGCTAAAAATATAGATTAGATTGTTGAATTATATGAATATGGTTGTAGCCAACGCGGATTTTTTTTAAAGTACCAAGTATAACACCACAAAGTACTATTGAAAGAATAAAATCAATATAAAATCAATACCTAATAGATAATATAGTTAAAAAGCCCAAACATAGGTTTTCGACGACGGCATGTAAGATCTTTTTAATAAAAAAGGTTGCTTAGCAACCGATAGTCTTACCTGTAAACTTAAAGTTTAAAATTGTACAAAAACTTAATTGATTGATTGATTTGGTAACAAAATAGAATTATTTCAACATTAACATGGATAGAGATTCACGCAAAGTAATTTTTGATTATTTGTTGTTACAGTAATTACAATCTCTTAAATTGGTTTATTTGTTCATTGTTGAGACTTGAAACAGCAGCTTAGCTACCTGTTTGGTTGACTACTCATTTTTTAATTTTAATTGCATAGTGTACGACTAAAATTTTAATTTTTACAGAAAAATTGTCAGTTTGACTCAAAACATCCTTTGTTCCCTGATCTGGATGAATGCTCCACAAAAACTAAATTATATGAAGTGAATATTATTTCGTTTTAAGAAATGCGTTTTACTTTTCCAACTTATTTTTAAAAATTTCAGAAAATGTGGGAGAGGACCTTGTATCCTCCAATAATAAATGAAATGTCATGGACATTAGCGGCTCCATTTCAAACAAATGCATATTGTGCAACACCCAGCCAATCTATTGCTAGCAATTATACACCATCACTTCAGAATCCAAAAATGTCAAAATGGTTGAAGAAAAGTAGACCATCTGGTACTCAATTTTTTGCACATTTTAACACAATTTATTATCTTCATATAGTTTGATTCATTATTTTCAATTGGATTTTTTGGATTTTTTCAGTTCTAGCAAATCAAAATCGTTTTAAGAAGAATACAAAAGTACGAAAAAAGTAGGAATTGAAATTTTCAATGTAGACCATGAGATGTTAGAAAAAATATTTTTATAAAATTTTGGTAGAAGTGGTCCAGAGTTGAAGAGGCCAACAAGTCGATCAATGACTCCCATGGAACAGATGGAAGTGATCAGCGTCATGCACAAAGAACATACCAACCCACTCAATGAAATGTCTGCTAACGATAGAGAAGTTTGCATATAATATTTCATTCATTCATCTCGTGATTTTGTTTAAATAATCCATCTAAATATTCATAAAAATGAAAATGACAATAAATCAGAGGTACAGTTATTACATCACCAACATGATACCCGAAAACATGCTGGCTCCCATGCTTCCTGATCAGATGAACAATTTCAAACAACTCATCTTTCCAGTGGCGCTCAGGAGCAGGACTGCTGAGCTGGAAAAGGAAGTGCTGGAAGATTATAAAAACAGTTTGAAGATCTCTATAGGTTAATTTCATAACTTTAATTTTCATAATAACACAGGCTTAATTATTTTAAATAATTTTAATTTTGTTTTTTTAATTAATGTTACAGTAAACTACATACTGGAGGACCCAAATCAACGAACCAGACTGAATATACATGCGACTCCATGGCAATGGCCTGTCAGGTGAGTTTTTTTATTATCGTCGTTGTCGTCATCAACATCATTTATTACCATCTTATTTATAGTCTAAAGCATTAACATCATCATCTATAGCATCATCATTAATGTCGTTACCACTTTGTAATTGCGCTGCAGAGTCATTCGTGCTCCAGTTCCGTGGCATGATAAGTTGAAGTCCATCTCCCACTTCATTAAAAATCACTTGCAACTGTTGAACCCCATTATGGACAGACTGCAGCTGCTTTGGGTCAAAGAGTATGTGTGTTTGTCGTCCAGCTTCAATTTTTGTTTACATTCATTTCTGTAGAAATTACTTCATTGAAAGTGAAAACGTTTACTCTCAACAGATATTCCAACACAAAATTTATAAGCAAAGAAGGATTGTTGAACAACAATTTACCAATGCTGCCAGCAGAAATGAAGAAATACATTGAGGATTGTTGCTGGAACATGAGGGAGCAACTCAAAAAGAAGTAACCTCATCAAATTCGATTTTATATTTTGTAATATTTTTGGACCACCCTTGAAATGTTACTTGTTCATGAAAATACATCAAACATTTTATTTAATTTAAATTTTTGAGATTTTCAACTTAAATAATTTTTTTCATTAGAGGAATGTTTCATTTTCTTTCTTTTTTTAATGTTTCAAAACAATCTTTAAGTTTAACTATCGTATATGGAGTTATCTGTTTAAACTGCAGTTACAAGTTGCCTAGATGTAATTAATACACCAATACATCGCTAATAAGTTGCGACCGAATTACACGCAGCTGGGTTCCAACAGTGGCGGATATATTGATAGAGATGAGGTCGTTGTGGCAGTTCATGGTTCCGAGAACAGACGACGGATCGACTGTGAGGGTTCAAGAATTTTTTTCCTGCATTGCTGCCCTCATGTCTCTGCAACTCAGATCGCTGGTCATCAGGTCTCTGGATGAGTATTTGGCCTTCTTTGAGGATTATGCCGTAAGTTCATCTCTTGCAATTAAGTATTATCTGTGTTTATAAGACTACCATTGTATTCTTCATAAACCATTACAATGTCTTTTTTCAATTTTAATTATCGCTTGGTCTGACTCAATGTGTCTTAAACTTAATTTTTCTATGTTTTAATTAATTTGTTTTAATAAATCTAAACACTATTACTATTCCTTCTATTATCTTATTTTACCTGATTCTTATAAAATTCGTAGTCTAGGCTTTATCATTGAATCTAGCATGTCTCTTTCTTTTCAGATTAATAGTATTGCTAGAAGTTCTTATTTTCATCTATGTGGAATTGTGGAATGAAAAAATATTTGCCTTTTCTTGACGATCCTACTCTTCTTATTCTTGTTATTTCGTTAGTCTTATCTAGGATTGATTATTGTAACTCGCTCTACTATGGTCTACCTGATTCTACACTCTATCTTTTGAGTAAAGTTTTCAACTCTGCCGCTCGTCTGGTTGCTCGTGCCCCTTTCTTTTTTCATATATCTCCACATCTTGTTCTCTTGCATTGGCTGCCTATAAAATATAGAAATGTATAAGTCTCAATTGAAATTATTTCCTAAGTGCGTATCAGATATATTAATTAAACCTAAACGCTCCGGTCCACGATCGTCTTCTTGTTCTCACTTCTTTTTAACTCGTGTTAAACACTCTTATGCTGAATCTGCGTTAGTTTTTTCTGGTCTTTTTTTCTGGAAGTTAATTGGTTTATTAGCTCTCAAATGAATTGGTTATTAATATTTTAATTCTGTAATTCTGTTCTGCCATTTTGTTTGCGCCTTGTAGGCAGGAAATGATTTTCAGCCACCTTTCAACGATTCCATGTTCCTCATGAAGTCGTGTTTGTTGTTCAAGATTCGCGTGCAAGATCTACAGATTGAATTCTATCCATTGTTTGATGAGGTTGAGGAAAATATCATTGCATCTATCAGGGAGATTATCTACTGCGCCGAGGGCATACCCAGAGTTTGATTTTTTTTGTTTTATTGAAAAACGGTTACTTGAAAAAAATAAAATACGATAAGATTTTAAAAATTTTGATAATAAATTGTTGTGTGAGTTTGTAACAAAAAACGAAAACTCTCGCCAGGTGGACCACAAATTGTTCCCAGATCTCAACTATCTATCCATGACGATTAAATCAATCAAATTTAAGGAATCGATTGTTACAAGATACGTTGAAAAAGCTGTCAGCATATTTCGGAAGAACACCCTTGGTCCCAAGTTATACATAGCAGAATATACAAAATATTTGGAACTTGTGGGGGATCAAGCCAAAAATGAAATAAGATCCTTCACTAACCAGCCTCAATCACTTGAAAAGTTTAACGAGGTTCTCTTCAGTTTCTTTCTAAGGCAGATTTTTAAAATTTTCAAGTTAACAAAGCAGATGAATCAATTTTTCCTCATGATGTCATCCTATCAATTAAACTTATTCTCAATTATCGTTAGAAACTACAAAACATCCAAAACTTAAAGAACGAGTTGGCGTCACTGAGAGTAACAGTGCCAATGAATTTGGTGTGTCTCGATTGCTTTGACATCAATGATATCTTCTTCAAGAAAACGAACGCACTGCAAGAACATCTGCTGCAATTTCTTGTCGACGAGAACAGAGAGACCAATAAGAGGCATCTAACTTTTTGTTTCTTTTATTATTTTTATTTGCTTAATTAATTTCATCACACAGTTTTTAATTTATTTCAATTGAATTTATTTAGTTCTTGAGTTATTTTGAATCTAGGTTAAAGTTTTTTTTTGTAGAATGTTTGTTCAAACTTTTATTAAGACCAATTTTTAAAATTTTTGCCAATGTATTATATGATTCAATGAGAAGACATTTTTTTGATTGAATGAAAAATTTTAAAAGTATATGCAAGAGTTATGAAGAGATGTCTGACAAGGTCACTCAAATACCAGAAACCACTGAGGATCTTGTTAACTCCCTCAAATACTTCAGAACCGTTTGCATTTTGCTCATTTGTTCAGTCTCTACGATTTGCTTTAAAAATTTCTGAATATTATTATAATTAATTAATTAATTAATTAATTGCTGCAAATGCAAATTGATTCTTCGAATAAAATAGTTCATTTTGCCGTGTCCTGCAATTTTCAATATTTTCAGTGCCAAGATATAACATTGTACAAACTGAAGGAGCAAATAGGAGAAGCCTCTCAACGGATAATGTTCCTTCTTGAAAACACCATATTATTAGGTCTCGTTTACCATTCATCTTGTCATGAGCTTTCGCTCGAATAACTCATATTTTACGTTTCACGTTATTTCATTGTACTTTAAAATACTTTGAACTTAAATTTTAGGATCTTTTGAAAATTGTTAATAAAAATATTTTCTGTTGAAGTCGAAGATCTGAAGTTGCATTGCAGCCTGTTTAACTGGCCGGACAACATTGTTATCACACTGGACAACGCGCAAACCATGTTAAACATCTACAGAGATAAGTGTGAGGAAAGGCTGCAGAAGCAGGTTGAAGACTTCCGACAAAAACTTAACGACATCAATAAAGAAATTGAAACATTTAGGAAGAAGGAGGTTTTCAAAATCTCAATTAATAATTTTATCTTATCATTTTTAAATACTATTTTTATTTGATGAAAATATTTTGAAATAAATATAGATATAACACGTTAACAATAATGTGTTTTGACGTAACATATATCTTATTCATAATACACCTTAAACTTATATTTTCATGTTTATTTGTCCTAACACGCTAACAGAAAATGGTTGGTTTGTATTTTTTTATGTAGCAAATGTTTTAGGCTCTCAAATGAGAATTGTTAATATTCAAGAAGTTAATATTTTTTTTTAAAACACACCACCGACCTGCAGAGAATGATGGTTAGGGTTTCTACTAAATTGTTAACGTCACAAAATCTAATATTGCTATTTTTTGTATCCGCTAGTACTATACATGTTATTTGCTGTATATAATGCATTACAATGTTCCTTTTTTCCATATTTAACTTAAAATTTAGTGAAATATTATTTTTTCCAATATATAGAGATAAATGAAATGAATAAATAACTGTAAATTTGTGAACGTTATAGACAAGTGTAGTAGTTAGTACATAAAGTAGCCTGTTTTGGTCACTAGTAAACTTTTGGAGTGCAATTCTCACCTGGTTTTTGTGTGTCTCGTCTATTTTTAGTCATTTTTATTTACCTAGTTTATTTTATGTTTTTTTGTTCAAACATTTGAATTATTGGTATTATTATTCAATATGCGTTTTGCGTGTTTTTTTTATTAGTAATTTATTCCATTCACTTATTGCGTGTGATTGGCCACGAAGTTATTTTTTGTTGGGCTTGCCCAGTTTTCTACATATTTTGTTTTATCTTTTTGACATAACTCATGGGGTTCAGTCGAGTGTGTGTTTTTATGTTTTCAGTGTTTTCAGTGTTATTTATATTCCTACATCAACTACTTGATTTATTATTTCAAATGTGTGCTGTTAAAAAAAAGTATCTCTACGTAACATCGTCTATTTAATATTGTTACTTTTATCACATCGTACGACATCACCAGATAACAAGTCTTGACGAGATGAAGATCAATGTAGACATATTGACTCGCATCACGGATAATCTCGTTGATGCCAGAAATGAGCTGGTGGCGATCAACTTCGATGAAAGTTTGCTGGAGTGGGAGGAATCCAAGTTCCCGATACTCAATCAAATGTTTGCGGCTAAGGATCCTTATGAGAAACTTTGGAAGAATGCGCTGAACTTCACTATCAAAAGTGAAATATGGCTGAACGGTTTGAGTTTTTATTTTAAAATCTTTAAAAGTTTAGAAAAAGATTTAGTCGTTAAATTATTTTTCTTGCAAAGGTCCATTCAGGAATGTGATGGCAGATGTTGTTAACGACGAGTTAGCAGAAATGTTCAGAGTGATGCACAAGCTGACAAAAATATTTGTTGATGCTGGCCCTCGAACGGTAGCTGAACGATTTCGCAACAAGATTGAAAAATTCAAAATCAATTTACCGTTACTTAATGTTATCAGCAACCCAGGAATCAGAGAGAGGCATTGGCAGGCTGTGAGTATTTTTATTTAATTTAAAGTAGCTTATAACGTTTGCTGGAACCAATATTTTATTTTTTTTGAACACTGGTTATTTCATTTTGGTCTCGTTCCATTGAATAAACGTTTTATTTTCAGTTTTATGTTGATCTTATTATAAAAAAATTTCTGACATTATCATGTTTCATTCAGATGAGCGATATAGTAGGGTTTGACTTGAAACCTGGACCAGATGTTTCCTTGGCTCAAATGATTGACTATGGATTAATGATTTATGTTGATAAGTTGGTGAACATTTTTATTAACGGTTCCATACCATATTGTCAATCCAATGCTTTAATTGTTTTACGCATAATAATTAACTTGTTGAAATCTCATAATTCTTGAAATGCCAAATTTAAGTGAGAATTTTTGATATAGCACAAACATGTTATTGAATAATTAAAAATCTTTACACTTATATTTCCGAATTGCTTTGATCAATTCAGATTGGAAGAGATTGGAGCAGCTGCCGCAAAAGAGTACACTTTGGAAAAGAATTTGAATAAGATGGTCAGTGAGTGGCAGAACCTGCAGTTTGAGTTGGTCATGTACAGAGATACCGTTAGTTGTCTGAACTCGTTTTACGACATTGTTTAAATTTGAATATGTGTAAATTCAAATCATTCATTCTTTAGGAGGTGTACATTCTTTCTGCCATTGATGATATCCAGCTGTTGCTGGATGACCACATCATCAAGGCGCAGACGATGAAAGGATCTTCGTTCATTAAACCACTTGAAGCCGAAATCACAGATTGGGAATCTAAACTTGTATCTATGCAGAACATTCTAGATAATTGGCTAAAGGTTGGTTAATACATTTATTTAGATTTGCTTTCAAATGAGAAAAATTTTAGCTGTTTTATTTTACTCGTTAATTGATTTGTGTTAAACAAATTATTTATTAATATATCGTCAGTGCCAAGCTACTTGGTTGTACTTAGAGCCCATATTCAGTTCTGAAGACATAATGGCTCAAATGCCAGAGGAAGGCCAGAAGTTTGCCATAGTAGATGGCATATGGAAGGAGGTTATGTATGGAGCTGCGAAGGACAAGAGATGCTTGGTGGCCACCGGTCAGCCCAACATGCTGAAGAAGTTGATTGAGGCCAATGCGTTGTTGGAAGATGTTCAGAAAGGTCTGAATAATTATCTAGAGAAGAAGAGATTGTTCTTCCCAAGGTTAGTTTTTAATGATTATCTTGACTTAATCTTTTATAATTCTAATAAGGTTAAAGTTAACGCGCCAGCATTTGTAATTTAATAATTACATTTTTAGTTATTCAATTTTTTCACAATTTGAGAAACTTGTTTTTTTTAAATTTCTTTCAGACCAAATTATTTCAACTCCCTATACATTTTAAAATCTAAATAATTAACAATCTCAATTTGTACCGACGACGTTTCAAAGATTTTTCTTCTTATCGAACGACGAATTGTTGGAGATTTTGTCAGAAACAAAGGATCCAACGCGAGTTCAGCCGCACCTGAAAAAATGTTTTGAAGGAATCGCCAAGTTGGAATTCAACCAAGATCTAGAGATTCTTGAGATGGTGTCTTCTGAGAACGAATCTGTCAGCTTCTATCAGAAAATATCCACTGCAAAGGCCAAGGTTTGGTCATCGTAACTTTGATGCTTACTTTTTTTCATGAGATAATTTTTCAATTTTTATTTTATTTAACGATGATGAACAAATTTTCACTTTTCAATTTCTAAAAAAATATCTGCTTTTTCTTATTACACTGTGAATTTGATATTCTTAAAAATTTACGCCAGGGTATGGTGGAGAAGTGGTTGCTTCAGGTGGAGGAAGTGATGGTGAACAGCGTGAAGAAGGTGGTTGGTGAGGCGTTCGACGCTTATGCTTCAACACCACGAAAAGAGTGGGTGGTTGAGTGGCCAGGGCAAGTGGTCATCTGCGTTGGGTCAGCCTATTGGACCATGGAAGTCAGCAATTCATTCAAAGGCCCGCAAGGATTGACTGTTAGTTATACCAAAATAATGACCAAGACAATTACGCCACTAATGATCGTTCCATCGTTTGTTGATGTGTATTATAATAAATGTATATTCTGTGTATGTCAGTTGACACTATGATTTTGTTTTTCAGGCGTATGCTAAACAGTGCAACAGACAGATTGAGGAAATAGTAGAGTTGGTGAGAGGAAATGTGATAACGACAGGAACCAGGATAACGTTGGGGGCTCTCATTGTGATTGATGTACACGGTATGGATAGAGTGTTTGTCGCTAATCTTGTACCTAATGTCGATGGAGTTTGCTGAGAATGATTCTTTGTTTAGCGGATCGAATTGTTTAGCTAGCAGTATCGTATACATTTAACTTATATGGAAATTACTAAATTAAAAACAGCTCGTGACGTTGTTCTCAATCTCATTGAAAAGAAGATACACAGTTATCATGATTTCAACTGGCTGAGTCAACTCAGGTCTGATTACTGCTTCAATGTCCGTCTATCTGTTTAAATAAATTATTTTATTAATTGTTACTATATCAAAGTTTTCAAACATTCGGACGATTGATACTGCAACTGCAACAAAAGTTAAATATTTAAATTTCTATTCTTATCTCAAAAGTAGTTTGCCTAACGATGCAGATATTATTGGGACAAAAAGGAGTTGTACGTGCAGATGATAACGACGAACCTGGTCTATGGTTACGAATATCTGGGCAACACATCGAGACTCGTCATCACTCCACTGACGGACAGATGTTACAGGTAGGTCTGATCACATTTCATTAAATTACATCTATTTCTGTTTATGTCTACCAGCATTGTTTAACTTACGTTCATCCACTTGTTGCAATAACACAACAACCACTATTTTCAATTGAGAACATTGATGGGGGCGTTGAAGTTGAACCTCGGAGGAGCACCTGAGGGACCTGCAGGTACTGGAAAGACTGAAACTTCCAAAGACCTTGCCAAAGCTGTTGCTAAGCAGGTTGCACATACATATATTCATAACTTTTTTAATAGGTACAAGTTGTTATCTTTGATCTAATTATATATTGTTGGTAATCTTATTGTGAAAGTAATAAATAATTGAATTATGGATGTTTACTTTGAAGTGTGTGGTCTTCAACTGTTCTGACGGGTTAGATTACAAAGCAATGGGAAAGTTTTTCAAAGGACTGGCGCAGTCAGGAGCCTGGGCTTGTTTTGATGAGTTCAACAGGATTGAAGTTGAAGTACTTAGTGTTGTGGCACAACAGATTCACTGCATTCAAACAGCCATTGCCCAAAATGTTAAGAGATTTTTATTCGAAGGTAAGTCTCAAAATTGATTGATGGTGACGGTGATTTTAATTCATTACTATCTTCTTTGAGACTACTACTTGATACGTTTGCATTAGGAACTGACTTGATGTTGAATAACACTTGCGCCATCTTCATCACCATGAATCCCGGGTATGCAGGCAGACAAGAACTTCCTGATAACTTGAAAGTAACACATATTTCAACCCGTTTCTCACGAAAGTGCTCTAATATAAACATGTTTAATTTTTCTATCGGCAGCTTTATATATTATATGTTATATATTATTAATTCTTATTAGTATAAGCTTTAATGTGTGAGGATTTTTTATTGATTACAAATGTTCCATTATAAATTTTTAAAATATTGATATCAAATAACTTGACTGAAGGTTCTGTTTAGAACAGTTGCAATGATGGTGCCAGACTATGCGCTCATAGGCGAGATTTCTTTGTACTCCATGGGATTCGTCAATGCAAGAGGGTATGCTGTTAATACGTTTAAAAGTTAAATCCGTTAATTGAAAACGTTAAAAAATTATTAGCATGTTCTTGACGGTATGTGATGTGTTTAAAAATATATAACTACGTTGTGGCAAGATTAGACAAAATTGTTTTAGATCAAAATTTTATATTAATTTTATGGGTATGGAGCTCCTCACTTTGTCTACACAACAAATTGATTGTAAATGTTTAAATGCCGCTGTATATCTTTATCTGCGTTAAATTTTTCAACAATTTCAGATTGGCTCAGAAGATAGTGGCAACATATAAGCTGTGCTCGGAGCAGTTGTCATCCCAGCACCACTACGATTACGGAATGCGAGCCGTCAAATCCGTTTTAACGGCAGCTGGTAACTTGAAGTTGAAGTACCCGGACCACAATGAGAGTGTTGTTTTATTGAAGGCACTCATGGACGTCAACCTACCCAAGTTCCTCGCTCAGGTACGTTACAAGTTGCAACGTTATACGTGCCGTTGTGTGCAGTAGAAAGTTGGCTATTAAAATCTGGACTTAATACTCGTTAGGACATTCCATTGTTTGAGGGGATCATTGCCGATTTGTTTCCAGGAGTGAAGGCCACCCACCCTGATTTTGATGACTTTTTCACCGCCGTTAAGAACAGGATTGCTTCAAACGAACTTCAACCCGTGCCATGGTTTATCAGCAAAATTACTCAGGTCCGTTTGTTATTGATTCGTCGCAATCTGTTATAGTTTTTTTTTATGAAACTTTTGTTTCGAATTTTATGTTTATTAAAATATTATTTTTTGAAACTGTTTTTTAAGAAGAAAATTTTTAATTTTAAATTTATATGGAAAGTTAAAAAACAAGTTTGATTAAAGCATATTATTTAACGCTGTAAATTAAATATAAAGCGACATGTTTTTAGATATACGAGATGATATTGGTTCGACACGGTCTGATGATCGTTGGAGAACCAATGGGAGGCAAAACAAAGGCCTACCAAGTGCTGGCTGGTGCCCTCACTGACCTCTCCCTGATGGACCCACCCCTCGAGAACCAGGTCGAATTTGTGTTGTTGCATACCTCCGATTGTATGTACGACTGATTCCTATATGATGAATATAATTGTTTGCTTAAATTATGAACTTGAGTAGTCTGATATTTTGCAGTACAACTAAAGTGAAATTGAGATTTAAATTTTTTTTAGGTGTTTTACAAAATAATCAATCCCAAAGCAATAACCATGGGACAGTTGTATGGACAGTTTGATCTTGTTTCTCATGAATGGACTGATGGTCAGCATTCTATTTATTACTTCCAAATTAAAATACCTTAGTTGTTGATGGTTTTAAAGCTCATGTTTTAATCGTTCAGATAGTTTTTAGGTGAACCCATTTTTGGATGCTACAGTGCAACAATTTTTGGGAACAGTTTTGATTGAATGTTTTTTTAAACATGCGTTCATTTCACGTTTTACTTGTAGTATATATCACTGAACGCCATCAAATAAATTGTAGGAGTGTTAGCTACGACATTCAGGAAATATGCCATAAACACATTGGAAGATAGGAAGTGGATTGTGTTCGATGGACCTGTTGATGCCGTTTGGATCGAAAATATGAACACCGTGCTGGACGACAATAAAAAGGTTAACAAAAAAAAATTGCGTCTTTTTTCATCTTACTTTCAGTGTGCAGTTAATTCATTGTGGCGTATTTCAAAGTAAAACTGGGAACTATTAATCTCATCGGTTTTTTTATTCAATTTCACAGTTGTGTTTGATGAGTGGTGAGATAATTCAAATGTCGGTAAACATGAACATGATATTCGAGCCGGCTGACTTGGAGCAGGCATCGCCAGCCACAGTCAGTCGGTGTGGGATGATTTATTTGGAGCCACTGCAGCTCGGTTGGATGCCTTTCAAAGATTCCTACCTGGAACATGTCTTCCCTAAAGCGGCTGAAGCTGACCACGTCCAACAAGTCTGTTGTGGTGATGAGGATGTCGAAAATATTTAGCTGACGGTGTTGAGTGGGTGGTTTTAATGTTTTCTCAACGTTATCAGTGTTTGTTGAAGAGGTGAATGAGTTATGATAGTTGATATAATTTCATTCAAACGTGTTTTTTTTACGAAGTAATTAATTTAAATTTCCAGGTGTCCGATATGTTTGATTGGTTGGTGCAACCCTGTCTAGACTTCATAAAATCTGACTGCAAGGTGTTGTTGAGTACTTCTCCCATCCACCTGGTATTCACGTTCATCAGGTTGTTCCATTCCCTCCTCGACGAGATCATACAAGAGTACAAGAACCCAACCAACATGACACTCACAAGCGCTCAGGTAACTTCCAACTCTCTCACCAACTTCCATTTATTATTTCCGTTCATTATCAGTTGAGTTGTTATGGTTTAATGCATTTCAGATAACATTGTGGCTGCAAGGTTTGTTTCAATTCGCTCTGGTTTGGTCAATCGGCAGTACAGTGTCAGGTGATTCTCGGAAAAAGTTTGATGCCTTCTTCAGAAATCTCGTTTACGGGTTAAATGCCAAGTGTCCTAAACCTAAAAGCTCTAAAATTTCTAGGGTGAGCTTTTGGCATTTATTTATTTAATTATATATTTTTTTATGATGCTTATTTTAAATAAAGCTATCAATTAATGAATTACTTTTTTATACAATTTGAGAAATAAGTTATGGAAATTGTGGCATAGATAAATAGATAGTAGGCACCAGTAACTAAAAATTAATCGTGCCTTGTGCTTTAAAAAACTTTTCATTGTTTCCTTCAAATTAGTCTAAATTACAGCTGCCAGATTTTATATTAAATTTCTTATAAATGTTTTGTGACTATCCCGCTTACTCCGAAACGCTTGACAGCTGCAATATTGTTCTGAATGATGTCATTTTTAGAGTTCATTTCAAGAGAATGAGTTTGTTTTCGCAGTATAATTGCTAGGACGATGATCATCGATGAAATTTACAGAACAATTCCTTCCCCGAACGTGGCCTGGTGTATGATTTTTGTTTTGAGAAGAAAGCAAGTGGAATCTGGGTGGAGTGGATTGAAAAGTTGGACAAAATCAACGTCAGCTTTCCCTCCAATGCCAAAGTATTTATTACTAACTTGAAATTATTCAAGTTTTTGTTTATTTAAAATTATGGAGACTCGCAAATATTGAACCTTTTTATCATGCATAGTTTATAGAAACAACCAAAATAATTTCAAAATGCAATTTCCATAATCACTTTATATTGTTCTTTAAATTGTCCAGATCAGTGACCTAATCATACCAACGCGTGAAACGGCGCGTCAGTTCTTCTTCTTGAACACCTACGTGCTTCATAACATTCCCCTCTTGTTCGTTGGACCCACAGGAACAGGAAAGTCTGTCATAACCATCGACTACATCTTTAATCTCTCCAAAGAATCGTGAGCCATTTGTTGTTTTCATTCAATTTTTATGGTATGAATTAATATTTCGGACGAATCATCAGCGATTTGTCACTTTTTTGAACTTTTTAAAACGATCACAATACTATTTTAATATTAGCAAGAGATTTAAACGTATTTGTTTAAATAATTGGAACAGCTTCATAAAGAACATGATCAACTTCTCAGCTCGGACGTCAGCCAATCAGACGCAGGACATCATAATGGGCAAGTTGGATAGACGAAGGAAGGGTTTGTACGGTCCACCTGTTGGCAAGAAATGCATCGTGTTTGTTGACGACCTGAACATGCCAGCCAAAGAAAAATATGGGGCACAACCACCAATCGAGTTGCTCAGGCTAGTTGGGCTAAAATGTTTGCTTCTAGTGTGGTTTAATTGGGTAAAATTTTAAATTTATTTGTATAACATTTGTTCTATAATTTATTATTATTAAATTGAAGTGTTTCTGATGACGATTATATGAAAAAAGTGAATTGTTTTTGTCTTTTTAGGCAGTGGATTGACCATGGTCACTGGTATAACAAGAAGGACACCTCCAAGCTTTTCCTTGCCGATATGGTTAGTTTTACGGTGCTGCTGGGTGCTGTAATTGTTGGAATAAGAAAAAAGATGATTATTGTTTTAAGGAGGATTTGATAAATGATGGTAATAGTGAGTAGTAACATGTTATGTACAAATAATCGGCAGTTGTTTCTGGGAGCCATGGGTCCACCAGGCGGGGGTAGGAATGACATCACAGGTGTGCCAACATTCATTTTAATTTTTCATTTAAATTTGGATATAGTTAATTTTTAATGTCTCTAGGTATTAATTTTATTTTCAATTTATGCTGCTTTTTTCAAATTATATACCTATGAATTGGTTTAATATAATTGTCAGAGTTCGGTTGCGCGAAGAAAAACTTTAAATGTTTTCTTTCGTGAAACATTCAGGTAGATTTACGCGACATTTGCAACTGATGTCCATTGATGAGTTCGATGATAGCACGTTGATTAAAATCTTCTCGACAATTATTGATTGGCACTTTTCTAAAGGTTTCGACGTCATATTTCTTCATCAGGGCAAGGTTGTCATGTTATTTCACTTTTTGTTTGTAATAATTTGATGAAAGTTTGTGCAATATAACGAATTAAATGACTACAAGGCTCTTGTACAAGCAACATTAAAAGTATACAAAGATTTGTTTTATGGCTTCCTACCGACACCTACAAAGAGCCACTACATTTTCAATTTGAGAGATTTTTTCAGAGTCATCAGCGGCGTCATCTTGGTTTCTCAGCAGAAGTTGACAGACGTCGAAAAGCTCATCAGACTCTGGTTTCACGAGGTCTACAGGGTCTTTAGTGATAGGTTGATTGAAAGTGCTGACAGGTGAGGATCACTCTATTACATTCAGCACATTGTTTCATGGCTAAATTTTTACCAGTATTCAACATAAAAATTATACTTTATGAACTAACAAGTTTTTTTAATTTTTCGTAGCTCTCGCTTCTTTTCGATCGTCGTTGAGGCGTGCAGCACGCACTTCAAGGTGAACATCGACAAGTTGTTCAGTCACCTGACGAACGGCACGCGTCTGCAAGAGAACCACGTGCGAAGTTTGTTCTTCGGCGATTACCTGCTGCCCGATGCAGAAAAGATTTATGACGAAATACTGGACATTGATGAATTGTTCAGGGTCATGAATAGGTCAGTCCGTTTATAGATGCTACATGATTATGAATAATGAGTGAGTGAGTGAGTGAGTGAGTGACTGAATGAATGAATGAATGAATGAATGAATGAATAAATGAATGAATGAATGAGTGAATGAATGAATGAGTGAATGAATGAATGAGTGAGTGAATGAATGAATAAATAAATAAATGCATTTTAAATATAAAAATTTTGACTTTTTGATGTTGAATAACGAACGGTTGAATAAATTAAAAGTTTCCATCCTAATGTTTAGAATTTCCAGTTTATTTTGATGTAATTTTATAAAAATAAATTTTAATTAGTTTAATAACATGATGATAATTTAGCTAAACCGTTTATCATTTTGTCATTCAATAATGAAACCTTTTTCTTCTCAAACAGTTACTTGGAAGATTACAACGCTGTAAGCAGGGCACCGATGAGATTGGTCATGTTTCGGTTTGCGATTGAGCACATATCAAGGGTCAGCAGGGTACTGAAGCAAGAGAAGGGGCACGTTCTACTAGTTGGTCAGTTCGTTCGTTCGTTTATTTGTTCGTTTGTTTTTTTGTTAGCTCGAACGATCATAAATAAGGATTAAGATGTTATAGGAGTATCATTAAGCTCCTTCTGAAGATGTTGCTAATGCATTCGACATTTGTACGAACCTCTGCACACCTCAGGTATCGGCGGCAGTGGGAAGATGAGTGTGACGAAACTTGCGACCTTCATGGCCGATTGTGAGTTGTTTCGAGTTGAAATCACAAAAAATTACGGCACCAACGAATGGAGGGATGACCTTAAAAAGGTGGATAAATATTGACCGTAGTTCGATGCTTTAACAAAAATTTGTATTCTTAAAGTAACAAATAAAAGTATGTTAATTTCAAAATGAAGGCAATCCTTTTTAAATCCGATATGAAATAAATTGCCAGCTACTGTTGAAAGCCGGCTTAGAAGGAAGGTACTGTTGTTTTCTGTTCAGTGACGGTCAGATAAGAGATGAAGGTTTTATGGAAGACATCAGCATGATACTAAATTCAGGCGATGTTCCAAATTTATTTGGGGCGGATGAAAAATCAGAAATTGTCGAAAAAATTCAAAACGTTGCTAAAAATGAGGTTTTACCATATTACACATTTATTCGTTTCTCTTCCCAGTTTTATTATAGATGAATTTATTATTGATTTTCTTATTGTCAACCAGGGGAAAACAATAGAAGTGAACCCGCTGGCTCTCTTCAACTTCTTCACAGACCGAGTGAAACAGAACCTGCACATAGCGCTGACCATGAGTCCCATCGGTGATGCCTTCAGGAACAGGCTTCGTATGTTTCCATCTCTCATCAACTGCTGCACCATTGACTGGTTCCATGTTCGTTCCATTTTTTGTTAACACATAATTTTTCAGCCTTAGCTCATTTTAATATTATATTATTTATTCACAATGACTAAGTTTTTCATTTTTATTTTTAAAATATTCGCGTTTATTATTTGTCTTTAATTTGGTTCATAACTGTGCTTGTGTGCATTGAACTTTACTTTTGAAACTAAAATTTTATTTAGTTTGAAACGTTCACTGAACAATTTTGTTTGTTCTTGCAGTCGTGGCCAGATGATGCTCTGGAGATGGTTGCCAACAAGTTTTTTGAAGACTTGCACCTCGATGAAGCAATCCACAAAGAAACTGTTATCATGTGCAAACATTTCCATCTCAGTGTCATAGAATTATCTACAATGTTCTACAACGAACTGCGACGTCACAACTACGTCACCCCGACGTCATATTTGGAGTTGATATTAACTTTTAAGAAGTTATTAAATGAGAAAAGAGAGAGCATAACTACATTGCAGATGAGGTACAAAACTGGTTTGGAGAAATTGCAGTTTGCAGCCTCCCAAGTGACCGTCATGCAGATGGAACTGACCAACTTGCATCCACAACTTCTTAGGACGAGCACCGAGACTGAGGAGCTGATGATTAAAATTGAACAGGACACTGTAGAAGTGGAAGCCAAGAAAGAGGTTTATATGTTCGTTTATTATTTGTTCGTTTGTATGTTCATTTATCATTTGTTCGTTTGTATGTTCGTTTATCATTTGTTCGTTTGTATGTTGAATATTATCGTTATTGTTTATATTCATAATTATGCAATCTGCTTTTTGAGTCTTTTGTGGCAAATTTACAGGTATTTGAACGCTTCGATTTTAACAATAATTTATGTTTGATAGTTTAATTAAAAAATAATTGAATTTTAATTATCAATAACAAAATCTTTTTTTTAGTTATTAAAATTATTGTATTTAGGTTGTTGCAGCCGACGAAGCTGTGGCTAATGAAGCAGCCGCCAGAGCGCAGAGTATCAAGGATGAATGTGAGAATGATTTGGCGGAGGCCATCCCAGCTTTGGAGTCTGCAATTTCAGCTCTCAATACTTTGAAACCAAGTGACATCACAGAAGTTAAAACAATGAAGGTTTTCAAAGTTACTTGTTTCAAGTTTTTTTGTTTTAATTTATTGTTTTAATAATTGCTTGAATAATACATTTTTGCATTATTGTTTTCTTTGCTCGTAGAATCCGCCCGGCGTGGTAAAGTTGGTGATGGAGGCAGTGTGCATCATGCTAAATATCAAACCGGATCGCAAACCAGATGGCAGTGGAAAAATGTTTGATGACTACTGGAGTGCTTCACAGAAACTTCTTGGCGACATGAAATTTCTTGATAAATTGAAACAATACGATAAAGATAACATTCCTCCTCCTGTAATCAAGAAGATAAGAGAAAAGTAAACACAGATGTCGATTTTATGCTTGCTAATCAATTATAAATGTGCTTTACCGACTAAAACAGATCTATCTTTAACTTTTTTCTATTTCTTGAGGATCTCGCTTTATCGATAAATAAGTTGTTTTTAAATATTAAGCTTAGGGGGTAAATATTTGTTTACAAGTGTTGTGACAATCTTTTCCTCAGATTTATACCTAGCTCAGATTTTGAACCATCGATAGTGAAGAACGCTTCGAAGGCGTGTGAAGGACTGTGCAAGTGGGTGAGGGCCATCGACGTTTACGACAGGGTCATCAAAATTGTGGCGCCAAAAAAAATCAAGCTGGCCGATGCTGAAAATGAACTGGCTCTTCAGATGTCCAAGTTGAATTTGAAACGAGACCAGTTGAAGCAGGTGGTCCTTGTTTATTTTTTTAGCTTCTATAAAAGAAAAAAATTTCTGTTTACGTATTTAACTCGAATATTTTTTGAATTATGAAATTACTTTTGTTTTTTTTAATAAACTTCTGAATTCAACTAATAAGGTAGCCGACAAGTTACAGATGTTGAATGACGAGTTTGAAAAAATGACTCAAAAGAAGAAAGAGTTAGAAGAGAACATTGAGATTTGTTCGAAGAAGTTAGACAGGGCGGAGAAGTTGATAGGAGGATTAGGAGGAGAGAAAACAAGATGGACCATCAACGAGATGAAGTTGTCTGAGCAGCTGTTCAATGTTATTGGAGATGTACTTCTAAGTGCTGCTCTTGTCGCGTACATGGGGGCATTCACTTTTAATTACAGACAGGTTCACTATTTTTTTCTACCTTTAATACTTTCTAAATTGACATTGCAACACTATTTTGATTTGAAACAAATTGCATTTGTCATTAATATAATTAAATTTTTTACAGTCTTGCATAAAACAATGGCATGAAATGTGCTTGGCTCGAAACATTCCATGTTCAGCGAACTACTCCCTGATGGTCACCTTGGGAGACCCCATCACCATCAGGGCGTGGCAAATAGCTGGCCTGCCTGTCGATAGTTTCAGTATTGAGAATGGCATCATTGTATCGAACTCAAGAAGGTGGCCTCTTATGATTGATCCGCAAGGTCCGTTTGATAATTCACGAAAATATTACGTAGTTTGATAATTTTACTTTTTTAACTAATAAAATGTTTAATTAAAACAACTTTTAAAACTTTTAAAGCTATATACGTTTTAATTATATTTTTTAACTGAAAATGATTTTAAGGGTTAAGGTAATGGAAGATGATTTCGACGATATATAAGTGTTATGATCTGTAAAACTTTTTAAAACTCTCTAGCCCAGGCAAACAAGTGGGTCAAAAAGATGGAAGCTGAAAATAAAATAGCAGTGATTAAGTTATCAGACAGTAGTTACATTCGACAGCTTGAAAATGCACTGCAGTTTGGCTTTCCAGTGCTAATGGAAAGTATAGGGGAAGAATTGGATGCCATGTTGGAGCCAATTTTACAAAAATCAATTTTCAGACAGCAGGGAGTTGATTATATAAAATTTGGAGATAATGTCATTGAATATTCATTTAATTTCCGTTTCTACATGACAACTCGTCTGAGAAATCCTCACTACCTGCCCGAAGTCTCTGTGAAGGTCTGCCTGCTGAACTTCATGATCACCCCGCAAGGGCTTGAAGATCAGCTGCTGGGCATTGTGGCTGCTACTGAAAAACCTGATTTGGAAGAAAAGAAAAATGAACTGATACTGGCAAGTGCATCCAACAAAAAGAAGTTACAGGAAATTGAAGATAAAATTTTGCAAGTGTTGTCGATGTCACAGGTTCATTAACTTGATGTTAATTATTGTATGCGTATATGAGATAATTTATTAAATAAAAATAATTAACCTTTGTGAAAGCATTTTTATTTACTATTAATTTTGGAAAGTTTTAAATAACGTAATTGTTTTATCATTCAGGGCAATATTTTGGAAGATGAGACGGCCATTGAAATTCTGTCATCATCCAAAGTGTTGTCCGAAGAAATATCCGCCAAGCAAGAAATTGCCACATTGACTGAAGAAGAAATAGATGGCACTAGAAATGGATACCAACCGATTGCTGTACATTCGTCCATTCTGTTCTTCTGTATATCCGATCTTGCAAATATCGAGCCTATGTACCAATATTCACTGACATGGTTCATTAACCTTTATCTCAACGTTGGTTTCAAATTTTGTGCCATCAGATAGCGTTGGTGTTGCTGTATTTTATGATGATTTTAATTTTTAAAAACCCTTGACACAGTCCATCTATAAAAGCGAACAGTCTGAAATGTTGGAGCAAAGATTGGAAAATTTAAAACAACATTTTACCTATTCCATTTACAAAAATGTCTGCAGATCACTCTTTGAGAAAGACAAACTTCTCTTTTCAGTAATTTTAACGGTGGGCATACTTAAAGGAAGGTCTGCTTCAGTTTGTGGAATACTTTATATTCCATATTTTAATATCTTACGATAAAATTGTTTCCTAAGGAACGAGGTGGATGACAGTCTGTGGAGGTTCCTGTTAACAGGTGGGGTTGCTCTAAATAATCCTAATCCCAATTCTTTCTCTAAATGGCTCAGTGACAAATCTTGGTCGGAAATTGTCAGATTGTCAGATCATGAATATTTTCCAAATTTTATGAAAAGTAATAATTGAAACATAAAACTTAATAACAACTATTTTTTTAGATTTTCTATTTATTTTTTTACGTTTTAATAAACAATATGTCAGAGTTCAAATAAAAATTGTAACGAAATTGTTTTTTTTATAGAAAATCATATTTAAATTTTATAGAAAATTATATTTAAATTTTATAGAATATCATATTTTAATATTCCAACATTTATTTAAATGTTTTATCATCAGACTTTGTGGAATCAGTGCAGACTTGGAAGATTTTATATGATTCTCCTGCCCCGCACCTCATGAAATTTCCGGAGCCCTATTCGGTTCACGTCAACAACATGCAGTCACTCGTTCTTCTGCGGGTCCTCAGGCCAGACAAGATGGTGCCCGCCCTACAAAACTTCATCAAAGCGAATCTCGGCCAACAGTACATCGAGCCTCCCACATTCGATCTCGATGGATCATTTTCCGATTCAAACTGCTGCACTCCGCTCATTTTCATTTTATCCCCTGGTTAGATTATTCTATTCGTAATTTTTTCATTTATTTTAAACTTTATTTTACTGTTATGCTTGTCTCCTTGGTTAGATTATTTTAATAATATTTGTTTTTAATATTTATTTTAAACATTGTTTTACTCTTTTGCTTGCATTGTTTGAGAAATTTCACGAATATAAGAATGCGTTAATCAATACATCACGTCTGTCAACCAACCTTCAATCAACATAGGCGCTGATCCAATGGCGGCCTTGTTGAAATTTGCAGAAGACAAGGGCTTTGGCGGTCCAAAAATCCAAACAATATCTCTTGGTCAAGGACAGGTGATTTTTTTTTATTTATTTAACTTTTGTGTTATTTTGACTTGTTCAAATTCGGCTCGGTATTGACTTTTTAAGTGGTATGTCCTTACAACTGCAATACAGGGTCCGATAGCATCCAAGATGATTGATGAGGCAATAGCTACGGGCACGTGGGTTGTACTTCAGAACTGCCACCTGGCTACCAGTTGGATGCCTAGTCTTGAAAAAATATGTGAAGAGGTCTGTTCCTCTTCGCTAATTTATGTGTTTATTTTAGACATTCACGTGTGGATTTATACTTATTATAAACTGGTTTGTATGAGGTGTTACGAGAACCTTTTCTCCAGTGATAGGTTTAATTATTTGTATTGTTAATTTTTTTTTGTTTTACATGTAGCTTCGTGTAGCACGTTATGTAGATTCTTTTCGCAAAATGGAATGTAATGATGAGCGTACCTACCCATGATTACCGACCATCTAGGTGATAACGATTGAGAAGACGAAGCCGGACTTTCGTTTGTGGTTGACCAGTTATGCTACTCCAGCTTTTCCAGTCGTTATTCTGCAAAATGGTTGTATATATGTCAATAACATAATGTATGTTAATGTGTGTATAAATTCATTTCTTTTTATTTATTTGTGTTTGATTTAATTCCTGATCCTAAATTTCACATTTTAATTGTAATTTTTTGTGTATAACTTATGAATGACATTTGAAAACATGCTGACACCGAACAATGATAAGGAGTGAAGATGACTAATGAGCCTCCAAAAGGCCTGAGATCAAATTTGCTGAGGTCTTTCCTCAACGATCCCATATCTGATCCTGCATTCTTTAATGGATGCAAAACTGTTAGTTCGGTGCTTATATTTCTTGTTTATAGCAACATTAAGTTATACTTCTATTTTTGCCCATCTGTGACGTTGAATAACAAAAAATCACTTTCTCACCTTTTCATTAATTTTGTTGTTTGAATTTTTGTGAACGATGATTAACGCATTATTTTGCGTTATAGTTACCGGGTTCAAACGCTAAAGAAGATTCCCGTCTATCGGAAACCAAAAATTTACGATTCATAGTTCGTGCATATTTACGTGCCGTAACAGAATGCTTCTGAATAATGCAGAATGAGAATTACTGTTATTTGTTGAAGCGTTTTTAATGTAAAGTTGAACATTTCCCAAACACGATATCAACCAGGCCAGGCGATGGAAGAAGATGTTGTTTGGCTTGTGCTTCTTTCACGCTGTCGTACAGGAAAGAAGAAAGTTTGGACCGCTTGGTTGGAACATTCCCTACGAGTTCAATGAATCTGATTTGAGAATCAGTATGAGGCAGATGCAGGTATGTGTGCTGTCACGAGTTGGATAAGGATATAGTCATAATCTGGATGATCTTATATTCCGTGAACTGTGAATTTGTAAATGTTTTTTTTAATATGAACATTTTATTTTAAAGTTTTGATAAATTTCAATCAAAAATAAATAAATTTTTAAATATTTTGACGAAAATATACGAACCTTTGAAATTTTAGATGTTTTTGAACGATTACGAAGAACTTCCACTAACTGCTCTGACGTATCTGACTGGTGAATGCAACTACGGGGGTCGTGTCACTGATGACAAAGATAGAAGGCTGCTCACTTCAATTTTATCAATATTCTATACTAGTGAAATCGTCTTCTTTGAATCTTACAAGTAAACCCAACTCTCGTTTTTAGTTTTACTTTCATTGATGTTTTGACGACAGTGTTCATCATTGCAAATTTTTTCATTACAGGTTTTCTCCAAGTGGCTTGTACTATTCGCCACCAGAAGGCTCTTACCAAAATTACATTGAATACATCAAATCACTACCTTTGATCGCAACTCCAGAAGTTTTCGGCCTGCACGATAATGCAGATATCACTAAGGACAACAAAGAAACAGTCGAGGTTTCTAATGCGCCGCTAGTTTTATTCAATTATTTCAATTTAGAAAAATAAGTAATTTGAATTTTTTTATATTTATTTTGTTTTATTTTAGATTATGTGAATGCATTTGTTAATATGGCATAAAATAAAAGTTTTGTTTGTATGCAGTTGTTTAACAGTATTTTGCTGACGCTGCCTCGCTTGGCCACGAAAACAGGAGAAAAGAGTTCGTCAGACACCGTCTTCGACCTGGCGGGCAGTATTCTAGCGGAGGTTCCTGAGAAGTTTGACATTGAAGAAGTTAGTTGCCAACGAGTTTTGTCTTTAATTTGTCTTTTTTGTACGTTGTGTGCAGCTCGTGTATAAAAATTTGTGGAAATATTGTGAAAAGATTAACTATTTTTAACGTTATGTTGAAATGCTGAATTCTTTTGTCACAGGTGAACAATAAATATCCAGTGATCTACTCGGAATCGATGAATACAGTTTTGAGGCAGGAGCTAATAAGATACAACAAACTCGTACACGTCATACGCAAAACTCTCGTCAACCTCAGGAAAGCCATCAAGGTACTAACCATTCCTCTTTCATATTCATTTCTTTCGTAAAAATTTTTGTTGGTTTATTTTATTTTAATTTATTTGAGCAAGACCAAATAACGATGATTTTTTTAGGGATTAGTGGTCATGTCTCTGGAGCTGGACGATATATTCAACAGCATGTTAATTGGCAAGGTACCATTGGCCTGGGCCTCCAAGTCATATCCGTCCTTGAAACCTCTCGGAAGTTATATTAATGATTTGATCTTGAGGTTCACATTTCAATATATATATATATTAATTTTGATTGCATTTCTTTTTCACAATTTCGTTTCTCGGAAAGGTTAAAATTTTTCCAATCGTGGATTGACGATGGCATTCCAATTAGTTTCTGGGTCTCGGGATTTTATTTCACGCAATCCTTTTTCACCGGTTTGCTTGTCATTTCGGTTGTCATTTTAACAATTATTTATTTGCGATGGGCATTGTCAATTTTTTATATTATGTACGTATTTTAAACCGTAAATTAATTTGACTACTTGAACGGTATGTTTATAATTATTTTTAAAAATGAGATATAAAGATTTCAAAATTAACATTCAAAATATCTCAACCTCTTTCAAGGTGTATTTCAAAATTATGCTCGCAAATACCTGATTCCAATTGATATGCTGGGATACCAATATGACATGATGTACAGTGATGTGGTCAGCGAAAAACCGGAGGATGGTGCATATATATATGTTAGTCATTTCCTAGGAAAACAAATTTCTTCCTATTTTGATATGTCAAGACAATTTTCTGAATATCTAATTTTATAAATTTTTCTTGTATGCTTTTCTATTACTTTTCTTTAAGTTCAATTACTCGACCAAAAATAAATTAAAAATTATTTTCGTCATGTGAGGCAGTAGGTTACTATAATTAATACAAATGTCGACCAACAAAAACGTTGACAGGGTTTGTTCTTAGAGGGAGCCAGATTTGATAACGAGCGCATGATCCTCGCCGAATCACATCCCAAAATTTTGTTTGTTTCCATGCCCATTATCTGGCTGCGACCTGGAAAAATTGACGACTTCCTCGTGCGGCGAGTCTACAGTTGTCCTGTTTATAAGACGACGGAACGCAGGGGCACCTTGAGTACGACGGGACATTCAACTAATTTCGTACTAATGTTGGATATCCCATCTGACAAGCCTGAAAGACATTGGATTAATAGGGGAGTTGCCGCTATTTGCCAACTCGATAATTAAGATGCTGCTCTTTATTAGTAGAAATGTTAAATTTATTTGATTTTCATTAAAATTGTGCTCCGTTAAAACTTTTGCAACAGATTTTTTTTAGAGTTTTGCATGGAGCTTCTTATCTTCAAATGTTATCAATCTTTACTTGAAACTAACATTGAGTATTTAATTTATTTATGATGTAAGAAAATCATTCTGCAGATAGTTATATTTTTGACGGAGTTTTTAAAATTTCTTATAAAAATTCTTGACGATTTCGTTTGATTTTCTTTCTTTAAGCTTGTCAAATGTTTGTTTGTCTATTTTGTGATTTACTTTTCAAATTTTAATAAGAATGTTTCAAAACTTTTTTAGTTATTCATTGTTTACTTGGTAAGGTTTTTATCATTTTTCCGTTTGCCTTTTTATTGATTTAGGGTATTTTTGAAAAACGTTTTTCTTATTTAAAAAATTCATTTGAAAGTTAATTGAATATATTAATTGAATTAATTGAATATTTTATTTTGAATATTCGCATAATTTATACAAAAATATGCAATTTATTTGTCTTGAAAAATAAAACCTTCAAAAATAACTTGTTGATAGGTTGAATAAGTTATGCAATTAACCCTAAAATTTCAAATTTATTACTACTTACTCCCTATCATCAGATCTTATTATTTGTATAAAATGATTTAAACTCTGTTCGAAGAAACTCTAATAATCTTACGTTTTGATTCGTTTCCAGTTCAATTAAATGTAGCTCAAGTAGTTTGAAGTAATTTGATGACCATTTGGGAAAGTGAAAATAATAAATGTGAGTGTTGATGAGTTCGTAAAAAGAATAGAAAGAAGAATTAAAATGTATTGTAGTCATGATTGTATTTAGTTGTAGGCATTTGGCCAATAAGCTTTCCCAAATTGTTCGGTTCTTCAGAATGTTCAATTTTATTCAACGCAGAACAAAAAGAATATAAGTTTTCCCGTTAAACTCCTATGTTGAATGAAAGTCATCTTCATGAAAAGTTTAGTTCATCAATACGTAAGATAAAGAGAGTTTCTTCAGACAGAATTTAAATCATTTGATGATATGGAGTTACATTTATACAGAAGTTAAACATCATTTAACCCTGGTTTATATTTAACATTTTGAGACCCAGAACAATATGCAAAATTAACTTTTCCATTTCAAAGCAGATCTACTTCAATAAAATTATGGCGGGAAATCTTTGCGCTTTCGGTTGTTTACGATTTCGTTTTAACAATAAGTTCTTGTGAAGTTTTTTAGGTGTATTTTTATTGCAATTTTCGCTATTTTGTCATTCAGGAATATCAAAAGTTTATTTAAACTAAAAAATAATTAATAATCATTGTAGAATTATTATTTTTTGTATTTGTGTGTGTAAATCAAATCAATATTTCTCTTCAAGTTTTTTAGACAACTAACAGTTTTAATATTTAAAATTATATAATTAATAAAATAAAATAAATTGTGATTATTCAATTGGAAAGTTCAATAATAACTGGACCAGTTAGTGTTAAATCTTCTGCCATTTGTTAGCGTTTGAATTGTTATCTCAGAATAAAATAGATTGGAATTAGTTGACGGTCGAAGTACTCTTCAAATTGAAAGACATGAAACGCCGGCAAATACGATGCTTAAACCAGGTTGATACTCTGTCATCTGATTATGAACCACCAAATATAAGCACCGCCGCTTCGGTTTTCAAAGATAGCACTAAAGAACCAGAAAATGAGAATATTGAAATGAATCTGAAAGCTTCAACTGAAACTTTCAGAAATGATGACAACAAACAGAAAGAACATGACAACACAAAGGTGTCAGGTCTACAGAAAACTTGGTTTAAATTCAGAAGATACCTCAGTAAAGGCAATTTAAACACTTTGCCTACAGTTAATAAAAATAGTTGCATGCTTGAAAAAGCTGAATGCAATGTTGATAAAATCATCAATAAAAATGATGCAACATTAAGCAGTAATAACAATGTTGCTGAAATCAAACAGCCTATAATAAAAACACCAGCTAAGGAGTTGAAAATACCAGATTTGCCTGAGTTGGATGGCAACAACAATGTTACACTCATAAGATCAAAAAATTCTTCAAAACGTTATTCCACTGAAAATGTTGAAAGATGGTTGAAATATTATCACAGTGATAAGATTGGCAATAATAGTTCAAATAACTTCCTTGAGAACACCACAGAAAGTAGAACATTTCACAGATCTCGAACATATGGTAGTCAGCATCATCAACGATCTCACAGGAAATGTCACAGTAGGGATAATTCAGAACTGACATCTTCAAATTCATCTCCTGAACATCATACATCTAAAACATTTCGACAAAGCAGAAAGTGTCATCTGCAGAATCCAGCACTTCAGTTACCTTCTATGAACAACTATCCTGTCATCGATCTCAACAACTACAGGCTTTCCACTGGATACCAAAAATATGCCAGCAAGGAAAACAATTTAAATAGTAATTAACTTTTATTTTCACGTTTCAACTTTATATTTAACTATAGACTAAAATTTATCAGTTGCCAGTTGCAACCAAGATTAGTTTTGAGTGAAATAATAGCTAATTAATCATTCTCAATCTGCCTAGTTTCAGAATTATATAAATTTATTTACAATTTTTGTATTGCCAGTTCAAAAATTTTTGATCATCCTAAAAAATTTGTAGAATTATTTTTTTGCAGATAAATTAACAAGTTCTAAACCAGATGTCAACAACAATTATGAAACTGGAATAAAGAACAAAAAAGTGCCTGCAGATGTTACTTCGTCTTACAACAATTTGAACCCGAGTCTACTTCAGTTTGTTTCTGAATTGATAGATGGTCTTGAAAAGATGCAAACCAACGACAGCACGGTCAATCCGCCAACAACCATTGAACCGACATGGGGTACAAATTATTCCACCAATAAAAGAGTTCCAACTACACATCCCATTCTAAATGATGACACCAATGCAGGCAGATTGAGTAATGTTACTAAAGATGATAGCACTGAAACAATCAAATGCCATCAACACGATGAAACAAGTTATAGAAATGTGATCAACGTTCATGAAACTTGTAGAGGTGACAACATGAATAAGCACAATGTTCAAGCTAAGAAAGGTAGAAACAGAGCAAGTTACAACCATGTCTTTAGAGGCACTGAAGATTATGACGACACTTTACAATATTACTTCAAAAAGTTAGTATTCACGTGATATTCTTGTGAAGATGAACATTGATCAATGTGCAGTGCATGTATTTCAATTGAAAATTGTCTTAGGTTGATAGTGATATGAATCATATATGTGTAAATTTATGTTTGCTAAAAATGTATTTTTGGATATTAAGAACATAACTAACATTTTCATATTAGTTAACCATTCATATACATTTTCCTCTAGATATGAGATGACATATTTATATCCATAATGATATCTTATGTAGGGTTAGGGTTATGGTTAGGGTTAGTAATGTAATACTAATATTACTACTGAAGGAAGCAGTCCAGGCACCTCACAAGCACACCTGACGACAGCAACAGGCATATCATTGATCAAAACTTTTTTATTGCTGGAAAAATTAGCTCTAAAGAGAAAAATAATTATGTTGATTATGAGGACGACGACGTTTTTGACAATTCAATTCTCTTGACAAGTAGAGATAGAAGGATGTCGTTGAATGAGTTTTCAATACCAAGCTCCAACAAAAATATAAAAAATTTCGATTGTAATGTGATTAATAAAGGCCACAACAACAATAATAATAAAAATAATAATAATAATAATTTCAACAAATATCATCTGAATGAAAACACGGTCAAAGTGGAGGTGTTTGATGTGGCGCCATCCATTGCTGCCTGCCTTAGTAACAGTTCGTAACTGTTGAATTATTATTTTTATTCTTTCATCACTTTTAATCGGTTTAAATTTAAATTACATCTTTAGTTTTAACAGAAATTTTTTAAATAAGCTGACAAATAATTTATGACAAATAAATTCATTTTGAGAACGAGAGCTAAGGAGAGGTAAGATAATAATATATTTTAATCATTTTTAATAAATTGTAAAAAGTTTAAGGCAAGAATTTCTGACAATTTTTCCATATTTTTTTCAGTTTATTTCTTCTGAATCGTGTATTCACTTAACACGGAATAGCATTAATCATTTTAGTCCATTTATACGTCTTATTAAAGATGGCCTGAGGTTGATTCTGGACAAAAAACGAGAGGTAGTCTTGGACTTCAACATCAATTCAGATCCTACCGAACTTGTACATGGTTTGAAATTAATTTCTTTCTTCTATACAGCTGTTCTATTCGTCGTTAATTTAGTTTTGCAACACACCACACATTAAAATGATCATTGTTTTATTTGTTTGGTTAGGGTTGTCAAATAATTGAAAAGTCATTTTAAATTTGTCGGTGATTTCGGCACATTTTGTATTGCAGTTAATTACGCTTGTTGAATTAAAAATAGTGTTGAAAAATAAATTTTTTTAAATAAATCTTCATTAGAATTAAGAGTTATTCAGGAAAAGGCCAAGATTTCCCACAGCAATGTATTTGGAATTCTTGAGCATGTCATCAATCTACAATCAAGTAAGTATCATTGTATATACTACAGTTGTTACTCAATTAAGTTGTTTTTTTTAATTGAATGGTTTGATGCGTTTGTACTCTTTTCATTTTAAAAATTCTACAGAAACAGTTTTGCTTATTACAATTTGGTAAGAAATCGTTAGAAGGGCTGCAAATAGTGTGAATGTGCAAATTTCAATTTCTGTACTTAAAATGTCATTTAACTGTGAAAATATACAGCTCAGCTAACCAATTTAGCACTTTTTTTCAAAATTAATTAATATAATCTAGCAATTTTTTTCGTTTTCTTTTAAGGGATGATCCAGAAATTACAATCTGATTTGAAAAACGTTGAAACCGGTGGGGGTAAGATGGTTAAAAGGTAAATTAATTAACTAATTGATTAGTGAAGTTGCAGTTTAAATCATTTGAAATCAATCAATTAATCGATCAATTAATCAATCAATTGTGAATATTTAACGTCTATTTTGTACATAATGATTGTCAATAAATCAATGTTTTTTTGTTGATGTCGTTTTTTGTAATAAATAAATAAAATAAAATTCATAATTAAATTTTTTTATTTATAAACATGCAGTGTGTGTTTTAATAGATATAATCTTATTTTTATTGTTGTTATTATTGTAATTAATAACTATTATAATTCTTTTTTCCAAAATACAATTTATTTAACAAAAATAAATCAATAAATACTAATAATTCGTATGCAAAAAAGAATAGATGAGAATGCAGTTAAGAATGCAATTAAGATGACAATAAGGAAAAAATAGTTGATATGAAGTAAACTGCTCAATGATTATTTTACGTTAAATTAAGCAACTGAAAATTTGAAAAACAAATCTTTTTATAAATGGGCCCCTGCTTTAATGATAAATCTGGAATTTTTTAAAAATTGCACTAAAAAATTGAAGTAAAACAATTCAATGATGCCAGCCAGTCATTGTTGGCTCACAATTTTACTAGATAAAAAGAATATTTACAAATGTTTTCATTGCGTTATGTTAGAATGCTTAAAAGGAATTCAAAACACTTAATATTGAAAACAGTTTAAAAAAACATAGCAAACCACTTGAACGATGAAAGCTTAAACGTAAAAATGAGCTAATATTATTTGTTATTAAATGTTATGAAATGTTATCCTACTTGAATCCCAATTTTTATGGGATCACGATCCATGTTTTATTCTACAGTGATAATGTTGCCGGATTGTGAAAAATTAATTTACCATAAATAATGCTTACAATGAAAAACTAAATAATGAATCGTGTTTTTCAATGTTGAGCGTGTAATATTGCAAAATCTTGTAACAGTAAAGTCCATAATTTGTAACAACAGGTTTAATATGAAGAATTTAAAAAACCGATTCGAAATTAACCTAAAATAGTTTAATAAATTTCGATGTACGAATAAAAAGTAAACGTACATATAAATATAAACGCATAGTAAGTAGATATATACAATGCACAAATCACAATGCTAATGCAACATCAAGCAACATATCTTAACACGGTCTAACTAATAGGCATGCCATGAAAATGGTATCACAGTGCGTTACATATTAACAAATGTACTTGAAACAAAAAGCAACGACATATTAACATGAAAAGTGTTATAAAGGAAAAGACTTGTACAAAAAGGTTGAACTGATGAAAAAGTAGAACGTCTTACGGTGATTCCGCTCGTGCCACGTCAATCAAGTAAGTAGCTCAAATAAATTATAACAAAAATGTTTCTACGTCTAATATAGGTTTGTTATGTGATTAGCCCTTGCAAGCTTCATTCTGTCTACACTAGTTGTGCTGGCAGTCTGGATAACATGCACGCGTATGGTATAAATATAAATTGTTCGACACACATTGTTGCACACAGAAAAATTTATTCTATATCGCGCATACTTTACTCCTCAATGTCCTCACAAGCCAGTTATGAAAAACCTGACCAACACACTCTCAAGGGTATAATGCAATTTACTTCGACTAAATGCGTAGAGCGCCAGTCTGTCATGAGTATGAAGATGCACCGTTATAAAAAGAGATTAAACAAAAACCATACAATGGCGTTAATTCAGATCTATATTTTGGCAGTCATAGGAAATTATTTTTTATTAGTGAAATAGAGCGGACTAACGTATTAATATTTGTCTAATATACTGTATGTATATATACATATACAACGGATTCATAATTAGCGGGCGTTTGTAGGAACATCTAAATGTCAATAGTAGAGTCATATGAATTAAACTGATTTGAAAACACACATATGATTGAATGTAAATCTGAATGTGGTTGATGGCTGTTGAACACAAAACAATTAGATACAGTCAAAGCAAACATGTAAACTCTTAATCACTAAAATTCCAAATTTTTAAAAATATTTAAAAAATTTACAAACGATTTAATTTGCTGACATTGAAGTTTTAATTAAAGTGTGCAAATAAAGTGAAACAAAAAGAGACACGGTCTTAGCAGGAACATTAAACTAGTTTCAAGTAGACACGCGTCCAAACGTCGAGACGAGAATCAGATATACTTGCTTGATTCAATTTTTTTGTTTACCCGTGCAGCAAACTCTTGGGCCCGTCTAACAAAATGGCGTTTTTTCATTTTAAAATTAACTGTTTCATTTTACGGGAAGGGATTATTTAACATTACTGATTGACTAAAAGTAAAATATGCTTAATAAATAAAGTTACATAAGTTGTCAAAACCAACCCCGTGAGGTCTTCGATGTCAATAAGCATGGAATCCTGTGCCATGTGCAAATCATCTCGAGACACTAGTTGCTGCATTAGTTCAATATTCAGCTCTGCAGGGCAATCAATTATCCATTACTTGTAAGTCATTTAACAAAGGAAGCAGTAACATGTTATTAAATAACTACATAATTATTTGATGAGGCTGGTAAGAATATCTGACCTTCGATTCTTGCGTGCAGGTCATTAACTACAACCTGCAACTGAGCAATGTTCATGTTGTTCATCAGCTGAACGTTCAAATGTATTTGTTTGCCATCGCAATAACCTGGCATACCAACCTGCCAAACATTTTGAAACTCGTTGAACAATATTTTGACGATTAACTCATCAAGGTGAAAGAGAGAGAAAATGAGAAATATTGAAAAATAAACAAACGAATTGCGGTAAAACATTTTAATCAATGATATAGGTAGATCGGTCAAGAGTTTGGTAATTTTTTAGTAGAGTATAATTATAGTAAGTATAATTTCTGTTTAGTTTAATTTTCGTTCAACCACGAATTCAATCAATAACAATGCTGACTCAAAACGCAACATATGCCTGAAAACGTACACAACTCAGCTACGTGAATATACATAAAAATGAAAAAAATTTATATAAGAACAAACTATGTCAGCGAGCGGAGATTTGGTTACTTTTTGTTTCTCTAACTGCAACTGCATGTGGGCCATTGGTCTGACCTGGTTGTGATAGCGCAGAATGTGGAAAATGGATGAAGTTTAAAGGATATTTATAATGAAATAATCTAAAAGCAAAGAAATTCAACTTATACAAATTAGAAATTAACTTATTTATTTTTCGTTTAAATATATAAAAACAAAAATGACACAAAGAATGAAGAGATGGTAAAAGACTCGAATATTTTGAATTAAATACCTGAGCCAGAGCCATCTTGGCTTCTGTTTGCAGACGAGCCTGTTTAGAGAAAAAGTCTTCATCATGTTGTTTGCTCCTTGTTATGCTATCATCACTCGTTGACTGTTTTTTTTTAGAAAATTATTTGTTCTATAAATAATAATTTAAAAGCAATTTGTAACGAGATTCAATATTAAATATTATATTATCTAGCTAGGCTTTGTAGAACACAAATAAACAACACATGAAACTGATAAAAGATTAGCAAGATACCATGATAGATGGAATGATATCAGGTCTGGATGAAATCGTTTCACACTTATCCTTTACGTTATCCAGATCAGTTGCTGTTTCGTTCAAATAGAACAGACCAGACGTTTGTTCATTCGACTCATCCTCATCAAGTTTGAATGCCAACTTCTTCCTTATTTCCTCTCTGTTACTCAACTGCGACTGCCATTGGTTGAAGATTTGACTTAAAGTTTAGGAAGTTTTTGATTTAGAAGCAGTAATTATAATCATAATTTTTATGATTTCAGTGCATAGAGATTATGATGTTGTGAATAAGTTGTAAAATGTAAACATTTTTAATCAATACTACAGTTATTACTGTTTAATAGGAACGAATAGGTGGGAAACAGAAATGTCTTTTTAAGAAAATACACCAGATACTAAAAAAATATCCTCGTTGATTGGCTATGCTTAAAAAATTTCATTTAAAAATAATTTCAATAATTTTTTAAATGCAAGCAGCACACACACACACACACACACAGGAACAAACAAACAAACATAAAAAAACATTTAGAGATAGATGATATGCTCACAAAATCATTAACAATTTATCAATGAGTAATTAACATCTACCATCACAGAGCAGATTAGATAAAATAAATGAGCGTAATTTAACGGCAGTGGCAACAAAATAAGATATGATTGCTAATTAGATAAAACATTGGACAGAATATTATCAAAAATACGCGTCGATATATCAGCACATGTAGATTAATGTAAACTGAAAAAAACTCAAACGGTTATATCAACCCATTGTCTTTGAACATCTTGATCGGATTGTTTGTAAGTATGTAGAGATGATGAAGATGATGATATAAACGTGCTATTTGTAATGGTTATAACGGTTCCAACCACTGATGATGACGACGATGCAGAGAGAGTACCTGACTGTGATGATGACATTGTATTGTATGCAATCTTCGGTTCGACCTTTACAACATCTGGAACATTGTTGACGGTATTATTTTCATCATTATTCGTGCTGGCCACATATTCATCATTGACATTTTTAACGTATTCATTGGAGTCGTCATAGAAGTTACTGAAAGGAAGTGATTTAGTGGACTGAATGCCGGGAGTTGCATTGTGGTTAATGGAAACATTGGATGCCGTCGTCATTGTGGCATCGCTCATTGCTGCATCATCCGGTTCAGATGCTGTATCACTCAGTGAGTTGAGGTCCTTGTATCTGTCATGATGCAAGTCAAAGGGAAGAGCATAAGAGTTCATTTTTTTGAGTGCAGCAAACTCCTGGGCCAAACTAAGTAGATTAGTTTTGCGGACTTGCTTCTGAATGTTGATGTCATCTTCACTGTTCTCTTGTGGTTTTTGGTGCAAATTATTAATGTTGTTATCCAAATTTTTTTGGTGAACAGAGATTAAACTTTCATTGTTGGAAGAGATGTAAGTCAAAGAATCATTTGAAAGGATATGCACATTAGCCAGTTGATCTTTTAAAGTGTCATTCACTTCTGAATAATCCGATGCAAACGAGTTGGGATCTGATTCGATTTGAAATTGGGATGAACTGTTTGAGCTACTAAGATTCTTTAAATAATTTTTATTACTGAATCTCAATGGCGAATCTGTTGACATCTCATTGTAGTTGTAGTCGACGTTGTTGTTCCTTATATCTTGCGAGTAGTAGAGTCTGTTGTCCAGCTGCTCCTTGTGGTACTGTTGAAACCTGTTATAAACTGATGAAGATGTGCAGTAGTTGATTGGGTTCTTGAAACATTGGAAGTCAGGCTGTGGCGTGTCATCAGTTGAAACGAGTTGACTCTCCCTATATCTCCTCCAGGCTTGTTGGATCCTGAATCAAATAATGTCAAACATAGTTGGAAAATGAACTTGCAATAATTATGGCAATAAATAGGGGTAGATCAAGACAACTTTGACGAGGGTCAAAATTTAAAAAATGTTTACATCTGGAAATGTGACAGGAAACCACCTAGATCCGATGCTAGCAATGTATAAAATGTTTCTATTTATTTCTAATATGTTTTATCTATTCATTCATAAACTAAAATACGTCCCTCAAATTAGCATAATTTAATAGTTGACCTTAACCTTAGCACTGGCGTGTAAACGAATTGTAGCTGGTCCAAAACATTGTTGTTGTTGTGGTCTTCAACGCTGTACGGAAACTGGGTGGAGTTTGTTGTTGTGCTACTGGAAAAAAAACATCGTGATTGAAAATATAAAGCTAGCAGTTAATTCTGATGCAAAATTTTAATTCCACAGTTTCACTATTTCATTTCATTTAAAATTTTGTCAAAATTTGTTAAGGTTCGTTTATTTATCTTTATTATCTCAATTTCTTTCGATAACATCATGATTATTGCTACATTTTCACATATTTATTCTTTAATTATATAAAAGTTCACCTCTAACCTCGAGTTTATATCTTTGTCTGATCTTGATAATCTTTTCAAAAACTTCATTGGGTATATTATGTTAATTAATTTTATTTTCCTAAGTTTGTATAATCTACGATTAACAATTACAATAAATTAATTAAGTTTTAACGGTGAAAATTAATGTATGACTTTTCAAACTGTTACATTTTAATTTTACTACATCGCAAGCTAAAAATTACAGTTTGATTGTTGCTAATTACATTATAAAAATGTAAAATAGTCAGTTCATTTTTTTAAACTTTTTTAAAAAAATTTAAGAAATATAAAATATAAATAAAAAAAATTTGTAGATTAAATTAAATCGAGGTCATCATCAAATAAATCTTTAACATACAGAGCCAAAATTCATAATAAAATTTAACATCAAAATATTACAACACACAGCAACACAACACAGCTATCATCCACGCTTATTGATCTGGGATTCTCCTTCACAGCAGCCTGTGCTTGTGTGTGTTTCTGTATGTGTGTGTGTACGTATGTGTATGTGTGTGTGTACGTATGTGTATGTGTGTGTGTTTGTCTCTATCGTCTCAAAACATCGCCAAGCATGCTAACGTCCTCGACATGTGGTCTATATGATAACAATGTATGTGTATGTATATGTATGTGTATATATATTAATCTTGTATGTGCGAACGTGTTGCATATGTGCATATGTTTATATAATGGATATGTTTATGTGTATTTGAGTATATGTTGTACATGTGTATATGTGTGTATATATATATATATGTATATATATATATGTAATTGTATTGTATGTATTGCGTACATGAATGTCTGTACATTGTAACCTGTGTATGTATGGATGTTTATGCTTGCCTGTATGTAGGCTAATGCTAATTATTTATACTTATTTTTTAAAGTTTCAAATCTATATATATATATATATATATATATATATATAATATTAAAACTGTCAGAAATGCAATTATTGATGAAAACCACAGCATGTTCCGCGTTAGTTAGCTTCCTCTTTAATTTTTCGATTTTTTTTAACGGTAGTTCGTAAATCATTATCAAGTTTCTTGAGTTCAAAGCCAAAATTTTATATTTATTTTAGGCATAATAGAACAAAAAAGCTTTATCGGTATTCCTATGCCATCTTCAGTGTTCAAATTGATACGTTGTGCATGTGGCCGAAGACTCATGTATATTATATTATATCCTGTGCCTCTACATTGTTTATTCTTTGTTTAATGTGAATACTTAACGGTCGTTTATTTAGTTATTACGATCAGTGTGACACTTTTACGTGTCATCATTATCAATGATTCCTCTGTTTCTAAATTTATTTGTGGGAAGGATTGTTGAATATTGATGTTTTTGTTCTATGAGTATTTGAGCATTGATTCGGCTAGTCGTAAATTATAATGATTGTTACTGTTATGTAAGATAAGATTTCAACATTGTTGTCCAAGATTTTAGTTTTGTGTTTCTCTTTCATATGACTGTTTATAGCTCCAATTTTTACGTGCATCGTGAGTCTACTCCATAGTTTGGTGGTCGTCTTAAGGATATTATATATAGATTCCAATGTATTTGTACTTTAGAAGAGTTTTGCAATTACTCCTTTGTAGATTATAATATTTTTTTTATTAAATAAAAAAATAATTTTAAGAGCAGTTTAACATGAACGGATAACAAAATTAAGTTCTGAAAAATTCATAGGCTAGTTATTAAATATTTACGCGAAACAATCTCATTATAGCTGCCCAGCCACTCCATCATATTTCTTTCCACACCTCTTGCATTATAAAAAAAACAACAACAGCCTAATCTTTAAATATCCTAACAAATGCAATGTCCGAAATTTTTGTGACAAAGATAATTTTAATTTTTAAAGAAATGATTTACAAAACTGTTAGTAGAAAATAGATAACGAAAAATTAACAGCCTGCTTTTATATGGTTTGAAATGCAACAGGCAATCATGAAAATGCTTAATATTCATCGTTTTTTTACACATATTGCGCCTCTACTGCCCTAATTTAATGACAGTAATAACATAATAACACCTATTAGCCCTATAGTTAGTGTGATTAAAGACCTTTAATTTTAATAGATACTGTCAATATTTTTTTAGCTGAAGATTAATTTTTAAATAATTTCTTTTAGTTTTCTCATCGCTCAACAAATATCAAAATTTCGTAAACCCTTGTAAACTATCTGTGACGCACAGTTTACAGAAAGTTTTTTTGTGGTTGAATGTTCATGTTGGTGTCGATTTTTAAAATTTTTTGTTTGTATAACAAATTGTCAACATGTAGGTTATTTAAAAATTGAAAAGCATTTAACTTTTTTTTATAAATTTTTTTAATATTTTAAAATAAACAGGTGTAGAAAGAATTAAAAAATTATATTGTAATAGTAGGAAGGTTTGATCAGTCGAAAGAAGAGATTTTGATTAAAATTTACGAATTATTTGATGATTGATGCAAATTTGTTAATTTTCAACGTTTTTAATTGACGATTATTAGAAATCTAGCAGAAAAAAACTAGCAAAAAAAATAAAACAACAAACACCATAGTATTAATTGGTCGACAATGATTGAATCATGCGAACGTACACACACACAGACTCTCTCTCACACACACACACACACACAAACACACACACACACACACACACACACACACACACACACATACATACATACATACACATCATCCAGTCCAGAGATAGCCACCGATACTACCAAATCGAACATGTGTGAGAGAATATTGCAGAGAATGAGAGAATCACAAATCAAATCTTGGTCCAAGTCGACCTTCAATCCCTTGGTAAGGTCTTCCAATCCAAACGCCTACAACGGTGGTAACAGAAACATCGGCCTTAGAAATTGTACTCCTAACTTAATGTTTTGTGGCGCAAAGGTAATAATTGCATAATTCAATGATTTCTGACATACGTTCGTCGTACGTTTGGTGTTTGCTACATGCAAATGTTTCCACCTATGTGGAAATTGTGAAGTGTAGCATACGAGCGATACATGTGTTAATTTAGAGTGTTAACTCATTATGACCAAGTCATTTTAACTCGTTATAATCAAAACTTTCATAAAATTACGCACCATTAAAGAACATCGCCGGCTGACTCACAACATCACAACACGTTAGCACAATTATCAAAAAGACTTATTATTAAAATAATTACTGAATAAATCACTTTGAGGTAATAATCTTTCATCGGCGTTATTTACCAACACTTGAATCACCTATGAATATAATACTCAAAACTATTATGTTTATTCTGATTATATATATTATATATATGTATATATAGATTATATATGTTTATATAGATTATATATATTATATATATGTATATATATATATATATGTATATATTGCATACATATTACGTACATATATAGGCAAGTAAACCGTTTAAAAGCAGTGGATTTATTAGTTTTAAAATTAGTAGTGTTTAATATAGTTAATTTTTTCGTAGATTTTGTTTATTTTCTAATTTAATTGGTTAGTCTCATCATTAGAGGTAATGTCTTCAGTTAAAGTTTTTATGTTTTTGATACTATCTGGCATCAATTTTAACGCGAATATGAGGGCTGCTGGCGGTTACTCGCTGACAAATCGGCCAAAACTAACGAACGCAATACTGGAGAGTATGAAGGCCGGCCTGTGGTTTATGGAGGAACACGTGGAAAGTGTCAACCTGGATGCACTGATTGGAGTTAGGATGGTCTACGGTTGGTTAACTTTGATAGACCATTTTTTTTAAATTGTTTTGGTATTTTTTAGAATAGTCATGTCATCTTGAATCTCCACTTGCATTGTTCAAACGCTGGAAAACTTATAAAAAAAATGTCGCAAATTTTTTATGTTTAAAATTATATAAATTTTTTTCAGATATTTTCTAATTTTATAAATGTTTTACTGAATTAAATATCTAAATTAAATGACCATATCTGACATCAAGAAGTTTGTGGCTTTTTTAATAGTGATGTAACACAAATTGTTGATAATGTAATGAAGCAATTGCATCTCGTTTAACGTTAGATTCATTCAAGAACTATAGTTTGATTCCTCAACTGACTTCATGAACATTATTTTAAAAATTTATTTAAAAATTAATCTTACCAGAATTTTTATAATATTGATATTTGTATATGCAAATTACCTTTTCATTTGAATGACCATGGCAGATGTTAAAATGATCACAGCTTAAGTTTAAATGACGTTGGATATATTTAGATGTATTGTTTAAAAAAGATAGTTGATGGGGTCGCCGATATTTTTTGAAGGTAGATGAGGTTTTGGTTAAGGACATATATTTTTAAGAGTAACATTGCAAGAGGGGTGTTGTGATGGGCTATTATTTATTTCCTATCTATTTTTGGTGGTTGTATTTATTGTGCATAGTTAATAGTGCACGAAAATTCAATATTGGACGGATGCGATGTAATTTGTTTTTGTGTTCGTTGATATTACTTCTGAAATTGCAATATTCAACGAGTAGGCAGTGCTGGCTGTAAACGTTGGCACTTTTATTCGTCGAATCTTTCGCAGAAATACGATTGCCGCCTTATCAGCGAGATAGAAATATCATTTCTAACATAGAGCTAACACCCTAAATGGATTTTATAAAAAAAACTTAATAATGTTGATTTTTATTGAATATTTTAAAATGTAATTTTTTAATTTGTTTCGCACAAGGTGCCTGATAATCACAGCAGAAGCATTATTATATGGAAAAATATAAACGAAATGCACACGCACGTTCTTCTTTTTTAGAAACATTTAATTAAATTATGTAAACTACGCCATGTCGTTGCGTTGCGTTCATGTGTCGTTCTGATTCATCCGCTTGGAAACTTGATTGATTGTGTTTGAGAAATTTATGTACTTGAAAATTTTGAAATGGCTTGTTCGCGTAGTTACATGATTTGTGATTCTATCCATTGTTTTCAATCGAATTTACTGTAAAGTCACTTTTAGAAACATTTTTTAGTTTTGAATTTGAAATTATAAAAACACGTTTAAGCTTGTTTGCTAAAATTCTGAAAAACATTAAACACGTAAATTTAAATTCTGAAAATGTAATTCATTTATCTTGCTTGTTCTTTTAATTAATTTGTGCAATCAACTCAGGCTTTAGTCTGACATTTGATGAATCTATTGGTTAATTGAAATTCTTTCCTCTAAATTTTAAATAGACAAATTTTCCATCTGAAAACAGATCAACTCTTTAGAGTGCGGGATGTGATCAAACAAATAAACACCAACCAAACTTATGACGAAACTTTGGAAAAAATCGCTAGAATGATCGAACAATGTAGATCTATTATCGACTCAGCCATTCCCCACGACAGCGTCAACGAACCCAAATACTTTGAAAGTATAGCTTTAATCATTTTGTTTAGGGTTTCAAAAACATTTTTTTTTAAATTATTACTAAAGGTATTTATTGTTTGCAAGACTTTTGAACTTTTGAAGAAATTTAATTCTAGAGTATTAAATTGTAGTCATATGCTATAAATCAAAATAAAATTAACAATCCGAAATGAAAATTTTCAAATGAACGAGCAGAGATAGGAAATCTGCTGCAAACATCATGGATCTTTAACGACACACCACGCTCCATCGATGAATCTCTTTTCATGAAACCCACCAAACCAATGAGACGGATCAATGAAAAACAATCCGACAACTGCATAGGTCTGCTCATCAACGAGCCCAAGTAAATACAAGACAGTCAATGCTTATAATCTAATCATGCGTTAATCCTTAATAATTCTTACAAAATATCATGTCGTTTTGTTTACACAAACTTCAGCTGTCCATATTTATATTCGGTCAAGATATAAGAGACTGTTGATATTATTTAAAATGTTTAATGGTTTCAAACATATATATATATATATATATATATACATATATATAATTATACATATATATATAATTATATATATATATATATATTGTAAATTAACAAATATATAAATGTAATTATTTATCCGATAACATTAAATGCATTTAATTTACGCACCAAATCTTTTCAATTTCAAAAGATGTCGCATCTCGAAGAAGTGTTGGGACATGATGACCTTTCCAGGTGCGATACTCTACATGCTAACGCATCAACTCTTCTACTTCCTGATCGCCATCATGGTCAGTTGGTACTGCGGCTGATGCATGGATCGGTGGTGTGCGAGTTGGATGTCAATTAGATGATGAGCTGCTACCTCATATATCAGAGTCTATTTTAGTGGTAGATTTAGATAAAAAAAATTGTAAGAAAAAATAGGAAGAATTTAGAGATTATAGATGAAAAATAAATGTGAGCCAACTCAAACAACATTTGCTCAACAAACCTCAAAAAACAATTATTCATTCTAAAATACCACGTTTAATTATACGAAATTTTTGGTCTACAAGTCTAGGTCTACGTTGTCTTGAGTCATGAAATATGTTGCGTAAAATAACTCTGGGAATTGTATTAACGCGTTCAGTAATATTGAAATGAGTTAATTGTTGACATGGTACAAAAAAAGTATGTAAAGAAGTTTGAAATTTATATTTCCTCTGATTGTCTCATCAGAATGACTGCCTGCCAGACAGCCCAAACAGCTACCCAGGAATGAAGATTGACGAATTTTGTGCCAACATATACACCGAGTACGAGCACATTGATAAGAAGTTGAACTTTCAACTCGAATATCAAGACATATTCATGGAGCAAGGTTTAGCTAATCTTTTTTATGCACGATCACACGCGCACACGCACATAAAAACATTTCGTAAGAATATTCCTTTTCCATCTTCCAAACAGCTGCATTCTGTGGTATGGTGGGTTACAAAAATTTCTTCAAATACAGATACATTCAAAAGATCCTTTCATGGCAGAATAAGAAACTTGGGTGCTGGTTTGATGACAAAAGCGATGGTTTTTGAAATTTTCATTTTAAAATATTTAAATTTGGATAAATAAGAAAATAACAAAAAATGAACAACATCATATGATACTTAAAAAAATTAAAGCAAATCATATTCATACCTATTCAGATGAAGAAGACCAAGTAACAATTTCGAACCAGCGGGAACAAGAAGATCGTGGTGGAAGAAGTAAACGAGTGAAACGCGAGGAGAAGATGATTGGAGATGCCTGTCTCTGCCACAAATCAACTGTGGCTCTGGCTGCTCTGGTTCAATTCCTAAAGCACGGCTTCTATTAAAAATCATTTCTATTCACGGTGCTCATCAGTGCAAAATTATCATAATTTATTAAATGTTTGTTTAGCAGAGGAAATCATTATTTAAAATGTTAAAATGAATATTTGCTGTTAACATAAAAACCATTGCCGCTTGTTTTTTGACGAATCTTTTAAAAAATCAAAATTATAGCAAAAGAAAAGAAATCACACTAAATAAAAATTGACCAAGTGATGATTCCTCTTAACATTCCATCTTTTTTTGCTTATCAAGTTCAATTTTTGGTCGATTTTACACATAAAACGATACTTTTTCTGACTTTTATTATAAAACTTCCAGGGCCATAAATCCGCCACTGTATATATATATATATATATATATATATATATATATATATATACACAGTTTATTATTGTATATATATATATATATACAATAAATAATTATATAAAATTAAAAAGAATAACAATAATTAATGCGGTATATATAACCGTGTTGGTATGTTTAAACATAAACTTTAAGTATAGTGGTATCAATATATGTGTAGCTTTTGTGCATGCACCTGTAGAAAAGTTTCAAATTTTCTATGAAGACTTATGAACGAATGAGTATATGTACGTACGGATGCATGGTTATGTCCGCATATACACTCACACGTTCAATGACTCTTTCCATTCATAAATGATGCTCGCCTGATTTCCAGCTTGAATTTTCGCTTCGCGAACAGTTGATTTCGTTTATTACTGCAATAACATACAAGCTTGTATCGGATTAGTTACTGTAAATTCTAGAATATATCGATATATATATATTTAAACTTGGGATTAGTCGATATTTAAATTTAGATTTTAAAATTAAGATGAACGAATAAGCGAGAATAAATTTAAATTAAATCTAAACATTGGATAACTCTTTCAATCATCGATAAAAAATATTTTTTATTAAATGACTGGAAAATGCAAACGCCTATCTCCTGGCTACTTTTGTGTTGTTGTTGGTGGTGGTGGTGCTGTATAACCACACAGATGATCATCTCGTCAGGTTGGCTTCGATTTAGCTGTTTTTATTAATTTCATTCCATCTTTTTTCTTTTACAAAATGCACAGCCTTAGGAAGTATAGGGAAACAAGTAAAACAAAAAAACACTTTAATAAAGTCGATCACATGATGTTACTGTTGAAATAATATCTGGTTGTAAAACAAATTTTCAAAAAGCTTCATTAAACAACAGCAAAATTCAAACTACACATCTGCACATATTGAATGCTGTTGCATAGTATAGTGTTTAATGTCTGTTTGAAAAAACTTTTAAGAAAAAATCGAAGTTTATCTGCTAGATAGATATACAATACACTATTCAAAGTTTCGATTAGTAAGCTAGTAAGCAACTACAGTATATAGTATTCTTTACTGGCATTTGACTAAGGTAGAATTGTTAATGCGTGACTATTATATGGACTCACTCCCAGATTCTATGTTGACATTGCAATCAATGCAATTGCCATCTGCATTCGTTCTGTTTACTCCAGTTCAGCAGCGAACATTTAAATTAAACCATAGATGATATCAGGCATTGCATTCATTTGAGTTGATGTGCAAATGGGGGCTACTTAGCAAGTTTTTTATTGTTACGTTACATTTTCATCAAGTTCTTTTTACCTTGTTTTTTAAAATTGTGGAATACACTCACAAAAAAGTGCTTCCAATTTATTTTGCTACCGTGAATAAAAAATTTGAAAAAATGTCTCTTTCGATAGAGATTGTTGTAATGAGGTTTGTATGTGGTTTGAACCATGCACTGAACAACTGGGAATGAAATTTTTTTCGGTCAATTAAACAACAATTTTTAATTTTTATTTCAAATTGTTAATCCTCGAGCAATTCACTTAGATCAAAAAAGAAATATTATTACTTTTTTTGATGCATTCGTTTTCGAAACATGACCCGACTCGACGGCATTGCATGCTTACACATCCTCACTCAGGCAAACATGTCAACCAGCTTACAAAAGCTGAAACATGAGAACGAGTTTTATGAAAGGGTCGTCGTACAAACACCAACAAACTCAGGCGTGCACTTCTCGCAGGTACATACGCGCGTATGTACATGTAACGCGCGTATGTACACGTTTGTTCGTACGCAAGCAATACGAGCCGACATGGTCTGGCGTTCTTCCACGTACGCGATGATTCATGAAAGCGTTCATACACGCATGTACTGCACTATATACGCTCAGTTACAAGTACCTATCTACAAACATAGACGCCGTTGTGCACAAAAGTAAACACAGATATAAACCTTAAAATTAGGATTCCATGTACACGCAGATATTTACACAAAACTGTATTTGAAGCCGTGTCATGCATACACATACGCAACATTAGAAGCAATCTACTAATGGGCCGCTAACATGCAGTGGCGTTTTAATAAATAAAAATAAGCAGAGGCATACATGAGGTTAGATATGCATAGTTTGATCATTTCAAAATAACAATAACGTCTTTGTATGTATATACGATGAACATTAATGACTGAACTTTTTAAATTTATCATAATTCGTTTAAATGTTTCAGTTAGGATTGACCTGACGTAACGCGGTGAGGCAAATGAAAATGCGTATTGACGCCTGATCGACATGAAGCGTGGAAAACCAAATGTCAACAATCATTAAACATGAAACATAAAATTTAAAGAATTTTTCATTTATTTAGAAAAAAACTGTTGCTGGTAATTTCCTCCATCACCAGCTAATAAAATTTTAACGATGACAACCATCAAAAAAATATCCTTTGCGAAATTTTGCGGCTTATGTATTGAATCATCATTGATGCAATTTATCAGTATCACTCCACCGCAGACAAACCAGCAGCACCAACGATCCTCTACTACGCAAATTGAGATTCATGAACAAACTTTTATTTTTATTTCTCCTGCTCTAACTGCTATAATGCTAATTTCAAAATGACAAACTGTTAACGTGTTATTGCACCATACGTTATTTCAATAATTACATTCACGTTTGAAGAAAATCAAAACGATTAAAAGAATTGAACTAACGCTAGATTTGTTGATGTTCAGGCAAGAATGATGAAGACTTTAAAACAAATAATATTTTGTTCGGAGAATTAATTTTTTGAATAAAATCGGAAAATTAATTTTTTTAATAAAATCATTTATTCTGCTGTCTTGCCTTGCGATATGTTATATTAGAATGCAATCAATGTTAGAACACAAAGCCACCACGGACCATATATTTGTTACCATTTAGCTATGGCAGCCATGGCTAAATGCTTTCCTTAAATAATTAAATGATGTTTGTGTGGTAGAAATCGGTTAAAGGGACCAGCCGCTCATTTGGGCCACTCACTCTCCCAAGTCCCGAAGTTGATGGGTTATTGGTTTTATATGCGGGCACTGGACATACTCAATTTAATTTCATTTGCTATTTTTGATTTATCAAACAATTTCATTGTTTTGCTAAACTTTGTTAATTTTTTTAGATCGAAAACTCATTGTATACTTTAGCAATTTATTTTTAAAACAAATTAAATGGAAATATAAATAGGCATCAATGTCTTGATGGTACAAATTTGTTTCGATTTTATCAACATCAAGAATTCTTTTAAATCTTTTGAATTTCTCTCTACGCACCCATACTTCCAGGGGACTTCATCGCACAGACGATCGAGAATGAAAACGTCAGAAAAAATGAGAACTCAAGAAGTAGAAACAACAAGATAAACGAAATCGATGATGACAACCGCGAAGACAACAACAACAGCAGCAACAACAACAACAACGACGACGACGATAACGACATAGGTACTACAGAACCTTCACTGATATTGACACCGTCCGAACCACAAACGGAATATTTACACTCCAATCTCGTGCTGACCTGCCACGTGCACGCAGGAGATCCGGTGATGGCCAGGAAGAGCAAGAGAGGAATGCCTCATCTCTACTGGCACGATAGCAAGGGTGACGTCATCGAACAACACTCTGCAAGGTTTGTTCCTAATTCCGAAGCAGTTTAATTTAGAGATATTGGAAATTAAAAGTTGAAAGAATGAGTGAATGAATGGATAGATGGACTAATAAATGAATGAATGAATGAATGAATGAATGAATGAATGAATGAATGAATGAATGAATGAATGAATGAATGAATGAATGAATGAATGAATGAATGAATGAATGAATGAATGAATGAATGAATGAATGAATGAATGAATGAATGAATGAATGAATGAATGAATGAATGAATGAATGAATGAATGAATGAATGAATGAATGAATGAATGAATGAATGAATGAATGAATGAATGAATGAATGAATGAATGAATGAATGAATGAATGAATGAATGAATGAATGAATGAATGAATGAATGAATGAATGAATGAATGAATGAATGAATGAATGAATGAATGAATGAATGAATGAATGAATGAATGAATGAATGAATGAATGAATGAATGAATGAATGAATGAATGAATGAATGAATGAATGAATGAATGAATGAATGAATGAATGAATGAATGAATGAATGAATGAATGAATGAATGAATGAATGAATGAATGAATGAATGAATGAATGAATGAATGAATGAATGAATGAATGAATGAATGAATGAATGAATGAATGAATGAATGAATGGTAATTATATAATTTTATCACTAGCATTAGCAATGTATTATCAAAAACAATGCAATGGATTAAAAATGCATTCAAAGAATGTTTTGAAATAAAATTTGAAAAGAATATAAGACTCATTTGATGTTGAGCCAAGCAACACAGCAGTAGCAAGCTGGCAGGTTGAGGTTGTGTTTGTAATTGTCCGTCGTCCAAGAGCCATGAGTAATAAAATGGATGAATGAATGAATGAATGAATGAATGAATGAATGAATGAATGAATGAATGAATGAATGAATGAATGAATGAATGAATGAATGAATGAATGAATGAATGAATGAATGAATGAATGGTAATTATATAATTTTATCACTAGCATTAGCAATGTATTATCAAAAACAATGCAATGGATTAAAAATGCATTCAAAGAATGTTTTGAAATAAAATTTGAAAAGAATATAAGACTCATTTGATGTTGAGCCAAGCAACACAGCAGTAGCAAGCTGGCAGGTTGAGGTTGTGTTTGTAATTGTCCGTCGTCCAAGAGCCATGAGTAATAAAATGGAATTTAAAAAAAAAATCAGCTGCAACAGATGTCGCAAACAGCCAACGCATCTCACTAATTTTCTTTAAACCATTTTAAAGTTTATGCAGACAACAAAAAATTGACTTTAAAAATTAAATATAATAACATCTAACATAAAATGCAACTTGTAAGCATGAAATTAATTTAGCATGGAATTATTTTAAAATCTGGATTAATTAAAATGACCAGACTGAGAATAGAGCGACCAGACGTTTACACAGTAAAGTTGTACATAAGCAACATAAGCACGGAGCAAGCGGGCCTCTACAAATGTGCATTAACCTGGGCCGACCTCACAGAGGAAAAGTATCTCCGTGTTTATGTGCTGGGTAGGTCATTGGTTCCAGTTTTCTTTTTGTGTTTATGTGAATTATTTTCTCAAGTTTGGTTAACGGTTAATCTCATTTGTATAGAGTGCAATTTTATGCTCATTTATCTTTATTTGTTATGCATTGTATTTGGTTTTTAGTCTTAAACACGTAAAGTAAATAGCATGTGATCAGTTCAATGCCTAATGCGTACACTGTAGGTGTAAGAATTGTGAATTTATCTTCATAGTGAGTGCGATGTATTGGTGGTTATTCATTTTTGTTTTTTGACACAGGCAAAGATTGAAGATCATAAACATGAGTTGTTGTTATAAAAATGTTATTATCGCGAGCGTGTGTGTTTATATAGCAATTAATATAATGTCTGTATTCATTTCCTGATTGCTTTAATCCCGTATGACCAGACGACATCACATTCACCGGCGCTGATGATCCCACGAAAGAAGTGAACGCTGGCGAAAACGTTCAACTGAACTGCAAGGTGCAAACCAACCTGCTCCCAACCATCACCTGGAAGTTTAATGGCACTATCATCAACAAACATGGTAGGATATTTTTTTTGACTTTTCATCATGCAACTTTAGCCAGCGTAGAACTGCTTCTACACATTCCTTACTGTGATCAAACTTTTGTTCGACAAATGCTGTAGCGTCGCACTACTCAAGATTGTGTTTGAGTTGAGTCGAGTTAGGAAGAGATGTTCCTCAAACTATGTCATCCATCGTCTAGTAAACATGCGAAGCGTTTCAATGCTCTTTATTGTTTCCAGTCACGGCCTCATTGAAACGTGCAACGGACTTCTAATGTAATGTCTGAATTAAATTTTTGACCAAATAAAATGTTTTTGAGATAGTAACTAATAAATTTCATTAATGATGTTGCCACTTGTGGAGAAATTTATATTACACCAATCGTTAATTGTTGGAAAAAAATTGTTTGGTTTCGAAGTTTTAAGATATTTTAAATTTATTAACAGTCAATCCAGGTAGATATACGCTGAAAAAAGATGGAAGCTTGTTGCTGAAGAGAGTCTCGAAGAAAGATGCGGGTATGTACGAGTGCAAAGTGACCATCGAATCTCTGGGCACGTTCAGAACAAAAATGGTCCAAGTCAGAGTTCTCTGTAAGTTTTCTACTCTCTCTTTCTCTGCGTGTGTTTTTGAAAGTAAAAATTTTAGAACTGAAAACTTTTCCTGGTAATGCATTTCAATTGCACAATAAACTTTCAAAGTGGTTTTTCACACGAAACATTTACATTGAAATAGAACGAGAATGAAGTAATAAAGGAAATGAAACAAATAAATCTTAGAGCAGTTTCCCTTTGAAACTTTTTTTATCGTAATCAAACTTTTAGGCACAGCAAACAATCACATAGACACACACACACAAACACACGCACAAACACACACACGCACAAACACAGAAATACGTAAAAAATTTATACTTAAACACATCAATGTAGAAAGAAATAGTCATGAAAAAGTGGATATATACAAGGAAAGATTCTTGAAGGGTTAATGATGCCTGCAATAGCAACTGTTCACCATCCAATGAGAAGCGTGGAACATGCTCACGTGACCTCACATGACCTCAATTACTCTCAAATCTTCACTGACGTCAGATGTGACATTTTGTTTTCTTTTATAACTCTTGCGATGACTTGCTCAAAATTTACAAATTCTCGATGTTTTTGTTGAAGTTGTTGTTGATGTTGTTGTTGATGTTGTTGTTGATGTCGTTGACGACAACGATTTTTTGTATATTGTTTTTTTTTGCTGTTTTTCATTGTAGGTTATATAATACAGTTTTTTTTAGTTTTGTATGAATGATTTTTTCCGCACAAATTCAAATTACACGCTAAAATCTTCTTGTATTAATTTATTTTTTGTGATTGTGGTGTATTTTCCTTTGAAAAATGAACCAATTCATTATTCGTATCATCTATTACATGAATTTGATGCGCTACAAAATTCTTTACAAGTAAACGATATGTAAACAATGTTAGCGCGTGACCTATGGAAGACCAAAGAGAACGACAGTTGTCGGGAGTTATGTTAAGAGTTTGCAGAAACAAATATTCACTGAGGTTTTTCAATTCAATGAAGGTTTTTTCGCTTAACGAATTAAGCTTATAAATATATGCTAGTTTATTTATTCATATTTACATAGTCACAAAGTCATCAAATTAATGACTTCAAATAAAATGAATAAAAAAAAATAGAGTTCAGTTTTTTTTAAATCAAACTTTGTTTTCAAGATAGTGCCTTTAATTCAACAACATACAACAACAGATGAGCACGCACGCACAAACTCTCACGCACACGCACGCACACACACACAACGCCAGGGTCATAAACCACGAATGTTTACAAACAAAATACAAGCAGCACTTGAACATACAAGAGTATGAATTGCATTACAACAAACATGTGTAATGCAATTCATACTCTCTATGTGGTGCATACATACAACAAATATGCAGACATACATACAGATATAAAAAATATACATTAATTATACATACATGCAACAACAACATACATGTATGTATATACAATATGTGTATATAATTATATATAAACATGTTTACATGGGAAAATGTATGTACATCGTTATATAGACAACAGTATAACATGTAATTATTTTGCATTATTCACGTGAGCAAAAAAGTTTTTTATTCAAATATAATATTTGGAAATTTTTTAGAAAAATAAAGTTTGATTAATGAAAGAAGATGACATTTAATTGCACTCGTGAGATGAATGTTGCCAGGGTGTAAATCATCAACATGTGTTTGTTTAGCTCTCTTTCTCTCTCTTCCTCTCTCTCTCTTTTTTCTCTCTCTAAGAAATAAATAAAAATAAAATTAGAGGTCCATCATATATAATCTGATGAAAAATAGATAAGAAGATGTGAGAATGATTAATGCCGACTTGTTGGTTTAAGGAACGTGGTCGGATCAGCGATGAATGAATGGAACATGAAAAATGATAAGGCATTTATCCTGTCTTCTGGGACCCCTGGCTACTTTAAAAGTAATAAAAACAGTGATAACATTTATTATGTTGTTGAATAAACATTTCGAAATTAAAAAGAAAATAATAGGTTTGTTTATATATAAATATATATTAATATATATTTTTACAAAAATTCTACAAATCCATTAATTAAAATAATGTGTTTTACCAGTGTTAAGCAAAATGTGGGTCGAGATGGTTATATAAAGGGCATTCTGTGATTTGATAAATTCACAATTAAAATATTTTCAAATTAAAATTCTTTTTATTCCGATGCAATAAAATTGAGGTTTTTTTTTTCTCTCTCTCAGAGATTCTTTTGAATTCGAACAGGAATGTTAATTAAACTTGACATCCGCTAACAACAAATAAATATGCAACCTTGTTAATAAATCACCATCATCGTCGTCATCGTTAACATCATCATCATCGTTATCATCATCATCATCGTTATCATCATCGTCGTCGTCATCAGCGACATCAATATCATCTTATTCACAATCAACATTCACGTATATCATACCTAACATTACTGTTGTTTTACTTGCATAAGTTTAATTTGAATATTAAGTATATTAAATAAAGCAAGACGGACATCATAATAGGATAAATGGAGCATGCAAGTTATCGTTTGAAGAATTTAATTTTTATGTTATATGTTATCACCATGGATATGATATATCCATTGTTATCCCATATAGCGCACACACACATCGCGCGCGCACACATTCATGTTTTTTGTATAGCTTATACGTCCGCCTATGTATACACAGTATAGACATACATCTTCAAAGTAAATTTCAATGTAAATAAATTTGTTGTTTGTACATCTATGAGAAGTGAGAATCAAAACAAACGAAGCGAACAGATCATCTGCTGTACATAAAAATCGTACACACAACACACACACACACACACCCCACGCATACGAACGAACGATGTACAAAAAAGATTTATGTAAGTGGTGGAGTAGAAGAGCGGGCAGACAAATGACATAATTGCTTAGCCGTTTAATCTGCACCGTTTTTTTTGGAAATTACGTTTTCATAATGCCATCTTAAAAATTTGAATTACAGTGAATGAGTCATTGATGATTTTTATAAGATTTGTTTCTAAAAATAGAAACAATAACAATTTTCGTAGCATCGTCCATTTATATGCAAATTATCTTTTCAGACCCTCCGGAGAAGATCCAAATAAGTTCACTGCACAAGTCGGTCAGTGGTTCCATGTTGCATCTGACGTGCCAGGCCGATGGCAGTTCTCCGCTGACTTTTGAATGGCTCAAAGTAATTTTTCGTCATCATACACATTTGGCATCGTCTAATTGATAAGTAATATAAAACACAATAACGATAAAATAATAGAGCAACATTTCACAGAATAAAAGCAATTTTTAACTTTTTGTTGAATGAATAGAAAATATTATTATGTGATAAAATCAATTATACGAAAGAATAAAATTGGCGCATTATGTCTGTTGATCAAATTTCACTACCTATAAAAAAAAATCAATGGGAACTTAACAAACGAATTTTGTGAAAGGAGCAAAGAATAACAGACATCTTGATGGCGAAAAGATCAATATTGAAGAACAGTTCAACGTACCAGGTGGCGAACATGGGTGAGTCTGACGAAGGGAGGTATTTCTGCAGGGTCAGCAACAGCAGAGGGACGTCGGAAGCTCACATCGATGTCAAATTATTATGTAACTCACACTTTCATCTTTTGTAATTGTTCATTTTTTCAAGTTATAAAAATATCATTTCATTCATTAAGTTATAAAAATATCATTTCATTCATCTTATAAATTTTTCGTACAAAATACTTCATGAATTGTAGCGAAACCAGTGATAAAGAAACTGACAAGTCAGTACAAGATATTGGAAGGAGCTCCACTCATTTTAAACTGCGAATCAACAGGCAGTCCCACCCCCGTCGTAAAATGGCTCAATGGAAATTTGAACAAGGTGCCTTTCATGACTGTTTATATTTTATAACAATCTGTATTATCTTGTCTTATTACAAACATTCACTCAATGCAAAATATCTTGCCTAAAACAATGATCGAATTAAAAATATCCAACAGTTGCCAAATTTGAATAATTCATTCAGAGCTTAAAATATGCCGTGGAAAGCTACGAAACGGCAAAACTGACGATACAAAGAGTCGAGAAGAGGCATGAAGGAGAGTACATTTGTGAAGCCAGTAACGAAGCTGGAACTGTGTCAACTGTTATTAAACTAATTGTTGAATGTTAGTGTTGATATTAAACCATATATTTTAAAAGTTGTTCAACTCAATTGACACAAAATTTGTAAAAATCTTAGCCATGCCATCGCTGAAATGTGAGCCGCCTGTTCACTACGGAAAAACCCATCAAAAGAGGACTTTCAACTGCACTGCTTATGGCAACCCGCTGCCTAAAATCCAATGGAGAAGAGCCGGCCATGAGGTCGTCAACAACAGCATGTTCACCATTTTCACAGTACGAAAGGAGCATAGCGTTGAAAGCCAACTGGATGTGAGATCGTTTCTATATATTTAAATGTACTTATCCTAGTAACTTAACATTATGATGAACTGTCATTTATGCATTAACGCCCTATGCACAGTCAAGAGTGCCAAAGATGATTTTCTATTGATATTGATTATCTTGAATGTATTAAAACGTTTACATATCATTTGCGAACATATACATAATATTGATAAATATATATAATATATCATCAAATCCAGATAGTGACAGCGGGCAACGAACCATGGATATACGGCAACTATACGTGCCTGGCTAAAAATGCTCACGGAAGCCAGTCGAGTTCTGTTGAGTTTGTACGTGCCAGTCAGTATTTTGATGAACGTTTTTGAAAATTTACTTTAAAAAATGTATAATGTAATTAATTAAATATTAATTACATTCACCCTTATTGTGATATTTTACAATACGAATAACATAACAGAATTGCCTCTTCAACCTCACAATTTCACGGTTTTGGATAAAAATTCAACGAACATAGTGATTCAATTAGAGATAAATTCAAACGATCCAGAAATCGATTTCTGGAAACTTGATTACCATGGTGTTTCAAATAATGAATCTGGCTTCTTGTTATTCAACAAGACAGGTCTCTTTCACAATTTTTATAACTGCGTTGTTGTTTTACAAACAACTACTTTGAAAACGTTAATTCAGGTAACACGAGAAATTTGGTGATGTCAGGTTTGTCGGCCAGCACAGCGTATCATGTGTCCCTCTCGGCTGGAAACTCAATAGGTTTAGGAGAGCCAATGAAATTTCTAGTAGAAACAAGTGGTTTGTTTTTCTCCAATATGTACCTCATGTTTGTTATATAATATTCTTTATTAAATTTTTAGAGTTATTCCACAATGGCACAGAAACAGAAAGTCTGCTTAGTACAAGTATGAGCAGTTTTGAAGTGAAGAAAAATGTTACTGTCATTACGATCATTTGTACTCTAACAGTTATTCTGATTTGTATCATCGTTTATTTAAAAATTCGCAAATTAAATATTAAAGATGTGTTAACGTGTAGAAAATCCAAAAACGCCGATTTATTTTCTTCCGGTATCGGAAAGCGATGCTACTCATGGTACAATGCCACCGATACATCAAACAGAGAACACACTTCTTCAAAACAAATCCACCTAAACAACATGGCCCAAGTAAACAATGAAGCAACGGTTTCACCAGACAATCGTCAGTGTGTTAAGCTATCAACGACGATATCTTCCAAACTCAGTACGTGCAGCAGCAAAAACGACGGCTCCCTCGATACGACCAACATTTATTGTGAAAACGACAACAGTTTACATTTTCTCAGTGAGACAAATTCTAGATCAGCTACGTGCACAGATAGCAACGTCCTTACTAACAACAAAAACCATGCCTTAGACTATAACAGTCTGAACTCTATGTATGACTTCGATAATACCTCAGGTATCTATGAAGAAATCCCGAAAACTCTCGATTCAACAGCCGTTAGTGAAATTCTGAACGAATACCATAATGATGACAACTTAGAAAATCTTTAATACAGAATAATACTCCTTTAGAGATAATTTCGCTTATTTCCATTTTATACAATGCATTTGCGTAAATTTTTACAAAAAACGATACAAAACATTTATACAAGATAACATGGTGATAATCAAACTGTTAAAATTTTTCGACTATTAACGGTTATCAAATAATTAAATTATTATTTTTATATTGCCATAAAAATAAAATTTTATACTTTGATGTATTTAATGTTATTCATAAAATAAATTAATTGTTAATAGCAATGGTTCATCGTGAAAAATTAGAAATTGTTTCATCTAGTGAGACGGAACGCGATGAACTTGAGTCGTGTTGAGATTGAGAACTCTGCTCCGATCCGCCTGTCGTTTCCTTCGAGACTCTTGAAAATGATTGTGATTTGGAAGGTGTACCAGAAATTGTTGAGAACGACATTTCTTCAGAAAAACTTGAGGAAGAACTTTTGCTTTCTTCAAGACGACAGACATCATTGAACTTGCGATTCAAAACATCTTTGTAGTGGTTTTTAAAATCTGAGTAGCTGTACAAGAGTTTGTCGTCTGGTTGTAGGGGCGGTGGCAGACGTATGGCCTTCTCATTGTGGAGGACTTGTACTTTGTAAATTTTGTTGCAGTCGTACAACACAATCATTATATTTGCGGCAAACGAACATATGAAACTTGTTCTGAAGAGTCTGGTTCTCATGCGTTCGTAGTTGTCGTGTCTCAGAGGTTCGTCGTCCTTGAACAATCCCATCAGACACATCACTGGCAGCAGTGTCTCCGCGTGAGCGAAATAAAAGACACCCTTCAGTTTCAACCTATAAAATTACGTTAATTAATTTGAATTAATGGTATTGATTGTTACCTCAAATAGCAAAAATTACCTGTTCTCGATGAAGCTGTCTATGTGCCGAAAAAATGTTGAGAATAAGTGGCAACTCTGGAGACTGCTTATTTCGTGCCCATAACCTGAATCGTAATATTTCTGAAACAAAATGTATGATGTGAGATGCTCTTGTTATTGTTAAATTTTCTTAATATATCATATTATTTTGACCAAATTTAATCATTTGTCTTAAATAATTTGGTATACATAACGTGATAACCAATATAATTTTAAATACCTTAAGATCAATAGAATATTCTAGCATACTTCTTGCTTCTTCTGGGAAAATGGTGCTCCAAACAGTATCGCCAACAAATGCATATGCACATCCAGCTATGCTGAACATCACTAATTGTTCCTCTGCGGTTTAAATTTGAATAAGTTGTATATTCAATGAGCGATGTTGGTAGAAAATGAAGAGAGTTCCGAAACGACCATCCCATCGTTCGCAAACAAACTCACTTCTTTTAAGATCCACTTTAAAGTTTAGCTTTTTCTCCATCAGTCGATTGATTTCTTGATAAGAATTTTTCTGAAAATCTTCACATTCCTTCAAGGCAAGTTTGTCTTTTTTGATCGAAGTTATGTAGTTTGAACATTTATCGAAAAATCTCAAAAGAAAATCGTCAGTGATTGTGGTGCTGCCCTCAAACGGAATAACTTTTGAGAAACCTTCTTGGAAATAGCTGCAGCTATCGAAAGCTCTTTCAGTGGAACTTGATTTAAATAATAATTCGCCTGCCTTACAATTTTTAAATAACTGGTTGAAATTGGTGGCTACCCTCTTGCCGATGTCAATGAGTTCCCGAGCCCCGCCTCTCGATAGTTCATTGTCTTCGCTGAAGTGGAATTCACGATCAAAAACCTCTTTCATACTCCTCACTGTAACATTGTTGGGGTAATCTTCCACGAATTCAGTCAGCAGTCGATCCACGGTTTTCATGTTTTTAAGACTAGGAAAGCGTGTGCCATGCCTGTAGAGAGCAATCACTTGAACTGGTCGGCATCCTCCTGGTTTCTCAAACTTCTTCGGTATGCCATTTTTAAAAGAATTTTGGTACGTAGTCTTGGTGGCATACATTTAAAAAAATTTAATTTAACTTGCCCATATCAGGCGCACTATATATAGGTGAAAATTCCTATGCTTGATGGCATGAATATCACCTGTGGTCTTCAAGTTATCGCATGTGTTAGGCGCAAATGTATCTCGTGTTGACAAATTGTAGTATTTATTTACAGTGGATCGTCACAGCATAGATGCGTTTCTTATAAACACAACACATCTCTACGGACGAACATCATCACTAACTAGGATAAAAAAAACATGAATTAACTTGTTGAGGCATAAATTGAAAACATTGTTTAACACTTGTCGATCCAAACTCTCAATAAACTTCACATCTGCCATTTAATATATATATATCTCGATATATATTTTTTATTCATCCCAATCAACTTGCACGCCTATTTTATAATTTAAAAAACCCAAACACTGCATATAAATTTTAATATTGCAAGAATTAAAATATTAAAACTAACCCCGATCCGAGCCAAAAAGAAATGAATTGTTAGTAACGACGTAATAATTTAAATCTAATTTTATTTAAACAATCTATTACGAATGATAATTTTAAACGATACAGACATTTAAACTTTCTGAAGGCAGGTCTAAGGAACAAAAGAAGCAATAAAAGACATATCTAACTGTTAAACTAACATGGGGTCTTTGACTGATCATAATAAATGACTGTGTCATCTATATCTTACACACGCATGCATGCACACACAAACAGAAACACACACACACAAATATGTAATGTATCATATTTATATATATATTTAAAACATATCATACATATATCATGATCATACAGAGATCATACTGAGACAGAGAAAAGCATATTTAAACGAATGGAAAAAAAAGTCGAAATAAAAACTAACAATCAATCTAGAAAGAAGGTTTTGGAAGGAAGGTCTAAACAGAATTAAATCACGTCAAAAAAGAGCTCTTTATAACCATGTACAACATAAAATATGAACAATAACGTAAAACGTAGTACGTGTAAATCTGCATATTATATTGGAATGTGTTAAGTGGAATGGTTGCAATGCAGCAAATATGTAAAATATAATTCATCATAATTACAATTTATAATAAATAAATAAAATAAAAAATATATAATATAATATAAAGAGAACGAATAAATATGTCAGTCGTAACTAACTCACCTAACTGAATTGATTTGGATTTTTAAAATTTGATAAAATTTTAAAAGAAAAAATAGCCATTGAAATTCAACGCTAAATCCACATCAATCAGTGAATAGTTAAATAAAAGAACTCAGTAACATAAATTATATCAGTTGAATTTGAAAGGAATATAAACAGATCCATGAAAATACAAACTTCTGAAGACAACAAACACACTGAGAAAAATTTTAATTTATAGAATGTAAAATGATGTTTCATTTAATACTGGTTATTTATTCATTCATTTACGTTAAAAAAATTATAAAACTATTTGAGAAAATGAGTTAAAAAATATGCTTAAAATAACTGTACGACTAGACTGAAAATAGGAATAGTTAACTAATGGGGAAAAAGCAATATATTATTGTAAATACATATTATTAAATAAGTAAAATATTGTAACAATCAGATTGTAAAACGGAGATCACAAAAACGTTTTCGTAAATTGTTGGCCAGTATTTAAAGTTAAACTCAATTAAATTAGAGTAATCTATCTATCTACCTATCTACCTATCTACCTATCTACCTATCTATCTATCTATCTATCTATCTATCTATCTATCTATCTATCTATCTATCTATCTATCTATCTATCTACCTACCTACCTACCTACCTACCTACCTACCTACCTACCACCTACCTACCTACCTACCTACCTACCTACCTACCTACCTACCTACCTACCTACCTACCTACCTACCTACCTACCTACCTACCTACCTACCTACCTACCTACCTACCTACCTACCTACCTACCTACCTACCTACCTACCTACCTACCTACCTACCTATCTATCTATCTATCTATCTATCTATCTATCTATCTATACGATAGATCGATAGATATATCATGATACTAGGTTGAATATTGCACCAAAATGATTGCAGCTTGCATGAACGTGCTAAACATATTAATATCAGATCATGTGCTTTCTATTAGCACAGCGCATATTAGCAACACGGTTATTAAATTTAACAATGAAAATAAACCGAACATTACCACGAAACAGTTTTCATGAACTTTTTACTTCCAAATGTTACTGACGTTACGGAATCTTAATTTACGCAGCGAACACTGGTTAAAATTTAAAAAACCTTCACCAATAAGGAAATAAAATAGAAAAATGATATAAAGAAAATGAATGAGAGAGAGAGAGAGAGAGAGAGAGAGAAAACAAGAATCAAAAATTGTAAGATGACCCAACTAGAATGGTTATTTATAAAACATTAACTCAGTAGATCTGTACATGCAGATATAAGCATCTGAAAGAAACCTCTTCATCAGTTCGTTGTCAGTCTCGCCAGACTTGATCGCCAGGCAGGTTGATTTCAATTTGCTTTCACTGGTTGTCAGCAATCCTGGTAGGAAGGAACAGACTCTAATGCTAGGAATCAAGACGTTGTCTTCCTGGGCGCGTTCAAACGCATTCCCAATTCCTGAATGTGGTGAATGCATAGGTGAATTAGAAGCATCAGTCAGTTCTCTAATGTAAATAATTCCAATGAAACAAATTAGGTTGCCTTTATGTGCTATTAAAATAATTTAATAACACGCGGCTAAAATACAACAGAAAGACGACCAAAATACGACGGACATACCAGCGACTTTCCTGTTCACCATGCTATCAAAATAAATCCAAGGAGAGTCAGCGTGGCTGCCCGTCTTCACGAAGCTAACAAAATGATTGACATCCACACACATGACGGCAAACAATTCCATCTTTTCTCGGTAGAGTTCGGGTTTGTTGAGGATGATCGTCGAAGCATCATCAGTGTCGTTGCTGTCGTCGCTGTGACCGTTGTTGTGGCTGTGGTTGGTGGTGTCGTTGTTGTCGTTCATGACGTCATTGCCATTCGAATCGTGACGTCTTTTGGAAGTTTTATTGTTGGCGTGTTTTTGGTGATTATCATCCGTTTGCAGTGCACCCGTTGAAGAGGCATTTGGTGTTGAATTAATGAAGAGAGTTTTAATGGATTGTGGCTGATGGTGGCTCCTCTTGTTGTGGCTGTGGTACTGACCAACGAATATTTGGCATTCATGCAGTGCGAGTGATGTTTGAAATGGACAACACAAACATAAAAACGATAACAGAGAAACGTGCCAACATCTGCAAACAAGATCAAACAGCAGCAAGAGACGTACCCGGTCACATGCGAGTAATTGAAACTAATGAATATGAAACCTGCTTTGAGCAGGCTTGGCAGAAGACAATGGAGGAGAGTGTCTTGTGACTGTGGAAACAATGTGAACATTCAAAGACTCCCATCTCCCCGCATATCGTACATTCTCTTATACCTTCAATGGAAGCCAATGAAGAGGCAAATAAACGAAACATTGGATAAAAACTATTAACACAAGTTGCTATGCTAATAATTACTTAGCAGCTCATTCAATTTATCATAGACAGGCAACCAAATTATCACACCCAAAACCATCATCACAAATTCAGACTAATTGTTTATGTAATATGTGCAGTGCAATTCATTTCTTATACCGTTTAACTCACAATCAAAGTATACCATTAACGGAAGAAGTCATTTCTTACGCTTTTAAATCAGGTTGAAGCCAGTCTAATTTTAATAGGCGTGTTAGTTATGAAGCTATGAGTCCGTGATTTGTTGCAGACTGGTCTGGTTCGAACGCTGTCTGGTCTAAACTAGAAGTTTACTCCACAAAGAAACAAATTGAAAATACATTAAAATATGACCAACCATACTGCAAAAGATCAGTGACGTCAATGAAGAGAGATGGGATGATGACGTCGAACATCTTGAACTCCTTGCCATGACGAGGCATTTGTAGCATCAGGCACGCTGGCTTCTGCAAACGAAATCACGGAACGGACAATACAGTCAACACGCATATCTAAATGTTTGAAACTTTTTTGTCAAACACCATTGCCAGCAGGCTGCAAATAAAATAACCTGCGTTAATTTCAACGTAGATTGGAAAAAAGAAATTTCAATGAGCTGTTGCACAGAGGTCAACGTGAGGTCAATGTCAAGGTTGTCCTTATCAATGAACAGCTGGTGAATATGCGACTCGTGACCGGTACTGTAAATAAGTAATCATTCAATGAAGCAAGGAACCGTCAACCATCCAAATATTAATTAAAACAGAATGAATGTACGAAGCAAGCCATAGAGAAAGCCATAAGTCTGTCAGGTTATTAAAACTTCACATTTTAAAAGCCGGTTGAGTTACATCACAAGCCTAGTACAATCACGAAATTGAAGTTTCGAGATAAATTTAAACGTTTAATTAACGACACTAGAACATTGAAAAACAAAGTTAGAAAACCGGACTTGAACTTAAGGAAAGGATCGACATTCAGCATGTCCTCCAGCACTGCATTCATGAACTCTTCAGGGTCTGTGTCGTGGAATAATGTAGTAAAATAAAACCATACTCTCAAAATAACCAAACATGAAGATATATCACCAAAAAAAAGTTAATACACCAGTTGTACAATATAATCTTACATTTTTCAAAATATATATACATATACGTACATACATAGATACATGCCTACTAAATACACACACACACACACACACACACACACACACACACACACACACACACACACACACACACACACACACACACACACACACACACACACACACACACACACATACAAACACACGCACACACACACACACACGCACACACACATATACAAACAAACACGCACACATACATATATACACAACAGCCAAATTCCCCACCTTTTTCTTCAAACAAGAACCTCTGACCAGTGAGGCTTTGATCGAGGAGACTTCTCAGTGTTGCTACTTTGTCAGCAGATACAAAGAAATCCCTGCATGATTATGGTTCGTGGTAGATGATTCTCTTAATGGTCGTGAAACAACTCGAGAGTTACACCGCAATATAATTATTAGTATTAGTGGTAATATTATTATTCAATGATACTATCGTTAGTTGCAATGAAATCTTTTAAAAATGAACGCTGAGTGAGTGCAAACCTTCTTAAAGGATTGACAATGGAATCTCTCAAGCACTTTTGCATTTTCACTTTAATGAAAAGCAAATCATCATCATCACCTGTTTTTTTCCCGCCATTACTTTCAACCACGTCATAACGGGAGTCAACTTTTTCATCATCCTCTTCCTCTTCCTCCTCCTCATCATCATCATCATTTTGTGATAACTTCTTGTGGAGTGCAGAGTCGAATGTAGAGTTGAAAGCAAACATGCAGAACACCGATGCATCAATGTAGCAGGAATTATTCAAACCCTGTATGCCTTTCATCGGCACTTCAACATCGTCATTTCTTACATCTGAAATCTCCACTGCAGTAGCCGTATTATAATTTTTATTTAGTTCATTGCACTGATGTTGATGGTTATGGAGGGGTTGATCGAGATGCAAATAGCGGAACAAACTGTTCACATCGACCATGCTAGCAGGCATCTGTAACTCACTGACGTCCGGACAAGTGGGAACTTTTAAACCTAATTGTTTACAAAAATTGTTGAAACTTTTGAAGAAGAATTTGGAAATTTTAAAAAATTACTACTAAACTGTTGAATTGGAAAATTTAAATTGAAAACATATTGAAACAATAAAAAATAACAGCCAAAACAAACTTGGATTGATGTAACTGGTGTTGATAACACTCGTGAACTCATCATTCCAGCTGTCGTCATCATTGTCATCACCATCATCAACATCCTGCAACACTTCCTCTGAATGATGAGGATGACGAGAGGGATGATGGCGCTGATGACCTTTCATCTTTCTGCTGTCTTTCTTGATGTACTGAGTAAATGTGAAGTAGCTTCTGAAAGGTGGACACTGAAACAGTCTGACATCTCCCAACCTTCCATCCCCACACTTCTCCATATCCTCCTCCTAATGTAGTAAATTGTTGTAATAAACCTTTTATTTATTAAATATTCAGAGATTTCTGTAAAAATGGTGTAGGTTATTAAATTTGAAATGATAAAAATGTGAAATCAACAAATACATCAACATCAGTTCTTCAAAAAAGGTCAAAATATAGTATGATTATAAATAAATTAAAACTTCAACTTGCTACATTTACATAAGCCCATGTGGACGGGGTAAGATATATACAACAAAACAATCAGTCAGTCGGTCAGTCAATTGACTAACCAGTTGAATGCCAACTATGGTCTCCGTGCTCTCTCCCACAGCGCCAATCCACATGATGAGTCCGTAACATGGCTGACCACAAACATCCACCTCAACTGACGATCCTATTTTCAATCCGTACGGTTCGAGAATCTTCTCGGGTGAAGATATAATCATATTCTCCATGTTCTTAGAGATGATTTGTTTGAATTCGGTTTGAACTGTCGGTGAAGAGATCTCGTAAACTGCTCCTTGGTCGACATTATTTTTCAAAACAACATCCATCGAGCTTTCATACAGTGAATTGAAATTAGGTTCACTCTTAAGAAGAGTAGGTGGAATAGTGGGGCCCTCGTGCGTCTGTGACTGCTGATTTTGGTGGTGCAGAGATAGAGGAGGTGATGGGAGAACAATGAAGTTATCTGATAAGGAAGATGACGACGACGATGAGAACGGCGGTGTGGACAGTGATGACAAGATTTTGACATGATCGGGATGATGATGGCAGTTGGTTGTTGCACTGATGTGATGTTCGAAACTGTTCCTCTTAATGCTCCAGTTCCTTTTCTTTTCGGCGTCCCTGCAAGGACTCAGGATATGAAAGTTGTCATCCTCGGTTGCTTTAAACGGTTGTCTGCTTCTTATTTCCTGCTGGGTCGGTTCGTGTTTCACGTCAAAATGATCGCATTTCTGCGAATGTTGCGTAAAAGACCTGGAGTGATTTGATTGAGGACTAAATGGCAGACGAGTTTCTTGCAGTTGTTCTAACAGAATGTGATCATCGGTTTGACAACAGCTATCAATTTGTTTCGGTTGTTTGCTCCTTTGAAGCATCTTCTCCTTGGAAGAAAGTTTTGCATCTACACATGACGGCGCCTCCTCCTTTATTCTAATGAACTTTTTGTACTCTTTAGAAGTATCATCAGTAGGAACTTCATTGTTATTGGTGCTATTGATATTTTCTTTATACTTCAAATTACTGCTAGTAGAGATCAATGCAGACTTTTTGCGAACGGAGGACTTTTTTTCAGGCAGTTCAGGAAGAACATTTGAAGGACAATCAGAGGAGGAACTTCTCCTGTTTGACATCTGCGGCAGTCGAACGATCTTCCATGATTTGTTTATTTGCTGCAGAATCATATTGGGAGTTCGTCTGCTGAAGAACTTGAGAAAACTGTTTCTGGTTGAAGCGCTGCTGCTGCTACTGCTTGGTTCAGCTGGTTTCGTCGTTGACGTCGGAGCAGGTGTGGCATCATCTGCCAATGGTGAATGTAAACTTTCATCTGCGTCAGAAATAAAACATTTAAGTTGGAATAATTAATGTGCATGCGTGGAACTACAACGAAATAAAATACAGCAGTAACAATGTACAAAAATGAGGCAATAGTGATAAACACATTAGAGAGTTAACAAAAAATATGTTAAAATGTGATCACCATCAGCCCTTTCATAGAAAGTGCTCCTGCCTGTTGTGTATGGAAGACGTAGGAGAACGTCACTGTCATCGAAAACTTTGCACATGTTTGATGATGGTGACGGAGACACCTTGTCGAATGTTCCAAGATTGGCATTCAGTTCATTTCTGTCACTGCATGCATCATGCACCATGTAACTTTTATTGAGACCAGTTAAAGTTTTGGTATTATCCACAGTATCCATGCTCCTGTTCATAGCCTTAGTGGCATAAATTCTGTTGTCTGACTTTCCCATTTTAATATCTTTCTCATGCACGAAAACAGATTGACCGGTGTGACTCTTTTTATTTCCAGACTTCATATCGTCAAAACTTCGTCGCAAAGATGACGGAAGAACTGAAGAGTGGTAACAGTTTGCAGTTGTTGTTTCAAACTGTGTTAATGCATCAGCTCCCAATCCTGCAACCTGTGTGCGTGACATGTGCCATGCAAACCAAAATATTATCCTATGTTCTGAATTGTTACTGTTAAATACAGTTACATTATTTAATTTTAAAAAGGATTTACATAAAATTGAATTTTATTAAATGATAATCTGCAGTTGTCATCTTGACATGTGTTTCAAATGAAAGCAGCTCTTCTTTTTCAAACTTTTACAAACAGAAAAAATGTTTTATTCAATTTGTAACAAAATTCCAAGGTTAAATAAAATAAACTGGCAAACATGAATGAAAAAAAATTAATAATTGTTAGAAGCAGAAGTCACCTTAAAAGCATTAGAATCCATATTCAGAATGTTACCATCATCATCCTTTATGACATTTTCATAGCAATGTTCCTTCTCTCTATCGTATATTGACCTCTCAACCTTCTCATTATCTTCATCATAATCATCATTTGCAACAACATTACCATCAGCGGCATCAACACCTCTAACATGTACATCACTAGCAAGCGCGCTGTTATCATAATTGATGCTATTGTGCTTGCTGATAAGACTGCTACCAAGGATACGTGAGTGACTGTGGTGCCACTGCTGGGAGATGTGATGAGGTTCCTGGCGAGTGGGAGTGACGGAGCTTCTGTCGGAGAAGTGAGATGAAAATCTAAATGAGGATGGCATTGTTTTGCTGAAATTTTGTTGTCTGCAATGGTTCTGTTGTTCAGAAAATGTACATTGTTGTTGTGGTTGATCTGAAAGTTTATGTAGTTGTTGTTTCTGTTGTTGTTTCTGTTGTTGTTGTTTGTGGTGGGAAAAAGATGTCCTGTGTTGTTGCTGCTGCTGTTGAGAACATGGTGACCTGTCAGCCACTGAAATGAATGCAACTCGATTTGGACTGGCACCACCTACCAATGGTTGTTCATTACAAATATTCCACTGTTAGAACTACATTCAAAATATCTCTTGTCATCATAGAAATATACATTTTATAAAATTAAGTAAAAACAAAATCATGTCAGATCAACAATTTCTCAAACTTTTTCAAAATAACAATAAATAATTAATAAGGCAAAAGTGGTTTCATGAATTTTTTGCATTTTTAGGAATATTATAACGCATAAAACAAATGTAACAGAAATTCATAACAAAGCAAACCTGAAGAAAGATGTAAATTTTCAAACATGGAATTTGATGGCTGCATGCTGACAAGGGACTTCTTGGTCGAGTTGATGCTATCCGACGCACTTGAACTGCAGTCATCGCGTAAAGTTATGAAACCAGCACTACTGACGTTTGAGATGGGATGGTACATCTGATTCGTTGTTGCTGCTGCAATATATAAAATGTAATGGCTAGAAAATTCAAGATCCTTTAAAAAAAATCCCCAAAAAAAAAACTGAAAACAAGATACTTAACAGTTGTTGAATTGTGCAAAATCTGCGTGTCTTGGTCCAAAATATTCATCGGCCTTAATAAGACCAATAGCTGGTATGAGCGATGCATGGTTTTGTGCTGTCCTGAAGAGATGAACATTATTGTACTTGCCTGTCCCTGTCCCTATAGGACGATCCTGGTTTCATGCGTTGAGATTGATAAAAAATCTTGAAGTATCTAAATTTATTATCTAGAAAAATGTGGTACCAAAACTTATTTGAAACATAAGAATATATTAGTAAAACATGACATGCTTTTAATAAAAATTGATCGAAAAATCTAAATTAAAATAAGTAAAATTATTTTTGAAATTGAAAAAAAAAACAAAATTACAAATTCTACTCCAATTGTGAATTCTTTAATTTTGGCATCAGGTAATATGCCGATCCACCTGACAGATCCTAACTCAGGTCCATCGTCACTAATCCACACAATTCTCTCACCCAACTCGAGTGGGGGTCTCATCAGGCCCCCTCGTTGCACCCCATCTTGTATTGCTCCATCATCATTTATCAGATCAGAACCTGTTAGTTTAGTTGCTGGTGACTTAGAAAGATTTTCATAGAATTTTATGTGATGTGATGAAATTTTGTCAACTGCCACAAATATTCCACAGTTAGCACTACATTCAAAATATCTCTTGTCATCATATGATCCATCAGTTGAGTAAGTGCTAATTAGTGGCTGCAAAAATTTAATCATTAACCAACTAATTACTTAATTTAATTTATTAAATTAAATATGTAGTGTGATTTATTTTGTAAGAAACACCAACCAATGGCAATTCAATTCCAAACCATATTCCTTCTGGTGAGGTCAGCGGTCCCACATACCTTACTTGACCTCTGCTGTTTTTTGGAAGGCCTGAATAATTCACCAGAGACACGAACATCTCATACATTTGACCAGTTTTAAATTGATCGAGGTACTTTTCATACAAGATACAACCAGTTGCTAGTGAATCAGTTTCAGTAGAAATGCGTTTCCTTTCAGCAAATGATTCAACTGATAATAAGAGATTAAATTCCAAATCACTGATCATTAAAACATCACTCAGTGCGCAAGACAGATAGACATCAATCAAATCGCAAGATTTCAGTTGAAGTTGGCTCATGGATTCCTCCAACAATTTGGCATCATCTTGTTGTTGATCAAGAAGCACCCACAAACTTCCAGCAGAAACACCGACCTTTGTCTTCAAGACGCCATTATCAATTTTCATGGCACACAAATCACTAACCAGCAGAAAATATGATGACTCCATTTTCCACTCACACGGAAGCCTTACTTAACTAATCTTATTTATTTGCAGAACGCATCCATGGTTATTTATGTTTGGTAATTTATTTCAGATCAATGTAACAAGTGTGATGAAAACTAATATGGAAGAACAAAACCTAAAGTTTAAATTTATAATTTGACAAAAAATTTTAGAGTATGTTTTTATTCTATATACACCATCTAATTATAATACCTATATGACATATATATTATTGAAATTTTTAACATGTACTAGTATAATTCATAGGCTGTTATTAAACGTTTTTCAAATTTTATTATCTACAGGTGCCTGTTATACAGAAAATTTTATTCATAAATAAATTTATTAATAAATATTACATTGTCTTTTATCAATACCCATCCATAGGACTTGTAATTTAGATATTAGCAGCGTTCTATCTTCTCTACACATTGATCTTGCAATCTTAAATAGCGCACGTCTAAAGATGATTTTCAGTCTTTAGTAGAACATGGGTGAAACTATCGAGTACGAGGCATTTATCCAATCCTTTTAACCTGCCAACCAGATTTTCAAAGTTGATCTACTTTTGATATAAAGGCAAATTCAGTTGTTAAATTTTCCAAGTCTCATGACAGGCTTCAATGTTTTTTTGTCAATTAAATTAAAATAAAATTCGTTAGTTAAATTGAGTTATTAATATTAATGATTAAAATGCTTTTCAGATTGTTTGAAACCCTGTTTAAATGTTTTCAAAATTTAATTACAAACATTTTAATTATTATTTAAACAAATAATTTTTAATTATTTAAATAACGTGCACATCAGTTAGTTTCGATTGTCATTCGCATGCAAACTTGCCTGAAGATAACACATATTGCAATGTATCTCGTTTTACAAAACTAATTTTCATCTATCGTTTAATATATTTAATCATTTTTTTTAAAACTAAATTAACTTTGATATGTTATATCTCGCAAAAATGCCATGTACAAACTTTTAAAATGCAGGCTAATTTTGTTTAATTTTGTTTAATCAAACTATCGAGCTCTAACCGCTGATTGTGCTTATGTGTGCGATCAGACAATTTATGTGCATCATGGACTGCTGCCTGGAGCAATAAATCAAACTCTAAATAAATAAACAACGTTGTACGTCTGAGCCCCTTTAAAATAAACGTATACAAAGGTGACGCAACACAACAACCAGGAGCAACTACCGTCTACGGAGCAACTACGGAGCTCATGCTTGTTGGCTGCGAGACGAGATATACATAGGAAGGACAGCATTTTTTATTTTGTTGCTGCTTTTTTCTTTGACAAGGCATCAGAATTTTATTACCAGTTGTTTCAATCATCCACATTTACAAATAAATTTTGAATTTCAAAGTTGAACATCAGGTGAAGAGCAGTTAGAATCGCGAGTATTGTTAGGATTTGTTTCATACATGTGCCTTACTGGGTATTTATTTGCATGATTCCTAACTTACATTACATATTATTTTAACGTCACTTATTTATATAAACATATGCAGTACGTTATATTGCGTCCCAAAAAATAATCTCAAATAATAATTTGAACTCCTGGAAAGTTTCTTCCAAGTTTAGGCATGTTAACATTAAAACTTGAACTTTCTTGACGCTTATTGAATTTAACAATCGTTGTTTTATTTCTCAAACTGTATTTATTTTTATCAGATGCGTTTAAAAATTATGAACGAAATTTATATTTAATTTAGAATAGCCAAAAAAATATTTTAGTTTGCATTAAGAGCCTTCATTTATTAAAAGATCACATCAAGTACATATATAGCTCTAAATCCCTATATATAGAGATGAAATCATCGCATAGAATTCTCTACTCAAATCGAACATTGCTCACAAAGTTGTACTTAACAACACCTTTAGCAACGAATATTGATTGTAAAAATTATTAAAAATCATTCCAGTCATCATTTAATTTTCATGTTCACCAAATTGTCTTTCGCACTGTTTGTTGTCTCAGAATAACTAAGAAATCATTAAAAATTAAAAAAAAAATTTTTTTTTTTGATTTAGCTGTAAACTTTTTCAGTTGAAATAATTCTTTGTAATCTCAGACAAAAAAGTTAAAAAAAATTTTATAGAGAACAACTTTTTGAAAAACTCATCATTTGGGTCTGCTTGCGTCCTTTCATCTTCATTCAATAAAGGTTAAAGGTTACTCTCTCACTTTGCGTTAGCTTCAGAGGTTTCAACGACAAACACACACAGCGTATATGAATACGCGTGCAAACCACGCATCATACACATTGCAAGACGGGTATCTCTTTGTATTCGAACCCAGTCATTGCAATAGCAAGACCAGGCGTCTTTAACCATTGAGCCATCACGCCGCCCCATAATAATAAATAAAATAATACGAATAATAAATAATTATTTTCATTGATGAAATCAAAACTACAGTGATTAGAGATGAGATCCGGCAATTCCAAAAAGATGTGCCAGTTCAACTGCATGCCACCTTACTATCTTCCGAAGTGGAGGTACATGCCACTGGACAACAAGCTGCCCATGCTTAGATGCATTCCTAAGGAAGTGCTTAATTTGTATATCGGAAATGGAAGCATCGGAAGTTCGGTTCGTTCGTGTTACGTTGCGCTTTTTAATTGGATTCGGAAATAAATTGCTGATTGCGAGCACATTCTGAGTTTTTTTAAATTAATTTATTAATTAATGTCGTTAGTGTTCATTCACGTCAATCCTAAAAGTGCTAGATATTAGGTTAAATGTAAATTAAATGGTTAAAATGTGCTTTTTATAGAAGTGAAACAGCTGGTGAATATTTTGTTTCCGTTTTCATGATTTAATTGCTTGAGTAAAGGTTTTGAAGTTTCAAGAATTTTGAAAATATATATTAGAAATATATTGCAAATGTTTTAATAACCAGCTTAGTTGAATAAAATGATGTTTTTTGTTTGATAAACAAGATAATTGATTGTAGTTTTGTAACTTGAACAGCCATGGGTCAAGAACAAGCATCTTGATTTCAACCTGTGGGACCCGCTGATGCTGCAGCAACCGTGTGACAAAGAATACGACTCACTCAGGGATCCTTGCCTCAAATGTTACTTCGCTAACGCACATCATCTTAGGCAACTTTACAAGTTTGTTCTTTACAATTTTTAGATAAAACTATTCATATTTTTGAAGAAAAAAAACTAATGGTTTAGTTTTTGGTATTGAATCTTTGGTTAATAAAATATTTTTTTGCTGGATGACAGACAGGGATTAATAACCAGAGATGGCAAAACTGTTACTTGTCTTCGCGAGTACAACAAGTACCGAGCCTACATGCACGCCATGAATGTTGAAATCCTAAGGGCTTTTCAGGTAGGGAAAGACATAAAATACATTTAGCCGATAGTTACTTTAATTTGAACTTATAGTTATGCAAATTTTGAATCATTATTAATGGCTGTTCCAAAACAAACCAATCTGGTTGTAGGTGCAGAACGAATGTGAGGACACAAAGCGGTTGGTAATAGCCACCATGATAAAGGCTAAAGCGCTCGCCATGGACGATGAAAAAAACCAGTGTGGCAACAACACCTTGTCCAGAAGGTTAAACGCATTCATTATTACGTCAAATTTTAAATGATTTACAATTAAACTAAATAGATTTTAGATGTACACATAGCCTTAATTAATCAATTCATTATTACGTCAAATTTTAAATGATTTACAATTAAACTAAATAGATTTTAGATGTACACATAGCCTTAATTAATCAATATTATTTGTATATTGTGTACACAGTTTGCAATTGTATATTATTGCTTTACATAAAAATTGTTTTACGAATGAAAAATGATCAAATTAGTTTTAAGGTTGCTAACTTACTGTCTGACAGGTATTCAGAAACGCTGAGGCAGGAAATAAAAAATGTTTGCGAGCGAGCTGAGAACGAATTTGAGACAACACCATTCTTCAGGGAATATTGCGAGGTTATTAATGTAACTCGTTGAAATATTATTATTTCTATCTCGATATAATTATTTCACATCTAGCATGGATGTGAATGTACAAACGCTTCAATATTTCTTTGTAACTTATTTTAATACGATCGACCAACAATGGAGTTTTTGTTATGCAATCACCTTGCCACGTACAAACATTCCATTTAATAAACCACTGAAACAAAAGTTAAACACTAGCATACTTTGTATATCTTAAAAGTCATACTTATTGTGTTGCTTGTCATGTAGGGTGAAAGACAATCGCTGCTGAAATTCCGACAAATACTCTTGAAAGACATTAACAAGAAGGCACTCCTTAGACTGCATAAGTTGCAACAGTACGAGTATAGCCTAATTCAGGTTGCTCTATTTGAAACTCTACTAGCAACACTCTGTTACGTTCATTTACGTCAAGTTTGAAATATATAATCAACAATTTAAAAACTAATGATGACAAATTTTGAACTTTCAAGAATTGGAAGGATTGGCAGAAACATACTAATGCTCAAGTTCAGGAGAGAGCTGATGATCTAGTGAGGGAGCACGTATTGAAGTATGAGCGGTGCAAGAACATTAAAGAGTATATGGATCTCTCCCTATATAGGCAAGGAAAAATTGGAGGTTGTTATAAAAATGTCCATGCGTGCGTTTGTGTGTGCTTCTACGTGCATCTCAATGTATGCGTGTGACTGCTTTTAATATATAATTAACAAAGAAAAATGTATGATAAAATAATTAGATATTTAATTTTGAACAGATGTTGTGCAGAAGAATAGAAAACTGCACGAGAGCAAACTGAAAGAATCGATGAGGAGAGTGAGGCAGAGAGTTTGCCTGAAGTCTCAGCGCCAGTACCCCTTGTCAGCTACTTGTCCATACAGTTAATAACAGCTCATTTTTTTCTGTTTCATTTTGTTTCAATAACGTTTAATGCTATTTATTACATCTGTATAATTTAATGATATTATGAATAAAAAAAAATTCAAGTATATTTTAGCAATTTGTTAAATAATTGACACTGTGTGACAGATTTTTTTGAAGGTGGAACTTACGATGACCCCTGTCCGCACAGCAATGTCAGTTCAAATTATCACATTTACAAATTATTATTTTTATTTGATATTAGATTGTGAGGTGATATAAAGACGCGGCGCTTCTAAATATGTATGTGTGTTAATACTTGGTAATAGGACGTTTCGCCTCCTGTCACTTTCGCCCTCAAGACGATTCGCCCCTAGAAGTTTAGCGCTAGATGTTTTGCCTATATATCATAATAATATCATTTAAAATCGTTTTTTAACAAATACATTGTCACTATTTAACACTATGACAAATTTACTTTATATACACACCAAGAAAGTATAGAAATAGCATACATATATGCAAACACGAACAACGACACACATTAACGCATCTGTGTTAGTATGAAATGTGCTCACGAGCAAGACTCAGCTTGGTAATTAATTTACAGTTATATATCAATCATCAACAGCATTATCAATATTATCAGTGATGATTATTATTATTGTTATGATGATGATAATGGTTATGACGATGATAATTACGATGATGATATTTAATGCTTAAGTAATAATGATGATATCAATGGTTACAACAATGATAACGACTATCATGATATTGTTGATGGCGAGAGTAAAAGTTGAGAAACAGTATAATGAATAATAACGATGATGATAATGATGATGATGATGACGATAATTATGATGACGGCAATTATGACGTTAATGATGATGTTCGTAAAAATTAATTGAGGATATAGAATTTTTCATGAAATAAAAAAAATTATGTTAATAGTAACGTTTATAATAATGATAAACTAAGCCCAAACGAACTTTGTTGATATTATATTGAGTTTGCTAACATATCATTCCTACAAACATTATAATAATATTAACAACAAACATTGTATTATTATTTTTTTTATCATATTAGTATGCAAACAAATAAAAAATCAAGCGCACACATTTTATTTGTGAATTTATTACCTTCCCTGACGCCTGTGACCATTAAAATTTATCTAGGCACATAAATCAACAGCACCGTGCTGTCACACACATTAGCCAAGATTTGACAACTATGCAAAATTGGGTGAACATCGGCATCAAAATTATATGTCCTGTATATTACATGTATGCACAAACACATACACACAAGCAGATAAACAAATACATATACACACAATCATATATACACAGAAACATAGACACATACCCACAAACCCATACACGTATACACAGATACCCATAAAACACATGTTCAAACAAACAAACACATAAACACAAACAAACACATAAACACAAACAAATGAACATATACGCACAAACACATGCGGGTGAATTGTTTCGTGGGCGAATCGTCTTGCGGGCGAACTATAAAGATGAGGACGAATCGTTCCGAGGCCGAAAAATCAAGGAGGTAAAACGTCTGGCATTGTTAATAATTTTGTCGGTCTATTTGTATGTACTTAGTGCTTATATTTTTTTATTCATATATGAACCCAAAAACGCATACCAATTAAAATGAAAATAAAACTTTTTTTCAATAAATGCGTCTTTAAATGGTTTTGGTCAAGCCAGGTCTGCTGATATTAATATGATTTTTATTACTAGAACATTTTAATATTTTATTTAAAATTTTATTCCAGATTGTTGCTAATCTGAAAGAGCAATTATTTTGTGAAGATATAAAAAGCAATCTAAAAGAAAAAAATCAACCCAGAGTAGTATTGTTTTTATTTTCAAAATCTAATTTCAATATTTCAATATTTTATTTAGTTATTTTTATTTTCATTTTGTTTTCAAAATGTCGCAAGCACATTTTCCTAACTGTTTCAAACGTTTTATTTGGTGTTTTATTTGTTGAAACTGTTGTTTCAACAGAATGGAAATTAAAAAAATTATTTGCAGAGTTCGCAGATTGTAGCTGAGAGCCAGGATCAAAAATTGGTTACTGGTTAGGAATTGAAGTTTCAAAAAATGCGTGGTTATTTGTTTAAATGCAAACAATCATTCATATATCAACATTTTGTATTTAACCTTGTATTATTTAGCGCATGAATACACCCAGGTTCCCAGAAGTCGAATCTCAAGACGAAGATTCAAAAGACAGAACAACCCTCCAGTGTTAAACAGTATGATGATAATGTGCCAACAATTTCTGATTCGCTGGTTCTTACAATAATCAGAAATGCGTTAGCCTTAGTAGTGAAACATTTGAAACTGCCGTATATTTGCCAGCCTAGTAAACAATCACATTTCAAAACAATTCGAAATCAATATTTTATCCAAGAGCTAGCGAACGAAATTAAAGATGAGCTGTCCGATCTTGTTAAAAATAATTTGGAATTGCTTATTACTATAACAAAAACCCGTCAATTGAACCAAGACAATTTCGATGAACGACAAAAGAGGGGTCTGAAAAGCAATGAAGAAGTTGTCACCTGGGAAGGAGCCCCTCTGATGAAAAGTAACAGTCAGACGATGACTGGCAGGTTAAACAACCCATCTACATTTTTTAAATGCTATTGAATCAAAATTTTTCAAATTTGTTATTGAATCAAAATTTTTTCAGATTTATTCGCGAGCAGTTAATTCGCATCTCAACAAAATTGAAATGCGAAGGCATGTTGTCGGAAAAGAACAACAAGTCTCCAGAAGTCATATTGGATCATCGTTTTTTCGCAGCAATGGCCGAAGCAACTAGCGCACAAGACATCCAAGAACTGTCGTGTCAGTTGCTCGATGGTAACAAAGTAATCTGTGAAGCGCGAGAAATTGTGACAGCTTTTGAAGAATACAACACATTCCAAGCAAAGAAAGATGAATTAATATTGTGCCTCATCAGCGGCCTGATTCGCACTGCTTTATCAACCATCAAAGTAATTTAATAAATAAAAATATTAAACTTGTTTATCCTTGAAAAATTAAAAATTTTAGGATTCGTTAAATTGTGCCGCCATTGAAATGGACGATATTTTGATAATGTGCTCAGTCTTAAACAAAGATTCAAGTCATGCCAAGAAATCAATCCTTTGCAAAAACGTTGAAAACCTCATCGACAAATACAGCAGTGATCTCATGAATAACAAATGCATGGAGTATCTAGTGAAAGATACTGTCAAAAAAATAAGATGTACAAGAGAAACTCCTAATTCCGACGAAGAAATTTCAAAGCATATTTTCAAGGCCGCTAAAAGATTCGTTTCAAAAGTAATTGAGAATTTAATGAGCGAAGCTTCTGCAAAATCACAAGCGGCAAACACCAACGAAGCTACGGAAGATAACGTCAGATGCGAAAGCGATTACGATTATGAAGGAGAAGACACAATTAATTTGGCAGAAAATGAAAGCGCTCTTCGAAAAAAATCATCAGCAAATACTTCGCAGATTGAAAATAAAAAAAGTTTGTCTAAAAAAAGTGATAACGTTAATGACAAAGACAAACTTTTAACCGGTGAAAAAACAAACGAAAGTTATGAAGAAGAACAATTACTGGATGAATTTTTGGACTTCGTATCCAAACATGAAGAAAATAATTTCGTTGAAGAAGAGACATTTCCAATAAACGAAGATGATGAAGAATTCAATTACAGCACATTGGATAACGAAGAAATAAATGACAGTCAGAAAAATGACGTAAGTGAAGAAGAAGCCATTGAAGAGGATTACAAACCAAGTGAAAACCTAGATAATGACGAAATTAATTATCAAGAGTTTGACGACGAAGAGTTGGCTGAAGTGACGGACGATGAAGAAGAATTTGCTGACAGTGTTCATGCATCCTTGGAGACGAAAGAAGAAGAACCACTATTATTTTCAAAACAGGAGTCTGTAAAATATTTAGATGTAGAAAAATCAATTATTCCTTCATACTATAGTAAAAATGCTTCGGTAGCCAACGAAATTAAAACATCGGCCTCAGTTCTCAGTAAAATAAAACTATCAGAAGAAGAATTAAATGTTCCAACGATGGAGATTATAAAAACGTCGCCATCAGAAAAAAATGACGAAACGGAAGATATATGTAACGATGAAGGTGTTCCATATATTGGACTAACACCTGATCAAGAAGCCAAAACACCGTCAACAATAGATAAGAGTAACAAAATGGATACTGAATGTGGTGATGAAGATGTTTCTAACCTTGGAATGACTTCTGATCAACAGGATAAAACACCAACACCAAATAAAAAAAGAAACAAGACTGATGGTGAATACGATGGTAAAGATGTTTCATATAGTGGTCAAACTCCAGATCAAGAAGCCAAAACACCATCTATCAACGATAATATTCTAACGAGATTCAGTCATGATAACAGTGCAAGCTTGCCTTTAGATATAGACGTGAATGAGACTATTGATTTCAGCCAATCACCTATAAATGAAGCAAGTACGTCTCTTGGGAAAAACACTAATGTTAAAAAATATTTATCAATGACTGATTATCCATATCTAACTCAAACACCGGATCAAAAATCTAGCATTCCCAGTGATCTTTCTCCAACTTCCTTTAAAGAGCCAAACCAAAAAAATGATGCTTTAATCGCTCCTAAAAGAGAAAACAATCAGGTGCAAACCGATGAAATTTCTAAAAGAAAAACGCCTGACAAAAAAGCAGACATATCCTTTCCGACTGATGATTTAAGACATAATATTCCAAATGCTGGCGCTGATGATTACGAACAGCCAATGTTCGCAACAGCTAGTGAAACTGACATACCAGATCCCATAAATGACAAATCCGATAAAATGGAGCATGATTTTGGTCGTTCCAACGATGATCCACAATCTTTCGATAACAACCAAAGTGATTCAACAGATCTCGCAAAAAACCGAGTAGCTCCATGAAATAGAGAACAATCAGACATTCAACAAGAGGCTGTTGATAACGAGCCCAATTACGTCAAAACTCAAGATTTTTACTGAACATAAATTAATTTTCAGTACAGTTAAAGCACAATATAAATTTTAAAATATTTAAGATTGCTAACAAGTTATTTAACGACCTCGTGAAATCAATAAAGTTGCCAACGAAAGTTGGACAAACTTTTTCATGTTTTAACGAATTGAAAAAACTTGCCAAGTAATTTGGTCTATACTTTTTTTAATAGATGATAGGCGTACGTGTGGGTGTGCGAATTTAATACAATCAAGCGATAAAATTCTTAAAAACAAAATATAGTTAATTTTGGATAATTTTTATATTGTTTCATAATACTTTTTAAATACTTAAGCCAACTTTTTAGTGCTACATTCAAGCAGTCTCATACATTCTGTTACACATCTAGATACCAAAACGGATCAACCCAATCCTCTGCAAATGACTCATTTTCTGTTTTGTAATTTTTTAAGCTATTTATAATTTATTCATACGACTTACCCACCTAAATAATGTTTTACACTTTTCCAGAGCGTTTCAATACATTTAAAATACAAAATACTACTTTATAACCACATATATTGTAAAATATATAAACAGAAAATCTTCTGCAAGTTTTTTACTTTTAAAATCTACGAGTGACTCGTTTTTAATAGTTAATAAAATGAAACAAGATCGGCTTATAAAAAAAATCTGTTTGAATATCATATTAATAAATAAAAAAAACCCTTATGAACAATTTTCAGAAATTGTTTAAACGATTTATTTGTATAATTTATAGGTGCTGTTGCTTTCAACAATATTTTCCCAGCATTTTGCTCGGAACAGTGAAGGATATCATAAATTTTTTTAATGATCAAGTAGACGACATTTACAGTAATGAATTGGTTAACATTTCAAGACGGATATGAAAATATCTAAACAACAAAATTATGAAAGTTTGAATAAGTATCTGGCCAATTTCTGAAAACGTTAAAAGATTTTAAAATCTTCCAAGCTAACTGATAATCATTCGATGCCTGTTTAAATTCTGAGTAAGTTTCTAACTTTAATGTGCTTCTGCAGGAAATATTAGGTAGAATGTTAGTTTTCCAAACATTAACGATAAATAAAATCTCGGAGATTATTTAATGAAATTCAAAGTTGAATTATCTAAAGAATATTTTTGCATCAATTCTATTTAATGAAAACTCAAAAATTTTAATGTTTAAAAATGTCAACTTTGTTTTATAGATTGATGAATAAATAAAGAACTAACAGTTTTGAATCATGAAACCTTTTAGAATGTAGCTGCTTTAATTGTTGAAATTTCTTAAAGAGGGATAACTTGGCAACAAAACTGAAATGACGGAGTCAATATCATGATACAACATCTGCAATCACTTCAAATGAAAATTAATTTATTAAAACAAACCTGCATTTTTTAGAACTTTTATCTTTCTTTGTCAGACCAAGTAAACATCCTCTTGTCAAAACATCTTGTTTGAATTGTTTGTCATTATTGTAATACCAACAGATTGCTAAAATCAAATTAATGAAAACATGGATAACTAATGTTTTGTAACTAAATAATAGAAAAATAAAAAAACATATAATTAATAAACTCACTGGTTGGACAGGGAGATGAGTTACTTGAATGACTTCTTGAATGTTCAAACTTATCATCATGAATATTAAATATTAAAAATTTGCACATAGAATAAGCTTCAGGTAAAACTGGTTTGTCTTCTAATCTCATACTTAAAGATCTCAACAATGCAGTTTCATCAAATATGGAACTATAAATTAAATAAAGCATTGCAAAGTGATCATTATTTTGAAATAATGCAGAAAAAATAATATAAAAAATGTTTGCAAACAATCTAAAATATAATTGAATGACTTTTAAGATTAAAACTAAAAAAATTAAATAAAAATAATATACACCTGTTTATGATATAAGATTTTATATGAATGGGTTCGGCTAAAAAGTGCATCAACAAAGCTCCCTGAATTCCTAGAACATTCCATTTACATAATTTATCACTGCAGGAAAGTGATTTGGTCTTATCACCTCTCCCAGGCTTTGTTCTCAAAACACCAACAACATGATAATCCTTACCCGGCAAATGTTTGTCCTCACCCTTCATACATTTTGCTCCAGTTCTGTAAATATCACCACTAGGCATATCACCAATCTTAAACTTTTTGTTTGCAGCACCCTCTGTAGAATCATCTAAAGATCGTTTTTTAGATGGATTGTCCACCACTACCTCACCAATATTTTCATTGTTAATAATCTCATAAGAGCACGACAATTTACTTTTAGGAATTATAGAAGCATCTCCACCTGTTAAAAAAATTCTTTCAAAATATATCTCTAACTTTGAATTGGTGAGAACAAAATTTTTTTACATGGCATGGATGTTGTAAAGAAATGAAATTCAACATCCTCACAAAGTCTGAACTTCTCTCCAATGCATTGAAATATGCTCTCTTTATCTTTTAAAGCATATTCAAGTTCATCATATAAAAAACTATAAAATAAAATTAAATCAAAAAATAGAAAAAGTAAGTTGTAATAAAGACAATTTTTACCATAGTAAAGATCTCCTAGCAATAATTTCTGCATGGCTATCATTAACTATTAGCCCTTGTTTACAAAGAAAATTTCGACCAATACATTTGGTGCCTGTTCCCATTGAAACCACTTTCAAATTATTCATAAGCATATCTAAAAAATAGGTATTATATAATAATATAACATTGTAATGTAATGGTAACAAAAACATGCAACATCTTTTACTATTGTGAAGCTGCATGACAATAGCCGACATAACTGTCCATTCTGATCCAGTTTTAGGTTTGCCATTGCCTGACAACCGATTCTTATAATGATCAAAACACAGATTTCTTATTTTTTCAGCTAAAGATGCAGAAACAAATGTCATGGCAACCTGTTAGTTAGTGTTACTGTTAACTCTGTTAATTTTTACAAATAAATCATCTTGATAATTGAAATTTAGTTCAAATTTTTTTAAAGTTAAAATTTAAATCATACAAATTGAAATGTATGCATGTATGTATTGAAATGTATATGTATGTAATGTATTCAGCATTGTATTGATTGTGATGTATGTGTTGTATGTACACTACAGTACATTCGCAAACGTTTACCACGATATTCTTTCTTAATAAAATAAATATATAAAAAATAATTAAATAAAATGATAGTAATGAAGAAATAAAAAAAATGAAAAAAGATAAATAAATAAATATGATAAAAAATCAAATAAAACAAACGTGGTAAAATAAGTTTACTTTTTGCACGCAATGAACTAAAAGGTAATTTTGTAAAAAAAAAAATTTTATAAAATTGATTTTCACAATATACTATTTTACTTGTTTAAGATAATATATATCAATCAATATATATATATATATAATTCTATTATGTATAGAAAAAAATCTTTTTTTACCTATAGGTAGCAGTCTTCTTTATAAATCTAAATATAATACGTAATAAAAAATTACATATATTATTAGCGTTGTTCAGTTAAGAGTTGATTGTTGCTAACAGTGGCAAATTTAGATAATTTTGAGGGTCACGATTGTTAACAAATTTGTTGACAAACGTGGAAGGGGAATTTTCAATAAAAAGTCAATATTCCCAACCTAAAAATTTTTTTTGACTGGGTGAGGGGGGATGCTCACCAACTTGCGGTTCGGGTATTTTTCTATAATTACCTGGGAAGCAAATTTTTTTTTTAATGCGGTCTCAACATATTACTTATGTTTTGGGGCCTATAATGTCAATTTTTTCATAGAAACAAAAGACTTTTAATAACTCTTAACTAGAAATAACTGGTCTCCAAATCCGCCACTGGCTGGTAATGATGTTAATAAATAATTACACACTAATTAGAAACGAGTGAATGGATATATTTTACATCAAGTATTCAATATATATATGTACAAGGTTCATGTTGAAATATACTGTTGTCCGAAATTAACAAATACATACACATTGTTTTTAACAAAAAACTGACGATCATTGTAAACAAAACTGGAAAAGAGGAAATTTTAATCATCAAAAATAATTTTCTTTCCCATGAATTTAACATTCGGTGCCAGTTTTTCTTTTAACTTCCGCTTGGCTTCCCAGGATGGATGTAATTTTGTTTCTTTCAACTCTTCTTTGCCTGCAGTAAACAAATATATAGAACAAAGATATAAAATAAAGTATATGCAGAACATTAATATTATACTATTTGAGACATTTGATTCATTGATATGGAGAGATCTCAGGATAAATAGAAACACACAGACACAAGCACAAATACAGACGTGACATAACTGCCAGAAAAAAAATGTTAAAAAACTTAAAACATTGAAGATATAGATAGTTAAACAAATTAATAAATTTATTTATTTAATAAAAAACTTGTTTGAAAGATAAACGATACCTTTATTGTCCTTTTTTGACTCAGCTTTAAAGCTTTTCGACTGCTTGTGAGCATTTTTGTTTCTATCTTCAGGAAAGCTGGATTTATTTGCAGTTTTTTTAAAAATTTTGTTAGGATTGCCTAACGATGATACAAACTGACTTCTGATATCATTATGAGAGCTGAGAATAACAGCACAACTCTTCTTATCCTCGTCATCGTCACTATCCTCCCCACCTTCAAAAAAACTGTCAAATTTTTCGTTTTTGATGTTTGATGTGGCTTCAGTGATGCTTGGATCTTTTGCTGGAACAGCTGAACCAACAAAAATTTCATCTGTGCATTCATCCATTCTGCAACGTTTCACAATCATGTCATGAGAACTCATTAAAACAATTTCATCAGATTGAGATTTTGTTATGCTAGCATCATCGTCAGCAGCCTCACAACTGTGTGGTGACGAGGTTTGATTATTTGCACAACTTTTTGAGTTGCTATCTTTTACGACAGTCTTGGCCTCATTCGGCTTACTTGAAGGTTTAGATTCATTTTTTACATTTTCTACTTTTTCTACCTTTTCATTTTTTACATTTTCAACATTATCTTTCAATGCTTCAACTTTCTCTATAATTTTATCTGTGCTTTTCCTCTTCTTGAGTCTTCTGGAAATGTGGCCTTTTATAAACGAAGCCAGACTTTCCCAATCCTCATGCTGTTTCCGCCAACTTTCAATTTTATTTTTGAGTAGTTTTTGATTTGCAACTCTTGCTACAACAAGGTCAGTAAGGTTGTCCTGTAGTTAAAATGAAATACATATTATAAAAGCAATCTAGGCTAAAATCATAAATGTGTACAAAACCTTATTGGCAGCATCCTTCACAGATGACTTGTTGCATAGACAACTCTTCACCAGAGAATCCAGTTCTAATTTCTGCATAAGAAATTCAACACATTTTGTTAAAAAAAACCATTTTTAATAGAAAACAAATTTGCCAAAAAAAAGGTAGAAGGTTGTCTGAGATTTGTTAACAGAATTATTGTTATTATTTTATCTTAGAAATTTCTCAGAGGTTATTACAACAAACACACAGCATGCATAAATACACACGCAAATCAATGCATCACACACTTTTTCAAGTGATAGGCGGGGATTTTTTACATTCAAGCCCGGTCACTGCAACAACAACGCCATGCACTCCAACCACCATCATCACCATCGCTCTGCCCAATATGAATATGATAGATAGCAGGTTTTATTATCTATTAGAAAACATCTTCACTTATTTTGAAATTTGACATGGTGGGGAGCAAAGAAACTAATCAAATTTGTGGTAGTGCAGCAACTAAAATTAGCCTGGCAACCTGTGTAAAAACTGAATTTTAATGCCTTTTAATAGCAACACTGTTCACAATGGGGACCCATGATGGACCCTTCTAAACCCGCCACTTGTCGTTTTAAATATACTAAAATAAAGTTAACATTTAGTGTATTATAAAATTAAATTACAATATGATAGAAAATGTATTAACTTGTAATAGTTTAATTTGCTGATATAGCCTGTTAGCTTTTCTTAAGTTTATTTCTGCTTTTGGTGTTTCTCTGTAAATAAACAACAGTTTGTATTGCATCGTGACTTTAATGGTAAACAACAGTGCATGAATAATGCACATTAATGCACGAGTAATGCACATTCTAGACAAGATTGATGTTCCATCACAAGAGAAGAAATCTCATTTCAAGTTGTAAATGAATACTAGCAAGCCAATTTGTTAGCAAAAAAAGATGAAAAATAAACAGGAAATAATTAAAACTATATGAAAATCATACTTTTTAGATTCTAGCACCTTCATTTTTCTGACCAATTTTGAGACGATTTGAGTCCTACACTTTCTTGTTGGCACTCTCAAGAGAACTACCTGTGGATACAACCATCATTCATCATGTTCCCAGATGTTAAACCACATCCACAATAAGAAAGAACAAAATGTTTAATAGAAAAACACAAAATTGTCACAAAATTAATCAAACAATCACAAACTATCCATTCTCTTAACACCAAACATCAAATTAATAAATACATTCACCAATAAGCTTTAATGTTATAAAACAACCAACCAGTCAAACTCAATTCTATCAAATTTAACCAAAATTACTAAACCAAATCAATAAAGCTTTTAATTTTATCAATTGATCAGCCAATCATATTCAAACCAATCATATTCAAACCAATCATATTCAAACCAATCATATTCAAACCAATCATATTCAAACCAATCATATTCAAACCAATCATATTCAAACCAATCAAACTCAAATAAACCAAGTTGTTCAGATCCATCACTGTCATTGGAACATTCACATGCAGTTTGTTTTCGATCATTATTAATAATGTGGTTGGTTGACTTCTATGGATAATTTTAAACTTGACTTGACTAAAAAAGGATAAAAGGATTAATTAAAAAAAATTAAAACAGTTAAAATTTAACTGTTTTTAATTTAACAGTTAACTGTTAAATTAAACATGAGACAATGAGTAGCAAAAAGAAGCTCCAGCCAGAAGTTTTATTTGACTAACTAGTCAATTAAATTAATAATTTATTTGTCTTTTAATTTAAATAAATTAAATTAATTATTAAAAATTAAGGCATTCCTTTATTAATTTATTTATTTTTATTTTATTTTCCAAACTTTTTAATTTTAAAATTTGATTAAAAATGCTTATAATTAAATTATTAAACATTTTCTCGGTTATTTTTCGCTATCATTTTATAGTACCATCGCCCTGCATGCTGTAACAGCTTCTGCGTTTGTCATATTCTGATTTTTTAAAGAATAATAGAAAAAAAATTAATAACTAAATATAAAAAACCTTAACTATTTCAACAGACGGGTCCTTGTGTTAGGAACCGCGTGACCGACGTAAATAACGACAGCAACGACAGTGAAGATGGTAACAAAACCAACAGCAATACAATTAGTTTATAAAAAAAATTTTTGTCTTCATCCTCATATTTACTCACATAACAGTCAATTTATCAAAATTATACATGTGTACATGTAAAGATATAGCAGTAATTTATGAAATTTACCGATTTTCTAGCGTTGGATAGTTTTTTATTACATTTCTCAATATTTCTTGGTCTAGGTCCTATGCACACGAGAATGAATCGGAAAACTGTATATTATTCTAACTTTAATAAAAATATATAATGACAAGAATTTGGTTAAAAAACTATCCAACGCTAGAAATCGGGTTGATTTCATAAATTACATTAATTTATGGTCTTTTACTAGCGTGTATATATATATATATATATATATGTATGTCTTCATGTGTGTATTTATGTATTGTATAATACTAACACTGATCAGAAACTTTCTCACCCTATCACTCAACTTTTCATGAAAAATTTTCATTCATAGTAATCTCAAAGCCTTTGTTCAAACTTTACTATAAAAATAAAACTTATTGTTAGTCTAAAATACTTTTGCATTTCTTTTCATGGTTATATATCCATATGTTTATTTGTCAAATCGATCCCTTTTCAATGATAAAAAGTCAGTTTCATCAGCCGCATATCTTAAACAGCAATTTTAAATACTATTTATTTCTATTCATTTAATGGAAGTCGCAAACAGACAAAAGCGCATCGAGTCAACAGTTCGATAAATCTGAACGGTTTTAAAGAAAATGTTTATCAACAAATTGGTTAAAATTGCAACAAATAACAGATGTTAATTAAATAAATTAACGGCACCATTTCGGCAATTTTGAAGTATTGCTGACATTTCAATGTTCTGCTTCACCAGCTCTCTGTGCTGTTCAATTAGTTTGGCCCTATCTTCCAGCAATTGACTATTAAAAAAATATAATCTTCGATTAATAAATTCATCAAAGAGGAAAAACTAGGTAAACGGTCATTAACGTTACCAATGAAGAAATAAAATTATTGAAAGAAAAAGAATTATATATATGCCAAGCCAACGTATTACGTGGCACTGACGTACTAGTAATTTTCGAAGTGAACGGCTAGAGCGTCCCAAGTCTTTTTAAAACCAGTGTCCAAACTACCATATTTCAGCCAGTAGTCTTTATCCATCGAATCATCCCTATTTTCAACTGCAATCTCCGTCTCATCAAAATATCTTTTTCTGTGTTTTGTGTTAAATGATAATTGTGATAGATGACAATAAAGTTGAATAATTAATTTTGTGATCATTTTTGGCAGATTTTTAAAAATTTGTGCTGATAAAATTAAAAGTAAATAATTAAAAGTTGACCAACAGATCATGTTTTAAAAGCAGATCATTGATTTTGGGTTTTGGCAGTGGTGATATTGCATTTTCAATTTTATTCTGACTGCTGGATGGAGATTCAGCGTCGAAAACATCATCGAATTGCAGATTTTTGTGGAAGTTGCTCTTGAATGTTGTATCTCTCTTGGAAGTTCTGATAAATGTGAAAAGTCATAAACATTTACCAATAATTATTTCATGGACCATACTATAAATATAAAAATACTTATTTTTCAAAAAATTTCATTTGAATAATTTTATGATCTCACAACCAAAAACTTGCTTTTTGTTGGGTTTATTAATTGCATTCAGTAAAGTCAAAACATTAATAAAACGCAGTATCTTTATTATTTACTAGGAAAGCGATTTTGTAAATTAAAACCACAGGCTTGACATCTGGAAGCGTTACTGAAGTTTGAAATGCTATCTTATAGCTATGGCAATCGAGAACCCTCTGCTAAATATTCGCTTAAAATAAAAATTTGGTGGTTGTTTCACAGTTCATTCATTTATTATTCATTCATATTCGCTTAAAATAAAAATTTGGTGGTTGTTTCACAGTTCATTCATCTCTGGTAAACTTCTTGGATTGTCTTTGTAGATTAGAAGCAGTTGACTGATAATTTTACGGGCTTTCACGGTATAAAGTACGGAAGCTCGGATCATAATGTTAAATATGCACCTACATGACTATGTATTAATAGTAAAGTACGAGCAGAAGAGTTTCAAACCAACTTATCAATAAAACGATTATGAAAATTTTGTGTAGTAAGGTTTAACATAACTTAACCTTAATTCAATGCCCATCAAACCTAACTCGAATATACTTATAAAAAAATATATAACCGACGCTTTGTTATGTTCGCCGACAAAAGCTTTAAGCGCCAGCAGTACGTCGTTTGGATGAATGAGAATGTCGCTGTACTCGGGGAGGATCGTGTGGAGTGGGTCGTCGGGATCGCCGGTTAAATTATTCTCGTTATTAGTTGCAGCAAGATTATGTTGAGAAGGGTAGGGAGTTATGAAAGCTTCGTGCAACTTGTTCCTTGACTCGAAAGACTCAGACAAGTTCACTTCCTTTTCATCTTGCGCTTTCTCCTTAGCAATTATCTGCCATTTTAAACATAAAACTTGATTTTAATGATACGTCAATAGTAATTAATCATATTGCATAATTAAATAAATGAAAAAAGTATTAACAAATAAGAAAGAAATATATTTAATCTGATTTCTATATGTTCACGCCAGGAAGTAAATTGAAAAATTTGAATTTAGTCAGTCATCGGTAGAAATAAAATATCCACCAGCAGCATAAATTAAGCTAAAAAAATGAACGGTTAACGCAAGAGAGTTTACTTTGTTTTTCGTGCCATTCTTCAAAAAATACAATGACAACACTCTTACATCCTCTTCATTTTCTATTTGCATCACCTAGCAGAACAGAATTTGATAATTGTTTGTAAAAGAACAAAATAAGTATTTATAATTGTTTATGGAATTAATAATAGTCAAGATGGATAATCAAAATATATCTAACATTTAACACAGAGTCCAACTTCATAAGTGTCTGCTCATTAACTTCAAGTGAACTCAAAAGAGACCACACTTTCTCCTCTATCAAGAAACCCTTGCAAATAAAAGACAATGAAAGAAGAAAATTTAGAGCAACAAATTTCAAATAAACCAAACTGTTTCATTGCATATAAGTTTGAAAATGTGCTTGATCAAATGCTTTGGAACTTTGTCTAAACATCCGTCGACCACTTTTAATGGCTCGTAGAAATAATCTTCACAAAACTGCTCTTTAGGTAGCTAGAAAATGAACAATTTTATAAACTATTTAAAGTTAAACGAAATGAATTTATTAAACCTCATCAATGTTTTAAACATGTAACATGTGGTGGAACAAGTTGACGCCCGTGTGACATTAATTGTTTCAGTTAAAATATAAAAATAAAATATTTTCGTAATAGAAATTAAAATAGCAACACGTTATTAATAATATATTAATTATATTAAATTAAATATAAATAATTAAATTATTTGATAATAAACACAAAAGGATAAAGATAAAACGTTACATTTTTTATCATTTCACCGTCCTCCTGCCTATCAGAGAGGACTATCCTTGATGATTCCAAGTTAATATTTTCAATATCTGATCGACAAATTGATAGCACAGTTTGAATAATTCGAAATAATATTTTCTTGAAAAACTTTAATAGAAAATAACAAATGCAGCTCTTTTCTTAATTAATTATCATTATGTTATCGTAAAATATTTTGATAATTAAATAAAAAAAATAAATAATTAAATAAAAAATAAATTTATCAGCGATGATGTTTAATAGTTACCGAATCCACATGCTTTAGAGACCAAATTTGCTTTTCTCAAAGACAAGTCGTCGCGAGTAGCATCGGGGTCAGAGTTTGATTTGGATACAGATATGGGACCAACGTTTTTCATGAAGCTTCTGTTTTTTTATATATATAGACAGTAAATGGTACTTTGTAGCCATAGTCAGTAACACGAAAGTAAAATGAAAGATGGGAGAAAAAATAGTTATAATCAATCAGATGAATTAATAAATTATTAAAAGATCGAATAAATGATAAATGAATGAATGAATAAATAAATTATGTATGTTTAGACAAAAAACTCTGCGATACAACAAACATGAAGACAAACATATCAGGAAGCGTCCACTTGATTCCTAGCTGTTGCTCATGTAGTATCTCGTCTATCTTTAGAATCCTCGATGCATACTTCTTACATTCCTCTTCATTCATTAACCACAATTTCCCGAACTTTCCTTTGTTACTATCGATAGTTAACCTGTGATCGTAGATGATGTTAAAACAAAGAACTGCTTGAGTTTGTACGTCAATGCATGTTTTAACACGTTTAGCGAAAATCTCTAAACTGTATTACCAATTAATAACCATTTCAAAATTAATTAAATATAAAATTATGCAAACAATAAAAATGTTCACAAAGAGCCAACTTTGCTTTATTGAGGAAGTTTTTGTACTTCTCAACGAGTAAATCGTAATCCAGTGTTAGTTGCTGGTTCTCATAAACAAACTGTTCTTCCTGCTTCTTATTTTTCTTGGAATGGAACATGTAAATGTCATGCAAGCTGGAAAACAAGTCAGTTAAAGTGAACATTTTATTTAATTTTTAAATTTTTCTTTATTTATTACGCAGTTCTAACAAACGCGGGACAGTTTACAAATTGCACAAACTTTAGCTGCAAATAAACTTACCCTTCCACGAATCGAATGCTACAAGTGCACATATGCACACACACACACGCGACACGGCGAGCACTACAAACTTGTACGTGCGTACATACAAAAGGATCATTGCAAGACGTGGATAGTAATAAAATACCAAGTGATAATGTGGAGTTTTAAAAAACATTGCAAGGACAATTAGCGAAATGATCTTTAATATTACATTCGATGCTAAAGAAGGATACACATGTACGTTATAACAAGTAAAGGATGAGTGCCTGAAACCGCTAACATAATTCCAGCTCTGAAAACAGCTTGATGATGTATAAATAAAACACATTAAGACATTAACACGTAAAATACATTAAGTTTTTTTAAACACTCAGTGAAAAAAATGTTTGAAAAATTACAAAGACATAAATCAATACAATGAGAAACATTCTAAAATCTGGCTTTAACTTTAATAGGTAAAGCAGCGTTTGGAACAATACAATATCTGTAAATTTAAAAAAAACAATAAGAAACTGTAAGAAAACCGGGTAATCTTTTTCTTCTGAATGCTTTTAGTTATAATATTTTCTTCATCCCTCTTCCTTAAAACTTGAAAATTATATTCCAGCTTATCTTGATTCAACTGGTAGGTGGCTTGCATCTCTTGCAGTTCCTGCTGCATCATCTGACGTTTAAACATTTCAACTTCTTTCGTATTATTCCATAATGTTACACACCACCCACACACGCACACACGCACACACACACACACACACACACACACCACACACACACTTATATTTATATGTATATTCTATATTGTATATTTATTGATTGATTAATTGATTGATTAATTGGTTGATAGATTGGCTGATTGATATACGATTGTAACTATTTAAAATTTTGATGTTTAAAAAAATCTTGAAACAAGCGTGTGACATTAAATGGCGTGTTATAATACTTGAATGTCCTTCTCGAGTTTGATCTTAATTTGATTGTATTCTTCGGAATCCTGCACTCTCTGAGCATTTAACATCGATTCAAATACTTCAGCCTTTATTAGTTAATTAATTAAATTTTTATTTATTTAATGTTTCAGTTATTTCGTATTATTTTATCTATTGTAATTTGGCGTTTATCAATCGATGGATTTGGTTGCGTTGAAGTATGTTCAGAAAATTTTTACAAATATTTTCAACATATTAGCAAGCATGTTTTTAAAAAGGATTGGTAAATAGAAGTCATTCTACTAAAAATCTTTAAGCTGAATTTATAATTCAGATTGATAGATCATAAAACCTTTCACCATACAGGTTGATAGGATTTTATGGAGATTTGCTAAGAGTTTAACATGAATTAAATGAGTGACTATTGTAAGAGTCAAAGAAATTTTGAGTAACATTCATTAACTCAGAAATTGAAATGCAATCATCAGACATCCAGATCCAGCAACCTGATTATCTCGATTCTTCGAGAAATCTTCTTCCTTTTGTTTCCTCTCTTTAAGCAGGTTCTCCCATTCCTCATCCATGTCGGACAGTAACTGCATCCTTTCCCGGATAAATGCTGCCTACAATTTTCCAACATTTCATCTACTTAAATTGCTACTAACTGTACACAACAAAATTTTATGTACAGTCTGTTAAAAACGCTTGCATACGCCATCATATAATCGAAGTTAGACATATCTGTAACCAAATGTTAATTGTAACATTGCAGCATTACAATTTTGCATAACACAAAAAAATGTAATTCCTACTTTAAATTATTCTGAGTTAACACAACATATAGTGATTAAATTAATCATAAAACAACAGATGTAAATGAACGCAATGATAAAGAAACATAGAGACCTCAATATGTTTCAGTTCAGTTTTGTACGCCTTGGAGAGGATGTTGATTTGCTCAGTCATCCTACTCATCAGCATGTCAACATCTGCTGCCTGATTTTTCAACTCTTCAACGTACTGCTTGTCTTTGTCTTTCAATTCCTATGCATTTTATGAAACTGTGTGGCTTTAATTCAATCAAATTTTTTTATTAAAACTGTGCTCCACAAAATGTTACACACCTCTTTAAATTCATTGATCAGTTTGGTTTTTTCTTCCAACATAGCATCACAAGCTTCCTTCTGTAGCAACAACATCTACCAAACAAATTTTCCATTATTTCAATTTTTTCAAACAATTTCAACTATTTAATAACTTATCAACAATGGAATAAGATTAGCCTGATGAATTAGACAATGCTCAACAATGATCCAATATCACTTTCATATGAATAATTAAAAAGTAACTGATTAGTGGCACCTCATGCAATTCCTGTGCATGAACTTTTTCCAAAGCTGTCTGCCAACTCTGACTAATCTGAATAATAAAACGGTTTTTGTGAAAAGTAAACAGTCCAGAAAGATTTGTCCAATTGTAACTTAACCTCTTCATGTTTGTCAAAAGAAATTTCTTTTTCATTTTTTACTTTTTCTTTCCTAAAAATAATTCATAAAATTAGTACAATAAGTAAGATGATATGAAATAAACTTTAACAACGGAACCTTGAATTATTTTCTTCAATGACTTTGATTCTTCTTTTAATTTCTTTCGAATCTGCAGCAGTTTTAATGTTTGAAACCACATCCAAACTTTCATTTTTCAATTTTGTTGGATTTTTAAAGCCAGTCGTCATTTGTTTTGGCTTCTGAGTTTCATCCTTTAATTTTTCAACTACTATTTCATCAGCCTGATCTCTAATTCTTCAGTAAAAAAAATATATAATTTATAAATTATAAATATAAAATATTATTTTAACTTGAATTATTTGAAATTATTATAACTAAGCTATTTATTTAATAGAAGTTGTTAAATATATAAAATAAATTTAACTCAAAAAATATATTTTAATAAGAATGTTTTGAAAATCTAATTATTAGTCTTCAAGTTTTTTAAAACTTAATTTAAACTTTTATAAAGCTAACTAAAACACTTGTAATCAGTTGAATAAAATGAATTAAAACATAAAATTTGAACTTGTTACTAGTTACTGTTTGTTACTTTTCTGTAAAATTTTAAATCTACTACTAAAGTCTAACAAGTATACTTGTTCAGAGCTTTTTTTAAGCGAAATATAATTTTACAAATAAAATTAAACAAAATTACTGAAACAATAATTAGTTAAAAAACTAAAATAAAAAAATTAAATTTTTTACGATAAACGCAAAGTTTTTTCTCTTCGATTTTCAATCCTGAGACGCCTGGCCAGAATCCTCTCCTCACGGACTTCAGAATCGACGGATGGCTCCGAGCGAACCAACTCGTCGGAAGGCATTTCTTTTCTAAAATAGTTTTTTTCTCTAAGTATTAAATTACAATACTAAAATAGATTTTTAATTTTTATATATACGCCAAAACTGCAAACAAAAATCCGTCGCCAATGGCAACAACACTTATTAAGCATAGATAATAAAAAAAATGCAGGATTGTGCAGGTTGTAAAATCTGTTGTCATTTTTATTCCATTTATTATTATTATTATTTAACAAACAACTTCTGTGCATTATGGAATAGTAAAGCATTTAGATGCTAAACGAAATGAAGTACAGAAACTTCAGCTATCAATCGACAATCCCTCGCTAATCATTGAAAAACCGTTGAGACCGATTACTCTCTCGTCAACATCCAGAGTCTGTTGCCAACTTTTATCAATTTTTTATTAACTATTAATTAATTTTTAATTATTATTTTTTAATTCAACATGAAACGGTACGTAAAACACCCGTGAAATCACGCACAACACATAGCATTTGAATGTCGGAGATGTCATTTTGGAATCGAACCAAGTGATTGCATGCAGATTGCAGATCAGGGACAGGCGCCTTTAAAAATAGCGCCATCGCGCTGCTGCCTAACTAGAATCGAAACTGTGTTTCATTAATTGAATTTAACCTTCGCCGCCCACATAATATAGCTTGAGACAATTTTGTAGAAAAATGTTAAAATAGGTACTATGAACATATAGGAATCTAAAACAACAAACAAATAAAAAGAAATCCAAAAAATCCATAGATAGATCAGTTGCATTTGAAGTTACTTAAGCTGAAAGATAAAATAACATGTCTGATACAGCAACTTCAAAATAAAACGGTAGAGATAATGAGAGAATCATATAAACAAGAACTTCTAACAATAATACGTCAACATGATAAAAAGAGGCTCTTCGACTGGTTGTACACCACCAAAGTCGGAATGAGCAAGTTGGACAAGCTAGGAAAGGAATGATCAGCCATCTTTATCCTTATTCCCAATTTTATCATTTTATTTTTTCCGATAAATCGCATCTTTCTATTTTTATATAATAATCTTTCCTTTTCTAGACTTCATATTTGAAAACCTAATTTCATTTTTTGATCATTCGCCAAAACTTGTTTTATTCAACTATGAATGATTATACAATATACATACACAGTATACATGTTTTGGGTGTTTAGGTTAACAATTTCTACATTATTTTAGTAAAAATTAGAAGTGTTTTCAATGATTTATTAAACAAATTATTTTGAGTAATTAATAAATTTTATGATTCAACAAACAATGGACAGATAAACAACATTATCAAAAAGTTATTCATTCAAAACAAGTTCATCAACAAACAATGAATTAATTTTGATGAAATTTATTTTTAAGGTCTATAAATTACAAATCGTATTCAAAAGCTTTTCACTGGTGGTCGTAAGTGCATCAGCTTTGGCTCTGAATACATTCAAGCTGTTAGATGATTCGGTAGTGGCGGCTGACAAAGAACTTGACGTGATTTCGATAACAAACTTTTTCACGTTGTCGTTGTAATATTTGCTATTTTTAATATTATCGGCAATTTTAGAAATTGCATGGCCGACAACAACGACAATGTTAGAAACATCTTTTCTGTCACCGTTGCTGGCTTTAAACACATCTGAGAAAGCCAAATTGAGAGCGAAGATTGTATTGGCCGGACCAGAAACATGAGGTACAGCCAAAGCATTCAAAACCTGTCTCGTGTTGTTGTAGCTGTTTAAATTAAACGCTACTTTTGCATGTTTTCCGTAGTAAATGGCCGCTAGACGAACAGCATTGGACTGAATTGGTAGTCCTGATACAAACGAAGTTGCAAAGCTGATGATTGTTGACTGGTCAGCGGCACCTGAGAGGTCCAACAACAGCGCGATATCCTGAACAGCAGAGCATTCTGCATTTTATAACATTTTTTTTATTGAAATGGGCTTAACTATGGAATAGGTAGGCCTATTGAAAAGAAGCAAAAACAAACGCAACAGCATAGTTCAAACCGTTATCCACAAAAAATAATTTAAAATTTGTTGATAGAAAAACCAACTAACGTCTTTCGCAGTTCAGACCCGACGAGTAAGTTGGGCAGAGACATGTGAAGGAGTTGAAGAAGGGAGTGCATGTGCCTCGGTTGCACGGGTTGCCGGCACAAACGTTCAAATCTGTAAGAATATCCAATATGATTTTAATAATAAACTTACGTAATAAGCGACTGGGCATTACAACGAAAAGAATTAAATAATTTAAGTTCTTCTACTGGCAAACATTTTGTAATATCGATTCTCCATGTAGTACATTTGAATGACGATGTATCAATATATTGAAGGTTATATGAACGTAATCGCTGACGATGATAATAAAGTAATGGCAAACATAATAATACCAAAAAAAATTTATAATTATTTTCATCATTAAATAACTCTATCAATGTAGAAACATAAAATAATATCGATAATAAAATTTATATGACCTTTAAGAGTCGTCTTGAAAGTAGGTTCGGCCAGTTGAATCAGTCCTGAGTGTTTGGCTGTACTCATAATGCTGTTCACTCCGTACGATGCGTAGTTCATCAACACAAATTTGTAGAAATCCATGCCTACTGCAATGCTCATCATTAGGTTGGAATCGCCTCTTATTCGAGAAGACAGCTGTATTTCAGGACTCTTGTAACCTTTTTAACCATATTGAACCAAAAATAATGCGCGTTTTGATTGCAATTCGTAAAATAATCATTTCAAAAGTTTAATAAGTTGACAAAATGTTTGCAAACCTTTCCTACTAATCATTCTGCCGTTATGAATAAGAATGACGACGTTCGGTACATCCGGTCTGTCTCCATTCTCTTTAGTGAACATCTTTTCCTAAGGAATATAAAAGTTCGCTAACATCAACTCTGGTGTAATTTATTTTGAAGCAGAAATTAAAAAAAAAAGAAATGTGATAAATTTATGTAAGCAAGAATAGATTGTTGGTTTTAGTCGGCTGCATTACATTTGAAAAGAAATTACCACAAATTAAAAATTTCAGAACTGACCACTTCAAGAAGGGCTTTCATTAAATCATGCCCCTTTGTAGCATTGTACTGAATCATGCTGACGGCTCCGTATAGAGATTCCGATGAATTGTATTTGTTTAAATGGAATCTGCACAATAGGTAACAAGTTTTTTCAATATAAAAATTCATCTGAAAAAAAGGTTTTTAAAAAAATAGAAGAAAATTTTAAAATAATTTTTTGAATATCTTTATAATAAACCGCACACAAACCTTATTAACGGTTTTTCATTGTAGGTGAGCAAACCAACTCGAGTGTCCATGGAAGATGCTATCTGGTACATACTTATGATTTTCATTATGAAGTCCTTTATTTGGTTGAAGCCGTTCTGCTTCACGCCAGTGGTCATGTCAACCATAAATATCAAATCTACTCTATTGTCCATTTCTATATTATATTTCAATTGACATTATTTGGAAAAAAATGCAGAGTTTTTTTTTAAATATTGTAAAAAAATAATGAAATCATCAGTTAATTACTAAATTGGCAGTTGGTTCCACTGAAGCCCTTCGGACACGAGCAGGAATAAGAGTTGATGAGGTCGATGCAGGTTCCAACCTGACAGGGCCTGCTGGAGCACTCGTCTTCCACTGAATCGTATAACAACAATAATAAATTCATTTATTTATCGAAATTTCTGATATAATAATTTTTTAAATTTGAAAAAAACATTGAAAACTGTTAGTAGAACTCACCATTGCCAGCAAAATTTACTAATTTTTTCGCTAAATTGTTATCCATCATATCCGTCGTCTTGACGTAAATTTTGTTAGCGGACGGGTAACTAGCCAAAAGATTGAACTTGCTGAGTTTGAAGTACCTTGACTGAATGCCGACAGTGATAATCTGAATGCCATCGTCCTTCGCCAGGCTTGCCTGCTGAACAGATTCCAACAAATCATTCGGATGAATGGCGCTGATGATGACAATCACTCTATCCACATTCTTGTTCAGTTCGTTAGTCAGGCTTAATTCTTTCATTGCGGATTTTATTGCCTCAGCCATTAAAGTCTCACCAATACTATAAAAATTTCAAAATTTAGAAAATTAACTTAAAAATAATGAAATTTGAAATAATTTCAATTACAACTGATTTTTATAAATGTTGTCATTTAATATTTTATTTTAAAATTAAGGCAGTCGGCTTAAAAATTAAAAACTACGTACGGACTGAAGCTATTGAGAGCTTCTAGCGTGTTATTAAGTTCATTGGACTCGTTGAGTCTCACAAGCACATGGTGTCCATCTGACAGGGTGATCAGAGAAATGCGGTTGTATTTCTCCGTGCTGAATGACATGACAAAGGTTCTCATGAAGGTCATAATTTTTTTGAACTCGTCCACTTGGTATAAGGAGGAGGCTCCCACCAAAAAGACCACGTTGCTTGCTCTGTTGTCACCTATCGTTGAAGTCATTGTTTTTACTTACGAACGATGCTTAGTCGCATCGTTCGTAAGTAATCAAGAACTTTTATTTAAAATGATATATTAATGCTACGTACAAATGTCGCAGGTATCTCCGACAAACTTCGGCGGACACGTGCACATTTCCAGTTGGTTGTACGCCCTCGCTACACCATTTGAACATTTTTGGTTTAACGCGTTTTCCTTGACTGACAAATGATTAGATCAAATTTAAACTCAAAGTTTAATTTAATTAATGATATGAAACGTACAGGAACAGACAGCATTCCATAAAACCCAGGCAAAAGCTTGATTTAAATCAAGGAAGCTGGTTAGGAAATAAAAATTTTTTTCCCACGGTTGACTAGCAAACGTATAAAAAACATCCTTGTTACAAAAGTTGCCAATCCCTATTGAGATGACTTTTATTCCTTCTTTTTTTGTCTCGAAGAACTCCTTTGTTGCGAGATCAGTGTCAAGCGGCCTTCCATTGCCAGAAATGAGAATTATGGTGAATTTTCCATCTCTCACCACCTTGTTATCTTTTGATTTCATCCAGTCAAATATTCTCATTCGAACGGTTCTAACTGCACTGGCCAAATCATTCACACCACCCAGGTATGGTAGGCTGTCTATTGCCTTCTGAGCAGCCAACCTTCAGGTTATTTGTTTTGCCATTTTATTTGTGCCGTAAATTTTTTATTACAATTTTTTGAAAATTAAAAATGATTTGAATGGAGGAAAAATATATAACAGAATAAAATTCTAACTTGGTTGCAATTACGTTTGTACTGTTTAGAAATATATTTTCATTTTGCTTCGCTTCAGAAAAAGGCACGAAAAATATTTTAAGTCGTTCGTCTTCGAAGTTACTTTGATCGATGAAGTTGCGCAAGAAATTTTTTTGTTTGTCGTAATTGTGATGGGCCGGATTTTTGGAGGCATCGATCATGAAGATGAGGTGTTCGGAGGAGGAGCACGTGAACTCTCTGATAACCTCTGGAGGTTGATTGTCAGACAGTAATTATACAACGGCATACTTTTCCTTGCATGGTAGTTTCATGCTTATTACTCTTAACTACCACTACATGCACCAAGCTTGCGTTGAAATGAACTAATATTATTTATAAATTGATATTTTTTGTATAATTTAATTAAATTTATTGTTATGTATTTGTAACCTGGAATGGCTGTGGTAGTAGTCGGTTTGGCTGTGGTTGTTGTTTTGGGGGTTGAAGGTTGGGTCATGAGAGTGTTAATGAACTCGCAGGTGGCCGGTGTGACGATCCTGGGTACGAGTTGAGACAGTTGTGAAAATTCGTCGACTCTGAAGAAGTTGTTCTGAGACAGGCGGCTCAAAAATGTGTTCTCCACCTTTTCAAATTGACGGTTGTATTCTTACGTAAAGAAACATCAATCCAACCAAGAAGCACTTGTTCAACTTTTTAAATTAGCAATTCTTTAAAATGACCTCATTTCGTTTACAAAAGAATTAATAATGAAAGTATGGTTAGAAAGTTTTAACGAAAAAATGAACTTTGCAGACGAACTTGATTAGTGACGCCGACGGTGAGTACCAGGATGCCCATGTTCTGGATGTTAGTCAGTTCTTGAGGCAGTTGGTCAACATCGAACGTCGCCATCCCATCCGTTATCAGGATTATCACTTTCTTCTTCCTGGTGTGCACGAATCTGCTCTGACCGAACAACCTACGCGCATTTGTTCATTGTCTTGATTCAGTTATAAAGTTATTATTGTGAATTTGTTTAAATTTATGAATTTAGTTGTTTTTGATTTTCTGAAAAAAAAACTTTTTGATTTAAGAAGTTTTTGCTTAGCATGCATATATTTTTTTACAAATCCTTTGATTTAAATTTTGAATTCTTATCAGGTTTTTGTATCTCCTTAAAAATTTGCCTAATTTTTATTTGCTGTTCGTTGATTTGAAAATTCATTCAAAAAACTGTGATTCACAGACCAATAAATGTTTTGTAAAAATATTTTGACAAATGACTTATAAAATTTTTACCCATCTTGTGATGTTATATAGTTTATTCATTTAAAATTTTTACGTATTAACTAACTTGGTTCGAGCCAGCTTCAATCCACCCGTCGTATTCGTGTTTTCGTTTTTAAATCTCATTTTTCGAACTTTATCAACAACATCTTCGATTCTCTGAGAGTCGATGAATTCGTGAATGAGTTCAGCTTTGTTGGCTGTTGAAAGTCAGACAAAATATATTTTGGTTATTAAAATTTATAAAGAGTTATTATTTTGATTCATTTAGAGATAAAACTTTTTTGTTCTTTATTTTAAACAAGCTAAACATACGAAAATTGCTTTTAAACTCAATTTAAAAAAATGTGTTTTCAAAAATTATTTTTAAACAATTGAATAAAACAAAACCGACAGAAATCGACAATGCCAAATGAGGCATCATTGCTGATCTTGCGAATGCTGACGATAAGATCTTCAATGAATTGAAGCACGAAGAGCCAATTCACTGGCTTCCAAGTGGTCAGATCATGGCCAAATTCCCATTCCTCTCCCTTGATACTTCCAGAGTTGTCCACCACAAATGCAATATCGGCATGGCACGATCTATGGGCATCTTGACCAATATGACACAAATTATTTTAAATTTTATCACTACAATTTTTTCAGAAGTATCAACGATACACACAAATACACACGCAGATACACAAATAAACACATACACACACATGCACACGCACACACATGATTTTACGCACACACTCACACCTCTACACACAAAATATGGGAAACCCACGCATTGCTTTTGATAATTAATGATCTATTTAAATTCTGACCAGTGTATTGACCAGGTTCCTATGCTGTTACCAATAAGTGTGCCACCACTCAACTCAATAATTTTAATTATCTCAAGCTCATTAATTTTGTTTATTTTGACGTGTTTTAATTTTTTGGTTTATTCAATTAAACTATTTTAAAAAATCAAAAAAACTTTAAATCTTATCAAATAAAATATTTTCAGTCCAAATAATTTTTATGTTTTCCGGCAAATATAATTGTCTTAATTTGATATTTCAATTTAAAAACTTTCGATTTTTTTTATAAAAAATTATAAGTGTTAAAGTAAAACTTGAAATTTAATGAACTCAACCTGTGTTAGAAGCTGCAAAGAGTAGAACGAGAGTAACATTGATTGGGAGACTCCAAATTGCGAGAAATTTCATTGTTTTGGCTCAAACAAAACACATTTATTATAAATTAATGTTGCAAAAAAATTTGTGTTTTAAATTATTTTAAGTTTTATTCAATAATAATTAGTTTATCTGTCTTGTTTCCTTATGTGAATGTTGAAATTTCGTGTTTGAAACTTGCCGAATATGAACAACTATGTACTTCCACTTTTGTACAACTTTCCGTATTAACGACAATCCTTGCCGGCCGTAAGGATTCCAACCTTTTGAAAAATACCTTTGTATAACATATGCATATTTTTTTCACTGAAAGATACACATTATCACAAACTGAAGTGTCTATACGCATGTCTGTGTTTGTTTGTGTGGATAGGTCTGCGTGGCTGTCTGCATATGTTACTCTCTGCCTGTGTATGTGAATTTATTATCGTCCGTTTGTGTGTGTGTATGTGTGTGAATATTCTTATATTGAATATAATGTGTTTTTCATTCGAATGCACTCTTAGCATTGCAATCTGAACACTGTGTTTGCGCTTAGCTGATTTATTTATTTTTTAGTGTTAAAGAATCTCGTGTTTGCTGAGATATTTGCCGCGGTATTAAATGGGACAGTTTATGACTTAAAATTCAAATGCGAATGTGTTCTCGGATCAACTCGGTAAACATTTTTAGGTGGTAAGAAATTCAGAGTAAATAGAACTTGTCGAAAAACTTTTAAAATTTCAATGCTGAAATACATGAAAACTAACGATAGAATGAATTGTTCAACCAGCCAAAAGCAATGTCTCACTAAGCACACAAAACACACACGCACACAAACACACACAAACAACACACACAAACAACACACACACACAGCATGCAGTTCAATCATTATTCAGCAATCATTCATTCTCCCCGTTGTTTCCCAGCGTATACTATTCATCGGAAAGATTTGAGGGATTGCAGATGTAGGATGGATGGAGATATAGTAGGACTCTGTAGGCATAGACAAGACCGGCTCTATGTGCATTTTCAATATGTGCTTGTATGTATGTGTGTGCGCGTGTGATACGCCACTTAGCACGTACACATATAGGGTTTTTGTCTGTCGTTGATTTCTACGAACATTAGAAGAGTGAAAGACCTCTGAAGAAAAAAGCTAGACCGGAAATTTTTTTTCATTTTTTATTTTTAATGAAAATTTCAACTAACAATAACTGTAAACGTAATGCTGATAATAAATAAACGTACGTAGAATATGCAACACCAAATCCAATAGAACGTCCAACATCAAATTTTAAAAATATTTGTCAGCATTTTGCACATCAATTTATGGTGAGTTAATTGCGTTAAGTGTGATTGTTATGTTACATAATCCACGGCGAAGTGTTTGAGTGTGTGTGAGTGAATGTGTGTGTTTATGTGCATTTATACGTAAGTACGTGTGAGTGCCTATGTATGTACGTGTTTTTTGTATGTATATGTGTGCCTATGTATGTATGTGTGTGTATGTATGTATGTACGTGTTGTGTGTGTGCCTATGTATGTATGAGTGGACGTGTGTGTATATGGTGTGTGGGTGTAAAATTATACAAATAAATGATACAAAACAATTAGACGCTAACAATAATGAAAGCCGTTGGGAAATATTTGATGATATTAATTTCACTGATATTTTTCAAATGCCCCATTCACACATAGTCCGTTTTGATTGTATTTGTTGCTTGTGTTAAAATATTAATAAGCTTAATATTTGTCAATAAGTCGGGCAAATGCATTAAAAAACAAATTTTTTAACATTTCTTAATATATTTTCAGAGGAACTTTAAACATTGTTTGAGTATTTTTAAAGGTTTTCACATGTGAAGGTCTTTTGAACTACAAAATTATTACCTCATTGTTGTAGTATCTGTTATAATATAGTTACAAAATATGAAAATATGTATATATATATTTAATTATGTGTGTTTGTGTGTGTGTATGTGCGTGTGTGTGTGTGTAATTTTTATAACTATAAGCGTTTGTATGTGTGCATGCAATGTATACATAAATACATCAGGTTTTTGTACACGTATATAAATATTAATATGAAACAAAAAAAATTTTTTACGAAAAATCTACAAAAAGTAAAAAATGTATTAATATGAAATAAACAATTGTCAAAGAATAGTTTCTAGACCACATGATCACATATATATTCACTCTCTCTTTTGCCACTTTTGCCTCTCTCTCTCCCTCTCTCTCTTTCTTTCTCTCTATATGTAATGCACAACATACATACTCACACATCTATGATTCAATTATTTGTACCCTCAATTATTTTCACCTTGATTATTTCCCATGCAGTCAAGTCCATACACTCCATAGCACTTTCCGATCAGTCAATCGTTCGCTCACATGCTCCACAGACTCCCAAGTAATAACATTCTGTCATGTTTAGGTATTAGCATGTGTCGTCATCTCTCTCTCTCTCTCTCTCTCTCTCTCTCTCTCTCTCTTTCTCCTCTCTCTCTCATCCTCTCTCTTTCTCCTCTCTCTCTCATCCTCCATTTTTCATGTTCTTTTTATTTTCTGTCTTTTGCCCATTTTTAATCTGATTTTTATTTATCTCTCTCTCTCTCTCTTTCTCTTTCCCTCTCTTTCTTTCCCTCCCTCCTTCTCTCTCCCTCTCTATCTCTCTCTCTTATATATATATATATATATATGCATATGCATATACGTTTTCATGTTGATTTATACAAGAAACATGGATTGTAGTACATTTTTCTCAGACGAATCTGGCGACATTAAATTTGAACGTTAATGTCAATATGTAACAAACGAAATAAAAAAAAAAGTTAACAGATATAATATCTATGGTCCATTCATACGTTAATAACTTTTTACAACAAACTTCTCATCTTAGCGACAATCTAGCAGTGTTAATGTTTACTCTAATTTGTTTGTTTGTTTTGTTGTCGCTTATTGAATTCTATTAAAATCGTCATTGTCGTTAATTTGCTTATCAATAGAGCCGCTGGCATCATCATCATTGTTGTCATCGTCATCATCATCGTCATCATCATCATCATCATCATCATCATCATTGTTTTTAATTTTATTATTATTAATCTTTTTTTCTCTTATTCCGTTTCTGCTTTTCTTAAAAACATTCCTCTGAATTGTTTTCAAAATATCCTCATCAACTCTACTCTCATTATTAACATTAACTTTGCTATCTTCCTTATCAACATCATCCTCATTGTCATCATCATCATCGTCGTTGTCGTTGTTGACTTCATCATTTGCTTTGGTTATCCGGCTGCTAATGCCGCTTGTTCGTGACGTTGGTGACACCAATTTATTTGTTGGTGACGATGATGATGAGGATGAAGACGACAACGATGATGATGATGGTGAAGACGATGATGATGATGGTGATGATTTTGTTGTTTTTCCATTTGATAGCGCTGTTGTTGTCACTGATAATGAAGATGATGATGTTTGGGAAGATGATGATGGTGATGATACTGATGATGTTGGTGACGATGCCAAAACCAAAGAATTATTCAAACGCTGTTGAAATGGGATCGGTTGTTTTGATAGTGATGATGAAGATGGTGATAATGCTGACAATGATGACAGCGTTTGGGATGATGAGACTGATGATGATGACAAAGTTGGTGCAAATACTATGGTGCTTGGTCTATTTTTGTTTTGCGCAAATAATTTTTTCTTCAAATTTTTTCTAAATTTTTTCACCCTACTCTTCTTCACATCACGTGACGAACCATGATTTGATTTGTTAATTTTGTTATCAACGCTAAAATTGTTATTTATGTTGTTGTTGTTGCTGTTGATGTTGATGTTGTTATTGTTGTTGTTAATATTGTTACTATAAAATTTGTTAGCAGTGCTTGAGTTAATTTTTCTCTCTGGATTGCCTTGGGTGTTTTTGATTTTGAGATTATCAAAAGTAGAATCGTTGGTAGGACTTGAATCAAAGTTGACAGGAAAATTGTTGCTGCTAATGACGATGTTGTTGTTGTCTTTGTTGGGTACATTTTTTATGGCATTTTTGTTGTTGATGACGTTGTTGTTGCTGCTGTTGTTGGCATTGAGGTATTTGCTAATAATGTAATTGTTGTTAATGTTAAGGTTGTTAAGTTTGCTGTAGATGTTGTTGTTGTTTATGTTGTTGTTGTTGATGTTATTGTTGTTGTTTATGTTGTTGTTAGATGTGTTGATGAGTGCATCGCGTGGATCAATGACATCTGCAAATGTTTCAACCGTCAAATTGTTTAAATTATTTCTCAAATTTCATTGTAAAAAATGTAAATTAATTCTAAAAGATAATAAACATAATAATCTCAAAAAAACCAGGTGATATTTTAAAAAGGGTTTTCGACTGAACAAAATGAATGAATGAATGAATGAATGAATGAATGAATGAATGAATGAATGAATAAATGAATGAATAAATGAACGAATGAATGGGTGATGGTTGGATGAAAAAATTCCATCTCCAAAAGCTATCTAACATGCTCCAGACAAATGAAAAAGTACGATTAACGCCAAAATTAATAAGTTATAAAAAAATTAATTTAAATTAATAAAATTAAATCATTAAAAAAAACTTTAAAAAAATGAATTTATTGATCTAACTAGATAAAAGAATAAAAAGAAATGGAAAATTTTCAGTTTCTCGATCTCTTCTTCCGAACCCTGCCCTCCTCTTCAATGTCATTGACACCAGAAATAAATGGAGCGAAATCGTTATCACCAACGTCATCATCATCATCGTCATCGTCGTCGTCATCATAACTCTCATAAATATTCCCATCAACATCTTCGCTATTTTCCTCATCAAATGTTCTACCCTTCTCCACCAAATTGTCATCCATGCTTCCTTCTCTTTTTGATGTTTGATCTTAGGAGGAAGTTATTTTTAAAACTTAAATAAAAGTCTGGTTATTAAAAACTAGCATGCAAAAATAAGACAGATTAAACACACACACACACGCACGCACGCACGCACGCACACCACACACACACACGCACACACGCACTTACAAACAAACAAACAATCACGCAAACTAAAACTAATTAAAAGAAAAAATTAGCTATATATGAAAAAAAAATTATTTTAACGAAAGTTTTTTATTTTTATTCAACGTGGTTGGAAAAATAATTTCTATACGCGATGAAATCATAAAAGAAGAGGTTGTTGTCTTCATCATATTATTTTTATATTGCCATCTTTAAAGACATTGTCAACTCATTGCTTAATTATCGCCACGGCGTTTCATCATCAATTTATCATCTACTCATTCCAAAAACATTAATTAAAATGAAACAAACACATTAACAGGCTGAAAAAATCTATCAGGCAGACTTAAAACACGCATCTATATTAGCATCAAAGTCATCGAAATTTCAAAAAATGACTTCGGTAGACAAAAAAAAACATGAAGATGCTTGTGAAGATTAAATAGATATTTGATGATGAAAGTTTTTTTTCTTGGGGTCTTCATTTGAAACATAAACCGCATCAAATATCTCAAAAAATCCTAGCTATATAATAACAAGAACTATATTATTTATATACTATAACAACACATTAACATAATAGAACGACCATAGTCTAATTATCAAAGACAACAAAAAAGAATTAAATTCGATAAATATTTTTACAAAAAACATTTAACCGACACAATAGCCAACCTGTAACAACAATAAAGCCATGTAATTTTTTATAATTGAAATACAACACAGGGCAAAATAAAACTTAACACAATACAGTGTGGCCCAAAAGAAAGTCATTTAATGATTAACCCTTACCTAACCCTTACCTACTAACCCGATATAATAACTCTAATAACTAGGAACAAACTATAATAACAAATTATAATAAATTATGATCCTAACCCCTCAGTGAGAAAGTTAGTTTCTTGATTCTATAGGTGCCATAAGCTACACACGTGTAGTCGCCATTGAGTTTCGAGTCATACTTAATGATGACCAAGGTAGAAGAAGCGTAACTGCCTTTCGTCTCCGGGGAATCTTTCTGTGGGTAGTGACGACCATTACGATGATGATGGTGGTGGTGTTTGAAGTGATGATGGTGAACGTGGTGGTGATGCTCATGGTCTATAATTTTTTTTATGTATATATATATATATATATATATATATATATGTGTGTGTGTGTGTGTGTGTGTGTGTGTGTTGTGTGTGTGTGTAATAATATTAATAATATTTTCCTAAATAAAATTAATTTGAATTTGAGTAACGTGACTCGTACATTCGATAATGGAAACTGTAATGTAATTGAGGGTTTCATACAAGCTACAAGGTACCTCAGCGAGTTTTGGAAAAAATAATTTTATTTCATCGCGAATACGTGAACGCTCTTCAAATGCCAGGTGCAATATACACAGATGCTCTGGTCTCTGGCCGATGTGTCTAGCTAGGTAGACGCATGCGTGCATGTTTCTTTAAATTGTATTCCCGCACTTTTAATGATTTTTGAAAGACTAAACTCTACCCTACTATAATGTTAATCGTATTTTAATAAATATTCAGTATTATTTATCGTTTATATTGCTTGGACAATTATGAAAAAAAAACCTATTAAAATTAAATTAATTTCAAATTTATTACTCTGGCAATAAATTTTCAACGATGAAAATTTTTAAGAAAAATATGTCGGTAAAAAATGTCGTTAATACAGTGATGTGCTAACAATGATATAGTAGATGGGGGTGTTGTGGAGTTGCTTGCCATCCTTGTACCACTTGATGACCACCTGCTTGTTGGCACCCCTGGTCTCACACATCAGCAGGTAGGCCTTCGTCTTCACCGGGGCTGGCTCCTCAGAATCGATGGGGTACCACTGGTTGCTGTCGTACCTCATCTTGTAGCCGTCCAGTTTCCAGGGATTCGATCCTTGGTTCAATCAAATGGGATTGGTTGGTTGGTTTTACGTTACTATTAGATGTAGAAATGTAGAAATGATTTGATTACAATTCAGGACAAACATTGTTATTTATGCTGTATTATTTAAAAAATAGTTCTGTAAGAAATGCGTGACGGACAGACAACAATTGAATGGTTCTTCTCAAAAGATTGCAAGACAATGCAAGGATGCACGCAGATGCAAAGGCTGATTCAGATACATGAGAAGCAAGGCAGGCAAGCATTTATTTTATTGTCGTCTGCAAGTCAGGCGAAAACTACCGCACGCTCCATTGAAAATAAAATTAATATCCCGACCGGATGTATTTACACGCGTTACCAAATAATACAACAATTTAAATGGACTTAAATTCTAATGTTTTCAATATTAAATTTAACAAAGCGATGACAGTACTCTCAGTATAACATGACACTAACATTGGATAAAAAACATCAACAACATTCATCAGCAATATCGTTAAACAAAAACATCAACAAAATTTATGAACAATAACATATCGTTAAACAAAAACATCAACAAAATTTATGAACAATAACATTACATTAAAAAAAAACCTCAACGACATTTGCAGCCCAAAAATTACAATTACTCAATTGACATCAATAACATGGACGGCTAAATCACAACATCGAAGCCAAATCCTTTATAACACCAACATAAACTATATAACAACATTTGAAATGTCTCCATTGACATCAATAAAAAAATCATAATTAGCCACAATAACAGTAAAAACGGCAGTAAAGATATTTTCAATAAAACGAACGTACCTTCAACCATAAGCGTGAAGCGGTAGTTGACGATGGGCTGGACGAAATTATCGAGAAAGCACTCGTACACTCCTGTATCCATTTCAGATGCACTCTTTATCTGCAGTCCATTGCCCTATGTGTGTGTGTGTGTTTGTGTGCGTGCGTGTGTGTGCGTGCATGCGTGTGTGTGTGTGTGTGTGTGTGTGCTACGTGGACATTCAGATTTCATTGCAGGTCAAATTTTTATTGACGTTTTATTACGTTCGTTTATTTCCACTTATAAATATCTACTCACTCAAATCATTTATTATTTATTTTGAATTTTTATATGTAATAATCAAATTAATTTTCATCCGTCCTTAACAATTTTAAGTTTTATCGTCAAAATGTTATAGTGAAAAAATAAATAAATTGACGACACGTACAAAGATAACTAATTCATAGTAAGATAAGAACAACAACGATTAAATAAGAACAACGGCGACACACAACATTATCATAAACAAAGCACAACAAAAAATAAAATCCACATAACCACCAGAAACAAAAAAAAAAGAAAAAATTTACTAAAACCGTACCCAAAATTGGTTACTGCCATCAGGCAGAGGTCTGTTGCTATCCTTCCTCATCCAATACACCACAGGCTTTGGGTAGCCAGTGGCATTGCACCACAAGGTAACCTCGTTTCCCGCCTTTGATCTCATCACTGTCGGACTCGTCTGCGCTTCAATTTTTGATTCTATGGGAAAATGGCGATGCACGTTTTATTGAAATTATTAATACGTATTGTAAAAAATTACTATCTTTGCTTATCTTTGCATCTTTGCTTATGTTGTTACGTAAAGTTAATTTGACTGATAGATTATTTACGATGGAAGGAAGATGTTGATGGATTAAATATGCTTCGTTTTAGATGATATGGCAAGTTTTTTGTGGTTGTATTTGGTATTCTTGACATATTTTTTTTATTTTTTTGCAATTTATCTTTTTAATTAACAACCCCCAAACGTGCAAAATATTTCAGGTAAAAAATTGCAGAACATGAATGATGATTTATTAAGAAAACAACTGAATGATGGCTGTCATAAGATGAGGCGTGAACACAAAGCGCAGAATAAATAACAGATTTCTTATGTTTGTCTGTTCGTTCGTTCGTTTGTTTATTTATTTGTTTGTTCATTTTCAGAAATGTTTTCAATTTGTGTTCGTCGCTTAGTTAATGTGAGAAGTTTTATTATTATTTTTTTTTATGCCAAACTACAGTTATTAACTTTGCACGGACTAAAGCATAATGTCAATAAAAAGACATTCTCATGTAAATACCTCAACACTTAAATTTCTATTATTACAACTGTAATTACAATAGATGAAAAATTCTAACATTAAGTAACACAAAAACCTCATATTAAACAACATTTTATTATTAACATTTCTGCTACTACGACTACTACTTTTGCTTCTTGCTCTACTATTACTACTACTACTACTACTACTACTACTACCACTATTTCTACTACCACCACCACTACTACTGCTACTACTACTACTACTACTACTACTACTACTACTACTACCACTATTTCTACTACTACCACCACTACTACTACTGCTACTACTACTACTACCACTACCACTACTTCTACTAATACTACTCTACTACTACTACTACTACTACTACTACTACTACTGCTGCTGCTGCTGCTGCTGCTACTGCTACTGCTGCAGCTGATAATAATACCAATAAAAAATAAAATAAAAAAAAGTGAAAAAACAGAAGCATAGAACAAAGAGACTTGACAAACATAGACAAGTAATTAGGCCACCATAATAATTATACACGCTTCGAGCATCGTACGCTAGGTAATCTTCTAAGCCTTATCATCAGAGTGACTCCATGCATTTTGTTGTTGTTGTTGGTGGGTGCTGTCTTGTGTGTTTGATTGTTTACTGATGTCAATGTTTGTTTTTGTTTTTTTTTAATCTAATTTTATTTACGTTTTGTTAAATGGTTTGTCGTTTGTCGGTCTTGGTTGAGGCTTCAAGCGCGTTTGACTTGTTCCTTGTCGAATGTTCATGCTTGTTGTTTGTTGTTGTTTATTTGGTTGTTGTTGCTTATTTTTATTTCGTTTCTTGTTTTTTCATGTTGTTATTCGTTCATACATAGTTATGTCGCGGTTCTCTTAATAGCAGATAAAGCAATGGAATTCGCTGACGTTTGATGGGATTCTAAACAAATTTCTTTTTAAGTAGAAAACAATTGTCACAGAGGTTATCTGATGAAAATATTTTTAAATGTAGATAACCATCACTACTATCAGCTACATCATAATAATTTTTCCCATCAATGTTATTATTATTATTATTGTTGTTATTATTATTATTATTCACCATATCATGATACTTGCGATATGCAAATGATATGATATCGTCGAAGTGTACCAACGAACCAAAGAATAAACAGCTGTTGAGCAATAAAGTTACAATGACCAGACAAATTAGAGACAAACCAACACGATATTTGATACCATCATGTCTACCTATTCCACTCCTTACTCTATATACGCTCTATATATTTTGCTCTTGTATCCATGGTTGTATGCTATGTACTTTAATTATGTACTCTAACTATGTTTAGTTTATCATGAGTGTATCATTAAAAGCATCTCTGTTTGTGTGTGTGAGAGAGAGTGTAGGAGTGTGTGTTCGATTCTGCTATAATTCTAATTTTTACTGTTTGTTTGATTGGATGTGTGGATTAAAGATTTTTTTAACAGCATTAAAATCATCCATCAAAAAAATTTATTCATCCAGCCAACCTACTGACTAAGTAACCAACCGATTGACCATCTGACAGAGTAACCGACCGACCGCCAACAAACCAAACAACCAACCGACCAACCAACCGACCAACCAACCAACCGACCAACTAGCCATCTCACCAGCCAGCCAACCAACCAACAAACCAGCCATAACTAACCAGTAACATTGAGAATCATGTATCTATGCCTGGTGGTGGATCTAGCAAGGTTGCATCTGTAGATGCCGGTATCTTTCTTCTTGGTCCTCCTAATGATAAGAACGGAGAGAGCGCTGTTGGGAGGTCTGAAAACTTTGTACCTCGAATCTTCCACCAACATCTTCTTGCCCGATGCGATCGGGACTGCTCCGGTCAGCTCCCACTCTCCAGCTTCCACCAATGAAGGTCTCGTGTTGTGGAAAGAACGCTGCTGCTGTTGGTGTTGATGGTGGCTGTGGTGGTTGTGGTGATGGTGGTTTGGGAAGTTGCTGGGAGGGAAGTTGGTGAGGTCTTGCTTGGGATTTCGTTTTTGGTGGTTTTTAGTTTTGTTTCTGGTCGTTGTTGGCTGGTTGATCCGCCCCTTGTACCATTCGATCTGTCGGGGGCGTAATATGGATATCATTGCTAATGTTATATTTGGAATTTTTGAATAATTAGCGCTCGATACTTCATCGCTGTAAGCGTATCATAATTTAAACATTTTGTAGCTTCATCGATATATATATAAATATATATATATATATATATATATATATATATATAATTTAATAATATTAAACAAAGAAAAAATAATATAATTAATATTATCTTCGAATATATTTATACATATACCTATATACATTATATGTATATGGTGTCAAATCTAACCGTCTCAAAACATATTTATGACAATAAAAGCCTTATAAATCATATTGAACGTTAAAATGTACGACAGACTTCATATGATTTTATTGTTTTCACTGATCGTTAACATCACAATGTTTGTTGCATCTGCAAATGAATGAATGGCTATTCCATTTCATAATTGTCGTGTTATAATGTTTATGCTATATGGACTACGGTAGCCAATTCTATAAGTATATGATATTTATTTATTTATTTATTCGATTAAAAAGATATTTTTTTATTTCTTTTAATTTTTAATTTTATTAACGACATAAGTTTCACACCGGTTGCCATTATCGACTGAGGTTCTTCAATTATTTCTATTATTAAAAGGGGAAAGTTTATATTCAAACGAGTTTTGTTACAAAAGTTTAGTGAATTGTTAATAAATCTATAATGAGTATTGTTGCAAGAGTTGTTGGGATCAGTTGGCTAGAAATCTATGAATGTTTAGATATTGTCATCTTGTAATGTGGCTGTTAACACGATGGTGCAGTAGTAGGAAGCAGAGCAGCGGTTATTGATGAGTAGTAGTAGAGACTCGCTCAATCACGCCGCTTGAAATTTGAAACTGACAATTCAAAATCTGACGTGCCGTTTGCATAAAAATCATTACACACACATTTGTCTAAGAAGAAGGATGTGCATGTGCACACACGCATGTGTGAATGTACGTGTGAGTGTATGTGTGCAGAATGATGTAGTATCTTAAATGGTTGGCGTCATCTGCTATTACCATTAACATTTTGACATGTTTGTGACACTTGTGCAAGTCAGTGCGAGTGTACTACGTACGTAGAACCATGTATGTACGTATGTGTAAACTTTTGTATATATGTAAGTGCTTGTACACTTTTGTATGTAACTGTATGTGTGTACACTGTTCCATTGTATATTCAGAGCTGGATTTTTTTACAAGTGTTGAGGTCCAGGGACAGCGAAGAAGAAAAGTCTCTTAATAATGAACAGAGGTCCTTAATCATTTGTCAAGGTTACTTACCAGTTGGTGGAGGTCCATAATTTTCAGAATTTGTACTACCAATAGGTTTTTTTTAATTTGGCGATCTTTTTGTATATTTCTGTATTGATAAAATCAGTTTTTGCAGTTAAAACAGTGATTTTAGCAAGACTTCAACAAAAAATATGTTAATGTAACGTTATTTTCTTGTGGGGGCCTCTTGTATGATTGAAAGCAGGAGGTATCGTATTCAATGTCTTCAGTCTGCCCCTACCTACATGTGTGAGAGTATTATACACTCCTGAATTTGAGTGTTAACTTTTGTGTGTAACTTTGAATTTCAGTACGTGAAAGTATAAATGTCTGTTTTTATTTATTGGTATCTATCGGATGAAAACAATAGCCAGTATGATAACAATGATGACGCGGTGATAGAAACTTTGGTGATGATGATTTAGATGGTAACAACGATGAAGACAACGACGATACGATACGATACGATGTAGACGAAGATAACGATGCTGACTCATGGAGGTGGTGATTAATAATGATTAGTTATTAATGCCACAAACAACGTAACGCCTACTTTAATTTCTCAACCTTGTGATAATAACCTTAAGGCTCTCGAAGCAAACGATGACAAAATGATAATGATGATGATGGTGTTGTTGGTGATGATGATGATCGGTGATGATGCTGATGATGATGATGGTATTGTTAGTGATGATCGTGATGATGATGATGGTGTTGTTGGTGAAGATCGTGATGATGATGATGATAGTGTTGTTGGTGATGATGATGATGATGTTGTTGGTGATGACGATGATAATGGTGTTGTTAGTGATGATGCTGATGATGATGATGATGGTGATGATGATGGTGTTGTTAGTGATGGTGCTGATGATGATGATGGTGATGATGATGGTGTTGTTAGTGATGGTGATGATGATGGTGTTGTTGATGATGACAGCATAATGACACACATCTTAATATTGCCCTGGGCTACTTCGACAACTACTTTTTAATTCTCACCAATATGTACTTACTCACCAACCATGTCGTCATCACCAATCGATTCATCTATCTCTTTTAAAAATGAACTTGGAAAAAAAAATTCTGAAAAGTTGAAAAATTTTAAAAATTAAATTTCAAAATGTCGAAAAATTTTCAAAAAAACAAAATTTCATTGGATGTAAGAAAAATAAATTAATTTTTACAATGCATTTAGAAAACCAATTACGTGCAATGATTGCAAACGTATTCCCGAAATGAAAAGCTTTTTGTCAGTGTGTACCCAGAAACAATAAAATTTAAAAAAGCACTGAAAAAATAATCTGCACTGGTTCGACCTGAACTTTCCAAATGCACAATCAGAAAAAATAATATTTTCTTTTAAAAATGATGCGTGTGTGTTGCGTGTGTGTGTTGCGTGTACGTGCGTGTGCGTGCGTGCGTGTGTTTCTGGACGCAGGCATTTGTTTTTGAAAATATTCATTGGCTAGCCCGGCAGGATAATTTTAATTTATATAGTTAATTATTTCTATCTATAGTTTGTACGTGTGTGTGTATGTTTTTATATAAGTGTATTAATTAGTATTTATTTATTTGTGTGTGTGTGTGTGTGTGTGTGTTTGAGGATATGTGTACGTTCAAGTATTCATTAATATGTAATGGAAATTTTTATGTGTTTGTCAGGATGAGTGTTTGCATGGGTTGAATTTGTGTGTTGTCTGTACTTGCAAAGTTGTTTGCTAAAGGCAATCGCAAGTATGTTTGCATGTATGTGTATCTATTCGTTCCTATGTGAGCATGTTTGTGTGTGTGTATCTGTTCGTCAACACGGAAGTTTGTATTTGTATGTATCTGTGTATTTAAGTACGTTGGTATAGAGTTGTGTCTATGTGTTTACATATGGAAGAATACATTGACGGGTACATGTAGAATGAATAGAAGAGTCATTAAAAGCTTTGTTTTCTATATAAATAAGTTAAAATACAATGAAAAAAATACGGTACAGTAATGTAAAAAAACTTAACCAGAAACTAATCAAAATTAAAAAGTTGTTTTATTTTTAAATAATTGTATGTAGGCAAATGAATATATGTGTATGTTTACATGTTACGGTGTATAAATATGTAAATATGTGCATGTAGTTGAGATACATTCAACATTACCAGATGCAGTTTATAAGATTGATAGCGAAGATGAAGTTAGTTACATGAGGTTGTACATGTCTTCATGATTTCAATTTACCACTCAACATCGTAATTCTAATGGATGGAACATATGTGAGAATTTTTTATATATTTGTGTGTGTTTGTCTATGTGTGTGTGTGTGCGTGCGTGTGTATGTGCGTGCGTGTATGTGTTTTGTGTTCATTAGTGTTGATGTTTGTTTGTAGGAATGTGATAGACGATGTTGTGTGCATGGATACATACATTACAAACATGACATACAGATGTTGACACTGTGCCTCATACGCTGTTTCGATGATGGTCTGCTTGAATGATATTTGCGTCTGCACGATGAAACGGTTAAAAAATAAATGAGAAAGTAAGTAGAGAAGAATGTTGAAACCATCAATAAATCATCATCATTCATGGAACCCGTGAAAGAGGTTGTACACCAATCAACGTGCTTCAAATGTTCACGTGTCCTAAGGTTTCAACCAATCAGAAAGCAATTAATCATCTGGATGTTTCACACTTTTGTGCTAGGTGTGTTCAGCTGTCCGATTGAGCATGTTGGAATGGAATGCGCGTAACAAGATGTTCATTGCTGGCACTCAACACCTTCCAATATGCCTCCTTCACGTTATTCACTTGCTTCAAACATCGCAAGGTTGAGCATCCGTTCGAACACACGCATACAAAAACACACGTTCCTGCGCATTGCTCTGCGTGTGCGTTTGCGAGCGTGCATGTGTGGCTGCAGTGATGGCGACTGCGAAAATCATAGGAAGAGTAAAATATTGGAGAGATGGAAGTGACGTGATATATCTTAAAAATTCCAACTTCTACTGCAAAATTTATAGGTGATAAACAATTGGTTGAACCCGTGAAAGAGGTTGTACACCAATCAACGTTGGTTGTTTGATTGCCAACCAATCAAACAACCAACTAACCAGCTAACCAATCAATCAATCAGCCAACCAGCTAACCAACCAACCAGCCAGCCAACCAATCAATTAACCAACCAGCCAACTAACCAGTCAACCGATCAACCAAAAAACGCACAGGATAAACTTATTTACGTTTGTTAACCAGCGTTGAAGATCATTTTCAAAGTTAATAATGTGAATCAGTCCTTCTTTCAATTTCAATGCCTACAAACACATGTCTGCTGCCTGCCAGCCAGCCTGTTAGTTCTGCTTCCTTGATTTTTCTCCTTCAACATTTATTTCTCTGTTCATTTTAAAATAATTTTTACAGCTAAATGCGTGAATGTGCTTTTGTTGGTGTGAGTGTGAGTGTGCATGTGCTTGCAAGGTTTCAGACAGACACACAATAAATTTGGAAAGTTCATTTGAATCACTTATTGGGATTAAAATTTTGCGTAAAAAATACTCAAGTTGATTTATCGATTATAGGAAGTAATATAGCAACTATAATTGTAGGAGAAATCTTTCATGGAATTGAAATTAAGTGCAATTTGAACGGGTAGGTGGCGTCGAGTTTGAAAGCAACAGACAGGGAGGGATGTACGCGGTTGCAGATTGTAGAAAGCTGAATAATTCAAGCGGTCAGAGTAAGAGGAAGAAACAAAAAGAGAGAGTAGGAGAAGAAGAAAGAGTTGTGAGAAGGAAAAAAACAGAGGAAAAAGAGACAGAAAGAGAGAGAGGAGAGAGAGAGAGAAAGAGAGAGAGAGAGAGAGAGAGGGAAGATGAAATAATTTGATTGATGAGAAATGAATGGATGGCTTGAAATTAAATTAATGTCCAACTCATCTTCCTATGCATAAAAAACAAAACGGATGGACTGACAAGTGAACGATAAAAAGTTTCCGATTTTTTTAAATGTTTCTTTGATTAATAAAACATTAAAATATACGTTAAAAATATATTAAAAATGAAATAAATATATTAAAAACGAAATAATTTTCAAACAATATTGATTGTGCAACATCTGAAACAGTGCTGATATTATTTCATCTCATCTTTCTAAGGAAATATCAATAATAAAAATAAATTGCATTCAATTCAATATTATCAAATTAAAAAAAACAAATTAAATGAAGCGCTCAATTTTTAAGAATATTGTTGTGGAGGGGTAGTCTAGAAAAAGAGATGCAACAACAAAAACAGAACAGTCGGCCAAAATTTAAACCTGATAGTAATATGAGAAATATTGAACTGCAGCCAGAACCTAATAAACCATTTGATGAGAAGTTTATTGCTCGTTTGTTTGTCTACATTCAAATTATTTCCAGATTTTTTTTCAGTTCATAAGGTGTTTGCTTTAATATGCAGGAAAGTGTATGCATTCCAGGCATTGCACCGAGTGACCAGAGGTAATTAAAAAAAGGAGGTAAAAAATTTTCATTTCAGTTAAAATAATTATTCTGCGATTTACCATGGGATTGGGTTAGTCTGCTCCTTCAAATGGTGCTGCTGCTGCTGCTTCTATGGCGATACACCTTAGCCGCACGTTCCCATTTTAATAATAATTTGAATTTTAATAAATGCATTTCTAAATAAGTTCACTGCACCAAAACTGTTAACATTTCACCAATAATTTTGTTGCCTCTCTTTGTTTTTCACAATCAGACAAAATATCCTGCAAACAAAGACAAAATTATTCACGTTTAGGTTAATGATTTTGGAACAATGTTTTTAAATAGAAATTCAAAAATTTCAGATAACCGTTTGAAAAAAAATCGAAATTGTTTTAAGGAATTATATAGCTGATGACCAATTGACCACACAACATGGCAACTTAAATGGCTTTCAGAAAAAATTTTAACTTAAACGAAGGTATTCAAAATTTTCGTTTCATTAATAACATACTATGCAACTAAGGAATAGTGTGGCTACGTGTTTGCTAATGCGTTTCTAGCACCA